GTTCTCCAGTTTCATCCATTGAGAGTTAGCTAGTGAGTCTTAGTGTGAGCTACCTAACAGGCTTGGGCCCTGGTCTTCATACGGGGGCGGCTGTGGCTCAGAGGCAGAGCGGGTCATCCACTAATCGGAAGGTTGTGGGTTCGATATCCGGCTCCTCCTGCAATGTGTCGAAGTATCCTTGAGCAAGATACTGAACCATCAACCTGAACCACCAACCACTGATACCATTTACCATCCATATGGGGCAGAGTTAGCTCGACATAAGTGAAGTCTGGATTTCTCAGTTCTTTAAAGGACTTCTGTCAGAGTAACAAGTCCTAAATTTTCTCAGTGAAGTGTCTAGAAAAGTCCAAACATGAACTGCTTTTAACTCTTAACATGGAAATTACAGAGAAATCCGGTCCAGACACACTGATTAAAACTGCTAGAAACACTAAATAAAGCAGTTCCACCTTAAAAATCACTGTTTCTCCCACGCTGTTGGACAGACAAAGGACGTCCCAGAGGGGCATCTCTGATAACTTAAGATCCAGACGTCCGATGACTAAAATCCTTCATCCCGTTCAAATCTATAGTTAAAAGGCACCAAGATCTAAACAGTGGATGGTAACAATGTGGCTTCAAACTGGATAAACAGTCAATGTATGACAGCTTCTGGCAGACAACCACAACGCTGACGCAGGCACAAAGGGGATATGACGCCATTGACAGGACAGGCGACCGGTGAAACGCAGCGTTACCTGAATAAAATGAGTTTGAACATTGTTGGAAACATTTGGGATAATGGTAGAATACAACTCAACTACATACAGAACATAGAGCTAGAGTTTATAGACGCTATGTTACATATAGCTTTAACTCCACTGACTTGAACTGTGAGATGTGGGTAAAAGCAGTGAAAAGGCTATGACCTTGAGTTGAGATGCTGATGAGACATTAGACTCCTTTTCATTATTTTTTTTAATCCAGCATGTATCTGTCCATCAAATTAGATTAAAGTCTGATATAGAAACTCAAAAAAAGAGCCTGAAGCGAGTGAGTGCTGTTGAAAAAGTAATGTAACTGATCCGAGTCATCACAACGTAGTGTCATCCCACCATCTTCCTGTGCGTGTTGAATGGGGTTCTTTGTAAAGATAAAAATGGAAAGAGTGGAACATGGAGACTTTTTGAGTACATTTGCTCTTCTCACTAAAACTCATGACAAATAACAGAACATATGTCATGAAAGGGTTGACAACACACTACAATGTGCTTGAAGACATAAACACTGTGTGGAGACATGGATCACAGAATGCATCTGATTGAGGGGGGGAGTATAATTTCAAGGCATGAAGAGGGGGTGGTGGCACACTGAAACAGACATAGGGCTATATTACTGATGTATACAATAATAACAAGTTCTGTGGAAAAAAAACCAGATACAATTCAGGCTATAATGAAAATATTACATCCGACTCCAAAAGTTACCTGGGCCTCCCATGGTCCCCCATGGCCCCCATGCTTCTGTGGTCCATGGTGGTGGATGTTGGTTGACTGTCACTGTGTCAAGTTGTTGCAAGTCCATCATTAAAGACACCTACACTGCAAATCTTTACAGGCAACAAGGTGAAGTGGCATGTCTTTTTCTTGTTTTGTTGAAAAGTAATATTATCCTTGCAGACTGCATGAGACAGAACAGCACTCTCAGAAGTCTGCTCTTAAGGTTTCTGTATAAAGTGACTCAAAGTAGGTCAACAGTGTGTCAAATTCTAGGAATTATGTACTTGTTCTTACAATGAAGAGTAAGAGCCACACAGAAACATTTCCTCAGTTTTCAGACTTGAGGCCAGTTGCATGAAGTGTAGTGCAGTTTAAAGCTGCAGTAGGTAACTTTTATAATTATTAACTATTATTTGTCATATTTGCTTAAATGTTCACTATATCCTGACAGTAGCCCAGAACGGACAAACCAAACACTGGGCTTAGATAGGGCCTTTTTCATTTTTCATGAGTTCTGTGGCCAACGTAGTTTCTCTCACACAATTCTCAGCCCGTTCTCATTCCCAGGTCATAAAACACAGACGCCAGCGTTCAGTTAGTCGCAGTCTGAAGCTTCACCGCTAGATGCCTCTAAATCCTACACACTGGTTCTTTATTTAGAGAGGCTGAGAAAATGCATGGTCCTGAAATAAAAACATGATGTCAGAGGAATGCATCTAACTGGTCACACCCTCGCTGATCATCTGTTATCAAGGGTGAAAATGCAATGCAATGCAAAAATGAATAAAGGATGGGATTGGATTGTTGGATTGAAATAAATAGGGAGTGACAACAAAAGTAATGTAACTAATTACTTTTGGTGGGTAACTGTAATATTATTACTGACATTTATTAGGAATTAGTTACATTATTATTTACTGGGGAAAGTAATATAATTACTGTAATATAATTACTAGTAATGACTTACTTCCTAATACTTTTAACTGCATTATTACCTTATTTATTCTAGTGGTTATTAATTTTTATTTTCTCTTTGTAAGTCCTGATTTTTAAGATATTGAAGCACTTTTACTTTTATCTTTATCCTTTTTTTTATTATTATGTTTATATCATGTTTGATGTTTTTATATTTTCGACAAGAACCAAATCTACCTATGGGAACAAACAAAGTAACCTTGAACCTTGAACTGCTAGTTAAGCATTACTTACTGTATGTGTATGATTTATACCCTTATTATGAAGTGTAACTGGTTAATTGGTGACTCTAAATTGCCTGTAGGAGTGAATGTGAGAGTGAATGGTTTTTTGTCTCAATGAACTAGCGACCTGTACCCGGTGAACCCCCCCCCCTCACCCAATGTCAGCTGGGATTGGCTGTAGCCCCCCTGCAAAGTAAAAGTGCTTCTAGATAATGGATGATATTTTCCTCAGAGATGTAGTGGAGTAGCAGAATAAAGCTGTACCTGAGTAAATGCTCCATTCCACCGGTGCATATAAACCCTGTTGTAGGAAAGAGGCCCTGTAATGTTGACATGTTTAGTTTGCTACCTGAATGTGAATGAAACCAACTGTGGTCAGTGATGTCACGTTGCCATCTGCTGGCCAAACTCTGTAATTAGCCAGAGCTGTTTAAAATGCTGCTCCATGCTGCGGTGTTAAAAATGTAAGGGTCACAGGGCAGGTTTTTTTTTTTTTTTGTTATAAGAGGAATGTGTGGATACTCAAGACTCTCAAGAGAGGTTGGCTTACATCCTCTTTGTCTATGAGAAGATTCAAATCTAATCAGCAACTATTTCTACATGTTCTGTTATCATTCTGGAATGACTGAGTTTTTCTGGATTTCATTGAATTCTGTCTAAAAAAATGTTGTAAAAGCAAAACAAAAACAAAAACAAAAATTGATTGTAATTACAGTAGACACAAACGCAAGGATCTATAGACCTTAGTTACCAACAGGGCGCACAGTGGCTAGTCTGTAGGTTGAGTCCTTGCCACAGCAACCCGGGTTAGGCTCTGGCGTTCTGCCCTTTGCTGCATGTCATCCACCCCTCTCTTGCTTTACCCCCTGTCCTGTCCATCTTCAACTGTCCTATCAAAATGCCCCCCAAAATATCTTAAAAAACAAAATATATACCAACAAGAGTCTGATTGGGCTAGTATTACCCATTAATTCAGACACACACTTACACATCTGTATTATTTAATGAAAAAGAGTGTTGGCCAGTGTTTTCACCTCCAGTATCCCTTCATGAACACCATCAAATGAATCAGTTTGAATGGATTTTTAACAGATGTTATTGTTGAATAGTCTGAAAATGTCCCATTGGACCAACAACCATTACTCTGAAAACAAAGGCCGACTGCTCAGAAATGACACACACTGCAGAGTTGTTCATGGTACGTCGTACTTTGGTTGGGTTTAGGCATCAAAATGACTTTTCTAGGTTGAGGAAAAGATCATGCTTTGGGGTAAAATACTGTGCTTCAGTGACATACAGAAGCTGGTGATATCATAGTGTGTATTTTGGGAATAATGGCAGGGCACAGATATCTCAGCTAGGCACACTGATTGTCATAATGACAATAAATTACCTGTGCAATAATGTTAATGTGAATGTATTCATGGATGGAATGTTGTGGGTTTGGAGGGTATGTAAGGGGTATGTAAATGTTGTTTGTTATCTTGTTTGTATGTTTATGTATTGATGTTGTGCCCTGTTATGTTTTGTTTACCTTGGCTACATATCACAATGGAGTATCAGCCTGATAGTGGATGTGAGAACTCAAAAATTCAATGATATATTAAATTACGCAATTTTAAAAAAAAACCAAACACAATGTACACAAACAAGATGTTTGTTGAAAAAATAGTGGATACAACCACTCGTTTAGGTTCTGTGTGATGACAACTGAGCTTCATTTGGTGACTGTGGTAGGCAGCAGTGAATCTGCAGCTGTATGTATGGAGGTATTTTAGTGCCAGTACTGAATCTGAATTAAATAGTTTTGAATGTGAAATTCTCAAACTGAATATTATATGTGAAATTTGAAACAGTAGAAACACAGACTGAAATTCAATCTTAGTTGAAACTGAATTTGAAAACTGAATTCCAAACCGAATTTGGAACTCTAAATTAAAATAATATTCACATATTGAAAGCAATACAAGTTAAATTAAATTTAAAACCATAAGAATTAATTTCAATCTGCATACAATAGTTTTGACACTTCAGGGCTTTCCTTGGTAATGTCACAATGCTATGAACTGTGGGTAATTCCCTCAGGCACACACAGAAAGGGTGCAGAAAATCTAAAAATGTCTGCCAGAGCCCTAAGACATGCCGATTTGAAAGCCCTCACAGACTGGCAATGTGCCTCAAAGTCTGTGTGTGTGTCTGTGTGTGACTGTGTGTGTTGGTGTGTGTCGGTGTGTGTCGGTGTGTGTCAGTGTGTGACTGTGTACATTAGATGGTCTGGTCCCACGTCCGGTCTGGAGTCACAAACGGTTGTAAACAAATGTAATCTTTTTTAGCATTGTGTCACCTTTATTTTTTATTTTTTACACACATACACATTTGAACATTTTAACAGGACGACTACAACAGCCACTTCATGCAGGTACTTCACCCTTCCTAAAGCCTAACACAACTACATTGTGGTTTACAATTTGGGGAAAACACCCTTTATCTAAAAAGAAACAACAAAAGAAATCCAAAAGCAGCAAATTGATAAAGTGCAAGTTCTCACTCTGAAGGAAGTGTTGTACAGCAGCCTTTCTGCTCACTTGGCAACACACAGTGTATGGCTTGCGTTTACAGCACGGCCTGATCAACCACCACTTTTAAACACTGGACAACTCCAGGCTCATTCGTCTCGTTGAGCGGTTTCCCATTGTTTCCAATTGAAAGGCAATTTATTAAATTACATTATATACACATTTTAGAAACCAAATGTACCCTTCCATATCCCCATCATATCCAGATCCCTACCTCTTCCTTTTCAAGTCAAACCATGTGTGATATTGACAGAAGCAGTGAGAGAGCCCACCCACATATGCATTCAGTGCAAGACAATAATGTTAAACGCACACAAGATAGAAGATACACAAGACACTGCGGCAGCCATTGACAGCACTGACGTTAAAAACATTGTTCTCTAAAATGTAGTTTGGGTGAAGGAGGGTTCATTCCATATGTATGGAAGTCTATTAGGACCACATGAAAGAAGTTCTGAGCTCTGAAAGCTGAAAATAAAGTAGCACACCCTGATTCTGTTTCCAACATGCCCATTAATTTTATAGGCTCATTCTGATAGTGAGTTTCCCAAAAGTGATACCGATACATGAGCTGAGTCACTTTATGTAAATGTAAAGTAAATATTTCTTGATAAGAATCACTGAAATTTGGTTATTAAAAGATATGTGCTGAGTGGGACATTTTAAACTCCGGCGCTCCCTGGTGGACACACTGCTTCTAAATGACCTCATACATATCATATAATTTTAGTGCCACAACAGTCTAACATTGAGGAAGATATATTGGAAGAAATGTTTTCAGTAGTGTATAGTCATCTGAACATGAGAACTGCTGTGTTTCTACAGTAGCCCAGAATGGACAAACCAAACGCCAGTTCTAGATAGATTTATCAGACAGCCTCTGGAGATTCAGGGATGCTTTAAGTACTATGATAACCTTTGGAGGATGTCCTTAAAGTTAGAATGCAGAGTCAAATTATGAGATTAAAATAAGAATTATTTTTGGATTTTGGTCCTAATCTTTTTACGTAGAAATGTTAAATGCAGCAACAGAATAAAATCTTTTACAGAAGGATCCAGTTAAAGAATCAGTCTGGTGTTATTCAATATTTGTCTCAAACCGACACTGAATGTATCAGTAAATCATCTTATTCTTATTCCTCTGTGCCATAGAGCTCAATGGTTGCTGCTATAGTCCATTAAATGCACCATTTCCTATTGTTTGTTTGATAAAAACTATAGAAACAAACTATATCTGTGAGGATGGACTGAGACATTGTAGGTTTGGCTTTGCACATGGAAAAATATGGACTAAGACACCAAAACAAGCAATCTTATATTTTCTGCTTTGCTGTTTAACTGAGATTAATTCTCTGGAAAAGCTACAACTGGAGGAATAAATCTTTAATAATAAATTACTGTGTCTTCGGTTCATTGCATCATCCTACTAACATAAGACACTTTCTTCATTGCCTCGTGCGGACTGCCTTTTACTTCAGCATGGCACTTGTCCAGTGTTCACAATGTATATACAAAATCAAATCTACACTAGTTCAATGTGGCAGCTTGAACCGAATTTAAAGGACAGTGTGGCGTTTCTGACAAAAGCTCACTCAACAGTGCTGATGAGGATACAGGGAGAGCTCAGACTGTACTGCTGTTCTGGAGTCAGCTCTATTGGGCATCATCACAACTGAACAAGTGCTAAATAGACAGGAATGAGCATCAGTTCTCCATTTCATGCTTAAACCTTTTTTTGTGTTGAGACTTCTATTTAATGGCCAATCCTGTTTGTATGTTTTATTTTAGTCCCAAGCTGACAACAGAATTCCACCCTGAACTCATGTCCACATATCCAAATCACAACCACCCAGTAACTCCGCCCCCTCATACCAGACATTGGTTTCTCCTGTTGTGCTGAGAACTCTGTTGTACCAAATGTTCCTCAGGTGGGAGTTAGTCTCTCAAGTGTCTGCGTTACTTGCTGTGGTGAAGGTACTGCTGGGTAAACATGTTGAGCTCGCTGTCCAGCCAGCCCGCCTTGTTCCTAACAGCAGAACACACACATACACATTAATAATGTCCACATGTATGTAACAAGGTGTGTTGGAGCTGTAAATACAGGCTGTGCTGTGTAATTGGCTGTACTCATTTGAATGAGTGAGGACAGAGAGAAAGACACGTACAGTTACTACCACACAGGCGGTTTCTCACAAACTGCTGGCATTGTGTGTTCATGTGAACTAGGAAAAGTCTGGAAATTGTTCTAGTGTGGATGGAGGTCCAAGAGAGAGCCTACACACATGGTTTACAGCTGTCCCCAGACTAAAGCAGATAGCCAGCAGATAAGCACCTTCTCTTCTTACATACTGTACCTATTTCCATTGTAACACTACTATTTATCACACAGTCTGACTGAGACCAAGATTCTATTAGATAGGGATGGGGCCGATCCGATCCAGTATCGGTATCGGGACCGATACCAGCGTAATTCACAGATCGGAATTTCCCGATCCAACCTGCGCAGATTTCCGATATCCATGAGCCATGTCTGCACTTTAACGTTGTCTGCTGAAATGACTCCACAGGTGATTCCTGTCGGCCAGTCTGCTAGCTGGCTGCAAACTGTGGAATGGATTTCCTGAACGGAGGCGCTGCTCAATGAGACAGAGTTATGAGACACACCCCCGCTCAGGAAATCCATTCCACAGTTTGCAGCCAGCTAGCAAAGCCGTGATTCAGAGAGGCGGATTTAAAAAAGCACTACACGAAAGAGCACGAGGATTATTTGGTCAAAATGAGAACCACCACTTGATTGTTAAAGTATTATTACAGTTCTTACACGATACAGGGCTATATATGAAAATGTGAAGCAGTAACATTATCCTTAGAGTGACTTCCTGAGGAGGGCAGTAATACGCCTAGAAGCATCTAAACTGCCGGAAATCCATATGAAGAAGAAGAAGAGCAGGAGCAGAAAGACAAAAGGAGCTGTCAGGAATCACTTCCAGAGTCATTCCAAAAACAAGGTAAACTCCAGGCAGACAATGTGAAAGCTAAAGGGATTAGAGTGTGTGTGTGTGTGTGTGTGTGTGTGTGTGTGTGTGTATGTGTGTGAGATGTTTACATTTATTGTACTTTAATTATATTTCAATTATTTGACATTTTGGGAATTTAATAAATATTGACATGACAATCAATTTGAAACCCTTACAGTTGCATATTTGTTTCAGGATGGGATTTTTCCTGTTAACAGGATTTCCTGTTTTTCTGACTTCCTTTTCTGACTTTATACTTACCTCAAGTTGCCTTTTGGGACATACATACATACATACATACGTACATATCATACTTGCCTGTTGAGAGGAGTTTATTTCAGCCTCATAAAATCAACAATAATGATAATAATAATATTAAAGCAAACACAGCTCTGGTATCGGAATAGTATCGGTATCGGCCGATATCCCAATTCAGGTATCGGGATCAGATCGGAAGTGAAAAAATGTGGATCGGTGCATCCCTACTATTAGACCCACCTCACACAGTGTGACCTGACATAGGTCTGTAGGATCACTGTTATCACATTTTTCCATGCACCTTTGCTGGCCTTGGCACCACTCAGTTTGACTGGGTGAACCAGCACTGCACAGCAGGGATTAGCGTTTCCATCAGAACAGGGCTACTCACTTGAAGGTATCTCTAGGAGTGATTTTTCAAGAAAAGCCATCAACTAAATTCCACTCCGGTGACAAACACATTTAACTTCTTCACAATAAAAGTCCCTGGTTATTTTGTTATTTAAACACTTATATTATTAAGCAGCAAAACCAGGAAGTGTTCATATGAGTCAAATAAAAACATAATGTCTCCCGCTATAGAGTTTTTACATGTTTGATTATGCTTTGTGTTTGACTGTCCTCCTCTCTGGCTGTTTGTATATGTACTGTGAGTGTGGCGAGGTTCTTACCGCAGCAGCTTAGCCTTGCTCTGCAGGCTGTCCAGCAGCTCGATCTTGCTGTTCATGTCTGTGATCTCGTCCTCCAGGTTCTGGCGAGTGACATCTACCTGCTGGCAGAGCTGAGCAAACACCCCCGCCAACTCCCTAGTAACCACAGACAGCAGGAACACAAACAGGTTACCAAACAAACTGTCTGACACTGATTGAACTGACATGATAACCCTCAGTTAACATGCTCACTGCTGGACTTGGTGGCTGCAGTTGGATCCAGTGTAGCTGACAATGAGCTGCAGCTTCTCGCTGGCGTAGTCCACAAACTGTCTCTTGAAGGCTCTCTCCTTGGCCTTCGTGGTCCAGGTAAGGCGCTCGTAGATGTAGAGGAGCCCATACAAACCCACTGACAGGGCGATCAGGCGCCAGCCCACTGCCTTCCAGATCTGCACACATCAACAAAGCTTTAGGTCTAGCTGAAGCCCCCTTGCCCTGATATCCCCTGAGCTACTAGATCTGTCAGGATTAACATGCATCATATTCACATCAGTCAGGACTCTTGTGTCACACATATAGTGTAATATACATTTTATACACATATTTGTGCTTGATAAATTATATGATGGAATTTATGAACGTACAATTGGAGACAGCTGAGCACCAGTCACAGTGGAGTCTGTAGAGAAAAATGAGTTAAGAGTGGCTAGCTTTAACATGGTTAACTAGATTATTTGTCTCTCCCACAAACACAACAGATACACCATCTCATTGCAGGTGCACACATTCTACAAATCACAACTACAGTTGCTGGAGTGAATACAGTCCATGTGAAGAGTCTCAGGTGAGGCACTTTTCATTAGTCGTTAGTCACAGAAAAACCAAAACACTGCCAATCTCCGTTCAGGAGCTGCGCCTTGTTACATGGATGAAAGTATCAGGGGATCGTTGCAACACAGACCCTTTCTCTTGTAACACAGGGAGTCACCTACCAGTGCACTGTTGCCTGTGGTAACTGCATTAACTAGTTAGCAGTCCTATTAGCTGACTGTAGCTGAACTGTGATCAGCTCAGGGCTGGGTATCGTTCACAAAAGTTTTAATACTGGTACCAATACCTTGACCTCGACACAGGTTCCTGAGCGATAACTTTTGCGATACCAATTTATTTTGTAAAGTAAATGTTAACATTATACATTACACTACAGTTACTCACTGTTCAAAGACCAGGAGCATCTAGAGACACTTTACTCAACCTGGATAACTGGACTAAAAAATATCTGTACAGTGTTGGACTATATATTGGACTATATGCAAACATAAATAACTGTCAAAGGAACATAAGTAAACAATGTAATCCAGGAAGGGAGTGACTGTAGTAGTGAAAATAGTGGCAGTGTCTCTGTGTTTCCATACTTACAGACCTGTGCACCTACAGATTCCACTGTCAAAGGTGCTCAGTTGTTTTGCTTCTTATTTACCTCTGCTGAATCCTATCACTATTTTGATCATTGAATAGCTAAACAAAATTAAAACACACATAACTCAAGGTTCACTTTATTATTCATCATTCACATTTCATCCATATCTGATCTAGTGTGTGTGTGTGTGTGTGTGTGTGTGTGTGTGTGTGTGTGTGTGTGTGTGTCCTCACCACGCCGCCGACCACAAGGACGCCCATTGAAGTACGGGAGGTGAGGGAGGCGAGACCGGTCACCATGGAGACCATCAGCTCTTCCTGGGTCATGGAGCTTTGTGGGAATGGAGGCATGCTGGTGCTGACCGGAGTCAGGGCCATAGGCCGAGGCACCTGCAGGGAGAACGCAGCACAGAGTAGAATCAATCCTCGATGATCCAAACAGCACATCAAAGAGTGCAGTGCTACAAAAAAATAATTCTTTCCAGGGTTTCCTCTAGGATTCTTTTAAGCAGTGGCGGCAGCTCATACAGAAAGTCTACCATTCTTATCTTATAAGGTACTATTTGTGCCTTAATTGGCCTGAGGAGATTCTGACCTCCAGTGGTGCTTCAGAATGAACCACGCTTTGATTATCTTGTGCATGCACACAAGGAAACACATTTGTCTACACAGCTGATGCAATACATAAATCACAGCAATGGTTCACACTGTTCCACTGACCTCCAGGTGGCGGTAACGTACCAGCAAAGGCAAGAAAGAAGTAGCCTGCCTGCTACTAAACATGTATGCTCGCAAGCATTCGGAATTATGTGTCACCTCAGGAGATACATAATGCCTTTTGATGACCCTGAATGTAAACATTGTAAACATTGTTTGTTTACAAGAAAACTCCACACACTGTTAATATGAATGAAATTGAAAAAAATAAATACAATTCTCACTGTCCTCAGGATCTTTTTATTCAGGTATGTGTGCCTCTGTTATACCCTAGCAGTGTAACAACAATGGTCTAATGCCATGTATGTTTTTTATATCTAATGAGGCAACTGTTAAACCACTCCAGAACCTAACTCTTACCCCTTTATTTCTGACACAGTATGGCACTGACAGATTCTCACACTGCAGTTTTTGTTGTATTTTTCCTGCCGACATCCCACAGCAGGACTTGAAGCTCCTTGGTGTGATTTTTTTGTTTTAATGACTGAAACATTGATATTGGTATTGGTGTGAGCAAACTTCACGAAAAAAAAAAAAAAGTATGAGGTTTAAAGGTTCAAATACGTTCTTTATCCAGACCCTTTAATGATGCTATACATTTGCTGTAGTCTGGGAGAGGGGTTTAAGTTCCTGTAGGTATTACCTGTTCATTGTAGCCCATGAGGGCCCGCCGGGTGTTCTTGGGCCCAAGGAAGCGGTTGACCAGCATGGTCCAGCCCAGAGAGAAGTGGAAGCTGATGTCCTCCTGAAAGTCACTGCACAACTTGTCACAGGCCAGGTCATAACTGAGGCTGAAGCACTGACGAGGAACCAGCTTGTCTACCTGCTCTCTGACCGGGTTAGGTAGCAGAGGCTTCAGACCGTCTACACAGACACAATTCAGAGTGTGTGTGGATCAAAACAGTATATTCAGTAACACTATAAAATGAGTACATACTATTAAGCATTAGTTAAGCATTAATAAATACTGAATTCATCATTTATAAAGCATGTTCCTGCCGTAAATACTCATTACTATGTGGTTTATAATCACAGTTATAAATGTTTTACTCTTCATTAATAAGCTCATCTATAACGTGCTAATGATTGTATTTTCATATTTTATATATGATGGATTCAGCATTTCTAAATCAAGTATTACATCACTTACTAACCAGTTACTTAGGATTTGTCAGTGGTTTGTAATATCATTTAGAAAGTGTATGTAAATGATGAACAAACTATTTAGATGTACATTTCTGCATGCACTTGCACATCCACTATTCAGACATATTAATGATTAGTGACTGTGTTAGCAGATGTTCCATAAAAAACTCACAAATTCATTTCCGGCCGCCGACTCCAATGCATCATCCCCACACCGCAATTCTAATTGGCCTGCGTCCACCTGACTTCTCGGTGCTTCTTGGTGACTTCTCACCTGACGACGACCCCCCCCAACTGGTCGAGACAGACGACCAACCACCTAGAGCCGAAGGATCTGTCCTAGGTTTCTGCCTTTTAACAGGCAGTTTTTCCTTGCCCTTGTCGCCAAGTGCTTGCTCATGGTGGTACTGTTGGGTCTGTAAATAATGTTATAAAGAGTTCGGTCTAGACCTGCTCTATTTGAAAAGTGTCCTGAGATAACTTCTGTTATGAATTGGCGCTATACAAATAAAATTGAATTGAATTGAAAATGTTGCCGCCTCCCACCGTCATCACGTTGATGACGTGCTGAGAGCGGGATTGCAAGCTCAACGTACACGTCCCAAACAGATCAGATCACAACAATAGCGTGTCTTCATTTGTCCGTCTTTATACAATATGTTGGGAAGTTGCAATAAATATCAATACAATATGTTCTATATCCCTTTGTGTTGTGTCTCTCCTTCGTCTGTTAAGATAACTGAACATTTTGTGAGTCTCGAGGCATTGTCAGCCTTTATATCTCATTTGTAAATGCTTTATAAGCCATAGATAGTGATCACTTTAGATGAGCTCACACAAAATGTTTAATCAACGAGTAGTAAGTGCTTCGTAACTGCCTCAATTCATGAATTCCTGCATTAACTGTTTATAGGACATGGAAAATGAATTTGTGAGTTTTTTATGGAACATCTGCTAACACAGTCACTAATCATTAATACATGTCTGAATAGTGGATGTGCAAGTGCATGCAGAAATGTACATCTAAATAGTTTGTTCATCATTTACATACACTTTCTAAATGATATTACAAACCACTGACAAATCCTAAATAACTGGTTAGTAAGTGATGTAATACTTGATTTAGAAATGCTGAATCCATCATATATAAAATATGAAAATGCAATCATTAGCATGTTATAGATGAGCTTATTAATGAAGAGTAAAACATTTATAACTGTGATTATAAACCACATAGTAATGAGTATTTACGGCAGGAACATGCTTTATAAATGATGAATTCAGTATTTACTAATCCATAACTAATGTGCTTATCAATGATGAATAAAAATATTTTTAACTGTGTTTATAAACTACATATTAATGTGTATTCATGTCAGAAAAATGCGTTATAAATGATGAATTCAGTATTTATTAATGCTTAACTAATGCTTAATAGTGTGTACTCATTATAAAGTGTTACCGTATATTCAGTCAGAATTTACCACAGATGTCAGTGACACACCATGTGCCTGCATACACATTTCCAAGGACAGTACATAGTAAACAGTGTGCACCAGTGGCATTATACTTGTAGTACATTAAAGCAGACAATACATATTTGCGGTCAGCTGTGAGGTGTAAACCGGAGGAGTGTTACCGATCATGTCGGTTTGTGTAGCCTGCAGGGCACTGGTGATGGAGGTGGAGCACCTCTGTGACATGTTCTTGCCCAGACCCTCCTCTATGTGCCGGTGGAGCTCCTAGAACAAAACAAACAAAATAAAACAATCACAACAGAGAAACAGTGAAACAGACAGCCACACTGCCACTGCGTTTGAACGATTAACACAGGATGTCCACCACTGACCAAATTAAATCTATATTTCTGTTTCACTGATGTCAACCATCACCCAAACCTGACAGCCATAGCACAGTAATGAGGTGGTCAAGGGTAATTTAACATCATCAGTTCCTAGCCGGCCTCATGTGTCTTTTTCATAATGTCTTTCTTATAATGTGTGATTTGAAAACATCAGATATCCACACAGTGAAAGAACATAAAAGTGTGCATCCTGCTCATAGTTCAGCAAGAAAATGTCAGCGCACCACAGAGCATCTCTCCTGCCAGGCTGCTGACAGCGCTGTCAGCCCAAGAGTGAAGTGAAGTGGCCATCTAGGGATCCATGTGCTTTGTATCCTAACTATCTTAACTACTAACCATGCAGATTTGATGCTTGGGTCAGGTTCAGGTTTACAGCTATTAGGCTGAAATTTAAAAGGAGAAATGTTTGCTGGCCTGCACTAACACAGATGCTAATAGAACGGCTCAGGATGTTTTTGGCCTGTTCCCATCAAATGAGATTACAGAGTTGAAAGAGTACATCATGACTCAGTCTGGACTGCTCTTACATAACACAGATTACATGGCTTTATAGTTTTATACAGGTTCTGTGAGCCAACAGGAGGTCAGGGGTGAGCTCTGCTCTGTCTTGCATGTAGATAGCAGACTGACAGAGCTGTAGGAGGGTGGGAAACATTTCTGAGTGATCCTGCTGGAGGCAGGATTGTTTCAGGATCAATAACTCAATTCAGTTTATAGAAACTTTCATACAAGCATGCAGCTGAAAGTGCATCATATAGCTACATTTAAACAACACAGCCAAAAAATAAATACAAAGATAAAAAACAATAAAATGTTACAAACAAGTCAATTTAAAAAACACCAGAAAACACACAGTGCAGAAGATTATACTTTGATCTTGTTTTATCTCAATTTAGTTTTACTGATATATATGATGATATAATTATGATTTAACAACCAGGCTCAGGAGGTGGTGAGAACACAAAAGAGAAAAATCTGGGGGCAATCTTGAGACCCTCAACAGCTACATGGACAGTGTGGAATAGACCAGTTCTAAGGAACTGGCAGAGGAGAAAGGATTATCTACAACAGAAGCCCAAACTATTAGTCTTGAGTCTCCCTTGCTAGCCTAGCTAGGGAGTTTAAATACAAAAAAACAAGACTCAAAGGGAAATAGAGAAATGAATAGTGTGCGGACAGATCAGTTTGCTTTCACCACCAACACTGCTGGTTAAGTGGATTGCTCGATCTGCAGTGAGAAATTAGCATTATAAGGCTCAAATATGTCTGTGGCTCAAGACAAAAAGATCTCTTTTGACAGCAAAGGTTGCTGACCCCTGCACTACACAGCACAGTATCCTCAGCTGTGTTTGTAAATGAGCTAGTATGAGAGCATTGGGTTTGAGTGTGTGTACAGGCCCCTGAACCTCAACAACTAGTGCTGACAAAGACCAACTGATCACCACAAACACAACAGCTGACAGACAGCGGATTGCTCACATGCACCTGTGTGTGCTGAGAATAGGGACTGCCTGTCATCCACACCTTCACACCTTCATCTAACACAGGCAGGCTGAGAGCCACCATACTATTGGGCATGGTCACCTCACAGAAACTAATTTTAGTACTATTCATCACAGCAGATTGAAACCAGGGTGTCCCCCAGAGAGGTTGTTCAGCCTGGTGGCAGTATCTTGTGATGTGAGCCCCTTGAGGGCCAGTGACAGATTGATGGTAGCATTAAAGTAGAGCTCTATATTTTCTGTGATATAACACAGGTCCAGATTTGAAAACATGACTACATAATGTGTAAGGCAATTTATTTAAAACATTTTTTTTTTTATCAAAAAGGAGGGCTGAATCTGACAATGTACAGTGGAAAGCTGAAATTAAATTAAAGCTGCAGCGTTGGGCGGGACCTCGCACTCCATGCAACTCGGGGCGTGCTGCAGCCGCGTCACGTGCCGTCGTAACACGTGTGGACCACAACAAGACATTTTCACGTCACCCCACTCCCAAGCCCTCATCGCCAGAAGCTGAGGAAGACCACTCTAAGTTGTCATACGTTTCAGACACTGCAAATGACCAACACTTTCACAGAGAGTCTTCACTGCGAAAGGTGGAAATTCAGAACCACGTCACGGACACACAGTTTGACAGACAGTAAATATTTGATTAACTTATGATCACCAATGTGTATAGATTGCAGTGATCGAATATGAAGTCAATATGATAAAATCTGTAGGAGTTAGTTAAAATAGAAGTCCTGAAATGCCGGAAATAGCATCACAGTGGCCGACTTTGACGGCACGCCACGGACACGCTCATCAACGTACAGTCGCAAAAGGCATGGCGTTTTCACTGTACTGACCAAATTTGAAGCAGATCCGATAAATTCCATTGGAGTAGTTCGTTCAAATACAAGGCGAAAAAGTGAAAATGACAAACAAAATGGCCGCCGAGAGTGAAAATTAAAGTCAAAATAGCTGACTTCCTGTGGGTTTTGGGGCATGGGTCCAACAGGCTTTTCTGTAGGTCTCGGCACGTTACACGTGCCTACCAGGTTTCATACATATTGGTGAAACGTGGCGCCGGGGCTGCTTTGTTGAAATACTGTAGGGAGCGCTACAGACACGACAAACAAGATTTTTGGTATGTGAGCTACAGGCACCAGTCTACATGTGTCCTGTGAATTTCATATTCATAAATATTACGGTCTCCGCAGAGTGATTTACCCTGCCACCAGAGCGCCACCCAGTGGCGTGATTTTTTTTCCTTTTTAGGTGAGCCTCAGGGAGCCATGGGCAATCATCGTATCACGTTTCATTTTAATCACACATGCCGATGTGGAGATATAAACTACTTCATTTTAAAGAGCGCCACCTTGTGGCGATGGCCTGAAATTGTGCACGATGCCTAATGAAGACATGGGGAACTATTGACCCAAGGTTGGTGTCAATCGGACAACCAATGTGGAGAAATAGCCCACTTCCTTATTTGACGAAAAAATCAACAGGAAGTGCTTATTTTATAACGTGCTTATTTTTTGAAATATCAAAATACTTGAAATTACTTTTTTTGCCAGGACGGTCTCCAGATGCTACGTGCAAAGTTTTGTGCGAATCGGACAAAAGGCATGGATGGAACACGAAAACTTAGTTTTTTGACATTTCGTGCTCTAGTGCAAAATAAATCGAGGCAGAAGTGGGCTATAGGGAGATTCAGCTCCATTCCCCGAACACGTGGATATAAGGTTTTTGAATGTGAGACTAACAATGCTGGAGTTATTAACCTATAAAAGTTTGCCTAAAAGTAGCGCCACCTAGTGGCCTTCCTAGTGGCCAACCTGAAAGTGACGCAAAGAATATCCAATATCGCACGAGGCCCGACAAATTTGCCAAATAAAATGAGTCCGGATTATACGTTCAGTGGGTCAAAAATGCAGTGAAAGGGGCTAAGCGTAATAATAATAATAATAAACATAGCAAAAACAATAGGGACCTTCCAGTTGATACTGTCTCGGTCCCTAATAATAATAATAATAATAAAAACGGATCAAAAACAATAGGGACCTTCCAGCGATCGCTGGCTCGGTCCCTAATTAAAATAAATATCTTCAAATCCTACAAAGAGCATCCTAGAAGCAGAGCGGCTGGCTCTGCTCGACGTTGTTGTCTTGTATTTTGTCCATTAGTTCATTAATAGGTAATGAAATCCCCATCTTTCACTCCCAAAACTCCTCATTCAATTCTAGGCCTTGTCCTTTTTTGTCCAGTGTTTCCTCTAGGATTTTTTTTGCAGTGCGGGCAGGCCCTTCCGAACACAGCTGTTAATTTAATAGTCAACTTGGAAGAAAGCAAACGTTTTGACAATAAGCTACATCAACACAACAGTATGTGGAGTTAAACTGGACAGCCCCAATAACCTCTGAATAGTTCTACTTGTTGTTAAATTGCAATGTGAGCGGCAGCCAACAGGGGTGCATTATGTCGGCAGGATCATTTAAAAGGAAACCGTGACTACATTGTGTGTCTGCCCCATTTCTGATACTGTGGCGGCAGAAATTTAACAGCGGTGGGCCGCCGCTCCAAAATCAACATAGAGGAAACACTGGGTGTCATACAGAATTTTGCGTTTTTCCACATCCAAGATGAACTTCTCATTGTCCATTGTGTGAAATCTCCTCTGACCTGCCTCTAATGTATTGACTTCTAACCTGATGCCTGGTTATGACATAATGTTGATGTAGGGTGAAAGTTGATCTGGAGTCCCATCATATTTGAAAATTGACCAGATTCTCTATGCTGTTTATGTGCCAGACTTGCTGCCACTGCATTGTGCTCTGTGCTGTTTGACCCGTCAAATAGACCGGCCGCATATTCTCTGCAGACAGCCACATTTTGGTTGTTAATGTCACAAAGGTGTTACTCACCATTTAGATGGCTAGCTATGGTAGCTAGCTAACGTTAGCTTGTGATAGTTGGAAACATGAAGTGTTGAACAGCTTTCTACATGTAATTAGGGTAAAGATTTTTCTATTGCATTTTAACCAACAGATTATCCAAAAAAAATGGCAGCTTCAGGAGATCTGGATATTGCACTTGAAACTTCAATAATATTTTGAAAACTATTAAATATTTCAATTGTGCAACCCTATTAAAGGAACATGGCAAAATGTATGTTATGCAGACTCTACAGTTACCCTTTGGCCAGTTGCCTACTGATATGCAACCCCCATCCACATGCCCACTTGCCAAAAGTACAGTATTTGCAACAGAACTATAACAGCTGTGTACACACTAGTGAAAACAAACACATCTGAATGTGCAGCAAAGAAAAAAAAAAGTGGCGGGCGTAGACAGACAGAATGCCTGAACCCTTGTGAAGCTCACATTAATACTATTGAATGTGTGTTAAACTCACGTTCTTGTAGACCTTGAGCACCACTTGTGACGGGTGGAAGTCCATGTGGAAGTCATCCACCAGCACATGGAGCTTCCTGATCTCCTCTGCCATGGCGTTAGACACCTGAACAGCAGCAGAGAGCAGGGGTGAAAAACTAGTTCCTGTTTGAGAGTTCCCTCCAGAAGAATCAGCGTCTGCTAACACTTCTTTAGCAATACACGTTGAACTGAAAAATAAACTTGAAGATTCCTTTTGACAGGACTACTTTTTACTTTTAAAATAATAAGGAAATAATTGACAAATCACCACTAAGGTTCAGGAAGGTAGGTAGGTATGCAGCTTGGTATGTTATGATATAATGTTGGGCTTCACCTGCTTCTCCACCTCCTCAGTAATGCTCTTGATCTTGGCCTTACTGTCCATAGTCAACAGGTCCAACTGCTTGTCTATGAACTCCAATCTGTCCTGACGGTCCTCTTTGGTCTCAAGGCAGTAGACCCTACACACACACACACACACACACACACACACACACACACACACACACACACACACACACACACACACACACACACACACACACACGTGTCTAAATTTTGTCATATAATGTATATATTGTATCATTATAAAAAGGTACATACTAAGGCTCTTATTATATATATATATATTTGTTTTACTTATACATTATACAAACATTTCTATAGCTTCATAATATGCCTTATTTAGCTGTGTCACAAATCCCACTCTTTATTGCTGCAGCACTACAGTATTTCATTCTAAAAGCTGTTTGTCATATATTTCACCTTAGGCAAAAAATTGCAGCTTCTGCGATTTGGATATTGCACTTGGCCGTATTTCTAAGAACTGTGCAGCCCTAATTCAAAATGTAATTAGACATAGGCCTTTCCAAACTATAAACTATTTATTCCGGATTATTATTATCAGGATATAAGATTTTGATGAAATAACAAACTGCAGTACACCACACACACCCGACTGCACTGATAGTAGTAGATGGTGTCTTTGTCCCTTTGAAAACCATTTATGTAAATTATATCTCCAAGCATTCCATCATTGGAAGAAGAGTGCTTAGAGTGTGAACTCCTGCGTATGTGATAAACAACAGTGTAAAGGTATGGCAGATGATCACATTTGTGTCAAGTCTTTGGTTCACACACGTGAAGTCTACTTTTAACACCTGACTCACCTCTGCTCTTGTGCAGCGATGTGTACAGAATCCATAATGCGGCGCAGGGCTTCAGAGATCTGTTTGGCCCTCACTGTGTGCTGCTCAAACTTGGTCTTCACTGCTGACTGTGAGATACACTCCTGCACACAGCAGACGGGATAACAATCCAGACATCAACTCAACAACTAACATATGGGGACAGCGAAAAGGCCCACAGTGTGTTTAGCCTAGCCTAGTACAAATACTGGAAGAAGGGGGAAACTGGTAGCTTCCTTTCATCTATGCTGGAGTGTTGCTGAAGTCACACTGATAAATATGGAAGTAAGCACAAATGATAAATGACTTCACTCATGAATTTCTCATTTTTTGCCAACCTGGGGAGAGCTGGAGAAACTTAACTTCAGCCATGAGTCAAAAATATTATGGCCTCCTTACTAAGTATTATGCAAGCCATTGTCAGCCAGCCTGTCCCTGGGTCTAACATTTACAGTATATGAGGCACAATGTGGCTTAATGCATAACCCCCACAAGAGATGGTGGACATGCTGTAGTTTAACTTGTCTACTCTTCCATCATGATTGACAACCAATACAATGTTAGGTAATTCAGATTTTAATACATTTTATTATTTCTTTTTTGTGATTTACTGTTAGCTATACAAGCTAGCTGCTAACTTTAGTAACAATATCTAGCTAATGTTAGGCTAACGTTAACGGTAGCGTTAGCTAATAATTTTCCACCGGAGCTTTAGCTGGCTAACGTTGCGTTTTACAATTCATCAAGCTGTAGCTAATGTTAGCTAAGCCTATGTCAACAGAGCCCCTGGGTAACTCTTCGTTATACCAGAAAATATTAAAACACGAGCGAAGCGAACTGCTTGTAAACCAATCAGGTAATGGTATTCCCTCCCCGACCTTCCCAGAGAAAGAAACTGGTGATGCAAGGCCCTTCACACAAATATTTCCATGCACTCGCGCTCCCTTCTGGCACGCGAACCTGAATCTCTGGTACCTACCCCCCCCATAAAAAATTTCTCATCGAATCTACACGATTCACGTAGGTCACCTATTTTGGTTTCAAATTTTTCATGTATGAGTATTCAAATCTGTGATGAAAATCTTATCCCTGGCCACGGCAGGTATGAGGAACTTACCTCAAATCGCCTCTCAAAGTTCTGGAACTCAAACATTCTGGCCTGAAACCCCTCTGCAAGCGCGCCACCTGAAACAGGACAACAAGATGTAATACTGTAGAAAGCTGCTCTCTTCTTCTCTTCTATTGTTTGAAACTGTTCAGTAGTTGTGCAGATAAGAAACACGACTTTCAGGACTCATACTTTTCATAGGGGTGCACGATAATTATCGGGCCGATAACAGGAAATTACGTCATTCTGATAAGTCCGATATCATGACGAATAGCCCTGATAACATATATAATTTTGTCAGCACGGCAGTGCCCCGCTCTCACTGTGACACCTGAATGTCCTGCAGTGAATGCTGCATTCAAGTGACGTTGGCATAATCAGAAAAACTCTTTCTGACTGGGAAAATTCAAGAATACCCCCTCATGTCGAAAAGAACTCGTTAACTCGGTCATAATTTTGGTAGTTGCTGACTTGAATTGATATCCACAGTATTTTTCCACGTTACACGTAAACAATAGAAACATGAACTTAAAAAAGGCCGAAAGAACGACTAGCAAACGTGGGAACAGGGATTTTCTGTCACACCGTGAATGCAGCACAGCGTGCTTGCGTTTGATAACAAACAACATGGCGTCAATTGTGTCTGACTTTTTCAAAGTTTCTGAAGAAGACAGGTTGCTTGTTATTTGTAACAAATGTTCCAAGCAAGTTCTCTCTCTCTCTCTCTCTCTCTCTAAATCAGCTTTATTGGCATGAATGTAAAACAACAATATTGCCAAAGCAACAAATAAATTACATAAGAACAATTTCATACATTTAATTAAATAAGTAAATAAAACTCTTTCTCTGTCTCGATAAAACAACTGAACCTCGTTTACTTTAGTGAAAAGGTATTCATTTAAATAGAACCATAAGCCAAAATCATTTAAACTTAATTTTTTGGTACTATGGAATGCACCTTTTCAGTCTAACTTGTGTCAGTGCATTATGCACATTTTATTTATTGTTACTGAGGAATGCACTTTTTCAGATTGTGTTTACATAGAAATGTTTGAATCTAACTTGTGTCAGTGCATCAATTTTCTATATATATTTATTTTTTTGAACTTCTGGAATACACTTTTCAGTTTGTAATCCCAATGCGTGTATTTGCATCAGTTCAAGGGGCCTTTTTTTGAGAGGCTTGCCAATAGTTTTTCATTGCAAAAAATAAATAGGCCTATCTCCATTTAAAGAGTCAAAAGTGTTTGTTCATAGTATCAATGTCATGATCTTAGGTCATGATCATATATATGTATGTATGTGTGTGTGTGTGTGTGTGTGTGTGTGTGTTATCGGTTATCGGTATCGGCCTTTAGGAGCTGGAAGTTATCGGTATCGTTTTTTTTAAAAAGTTATCGTGCATCCCTACTTTTTCAATACTTCTCTACCACTCTGAGGAATAAATGTTTCTCCAAAACTATTTAGTAATTCATCTGCATTTGCATAGGGGAGGCTGTGGCTCAGAGGTAGAGCAGGTCGTCCACTAATCGGAAGGTTGGCGGAGTATCCTTGAGCAAAATACTGAACCCTCTTACTTAGAGTAATATAATTGGAAACCAACATTTGAAACTGCAGATCCTATACAACCGTCTGTAACCAAAAAAGGCAAAAGGGTGTTCCTAATAACTAATTTCCCTATCGATTAAATGGAAATTTAAGTTTAGACTAGTCTAAAAGTAAGAAAACAGTCAAAATTGATAAATGTGAGATGTTTGTGTTGCACATGTCTGCATGACATAGCTCATACATTACCAAACTCTATGGATGTTTGTGCAGGAAACCACAGGGATTGGCTGAATTTGTGTTAACTGTTGCAATTGCAACTTCACTTATCAATCCTGTTACCATTTTGCAGGAGATTCAAGGTCCCACTAGCCAGGAAAAATGGGTTCTGTTTTACACCGTGTTGCCAGAATGCCCAATCTCCATTTCAGGTAATGTAATGGACAAGGTGCATAATGTGCCTACACTATTTTATCCAACTCATCTGGCTCACACTACTTGGAATTCACTTTAAAATGTATATACAGTAAAAGCCTTTTTCCTGTGTGATATTTGTGAGAACTATATATTGTAGTTGTTGTTTTTTTGGCTTCAATTGTCTGTTACTCTGTTGCATTTCCTGCCGTGTGAACATAATTCCTCAGTCAGGCCTCTCACAGTGCTGCCTCTCCCCTGTTCTAAATGGTGCCCATGTGTAGGATTTCATACACAGGTCAGGTTTAAAACTACATTCACTGAATTGCATTACTTTTGCAAAACATTTTTGATCCACACCTGCTTCAGGCATTCCCTGAGCCTTCTGCCCACGGGCCTGGAGTACTTCCTTGGCAGAGACGAAGAAGATGCGGTCGCTGGCCTGGGCTCGGTCCACGACGCCCAGCTCATCCACCAGGAAATTGGTGCATCGGTCCATATGCTGCCTCCGGACCTGACACAACAACAACACACTGTATTGAACCTGAACTGCAACAAGTGATGCAGAAGGGGAAAAAACACATGGACCTATCTTCTTTATTGACAATGCTGTCAGTCCATTTGCCTGGACGCAATACGACAATATGGTTTCATTTAGCAGTAGAGTATTTAAGTTGAGGACCCTTATCGTTCAGTACTAAAGCTGAGAGCAGAAAGGAGGGGCTGGAGCCTATACTAACATTAGGCAAGAGGCAGGGTACACATCATGCACAGGTTGCCAGTCAAGACCAATACAGTATATGATGGCCCTGACGTGCATGTCTTTGGACTGTGGGAGGCACAGAGAGAACATGAAACCTCCACACAAAATGTATCCAGTAGGCGATGTTGGGTTAACCCAGAACCCTGGAACGCAACAATGGTAACTGTGGGAATTTTAATTTTAGGAAAAATTTAAAATGGGCAGAAAGTGTTTATGTGTAGCTTTCAGCCTATTCATCCAACAGCCTGTAAATGAACCTCAAACTAAATTGGACTGGCTGTGGCCTAACCTAGACAAAACTATAAATACCATATTAACAAGGCTAGATAAGACTGAGGGGAACAGAGGGCTTTAGTCTTAGGATGCATTAGTGAGGGAGAGCAGAGGCCTCCTGCAGGATGTGATCCTCAGTTCACTTCCAGCAGACCAGACGGAGTCAGGGTGAGGGCAATGGTTAATACCAGTTAAGCTGTCGATCTAAGGCTGCAGTCAGCAGCAGGTTAATAGTGTACTACACTTCAGCTTACACACAATCAAGATTGCACAAAACAAATACTTGATCTCAACATCCCTCCTATTATGTGTAGCATTAAGCTGCCACACACCAGTGGGTTATGCATACACCACACACAAAAACATGGCACCATGTTTTTAATTTGTGTGTGTGTTTCCAGGTGAAGCTGACTGACCTCCTCCATGTATTCAGGCTCTGAGGCTGAGGCGTCCCAGCGGTTGTTAAGGATGAAGATGTTGGGACTGGAGAGCCGCTCATTGACCTTGTGAAAGAAGGACTTTTCCTGTATAGAGATAAAATTTAAAATATTAGCACCACATTGACATTTACTGTAGCAGTCCTAAATGTTATTCCGCTTTGATCTCATCAAATAACAGTTCACACAGTTCTAGAGCAGACTGACACAGGCGGTAAGATTCTTCAGAGAGCATTCGCTCCATCATGTCTCACCGTCTGCATCAGCGTGGACTCGGAGTTGGCCACTAGAACAAACACATCAGCATCAAGGCAGAACTTGTCGATCCAGCTGTCCAGTTCTGTGGTAACGTCAATGCCGGGGCTGGAGGGCAAAACAGGATGTAGAATGAGCTGACTGTAGTCCACGGTAAGTGAGGACTGTGATGCAAGAGAAGACTGGAATAAAATAATCTTCTTTTACAAAGATAAGGGATATCTGTATTTCTTCAATTCAGTCTTACCACTTTCAATACTGGTTCCTGTACGACTGCTATCTACCAGACTGAATCACAGCCCAAACATTGGTGCTTCGTTTCTGTGCTAGAGCCTTATATTGAAGTAGTTGCCCTCTGGTGCAGACCTTACAAGATACAGAGGGATCAGCACATGTGTGCCATCACTAGTTAACATTACAGCAACTCTCAGTCTACATGGCTCTGTCAACAGGCAGCCTACTGCTAGCTTGTATATGTCGACTGCTAGCTAGTATATGTTTTGAATTTAAATGAACTAAGTATACTTTAGACCGTTAACATTTAATATGTTGTTCAATTTCAAGTTCAAACTTTCTTTATTGTTAGCATAATAAGAGTGCAATAACAGCACACAGGGCAGCTTAGTAAGAGTCATTTCTTTTGCCTTTTGTCGCAAAAAGTTGATGTGACAAAAAGTTATGGAAATGAATTTGTTGATCAAACTTGTGTCTGACCTGTCCACCAACACCAGATCGTCTCTAAGCAGAGCACATTTGGCTTTAGGCCACATGACACAGACCAAACTGCCGGCATCCAGGTCCTCATCCTGGTGAAGAGCGTGAGCCAGCTGGTTCACCGTCTGTAAACACACACAGCATCAGCATTAGCTGGGTGTACAAACTCAAAGATTCCACTTCCACCCACTTGTGAAGGTTGGTGACACACCGTGCTGAAAGCATACCTGTGTTCATGTTAAGGCACTCCGTAAATTCTGCTCACCTTTATGCTTTTCCTCTCCTCAGAACCTTCAGTGAGGAGGAAGGCCTCATTGCCATCGGTGCCTTCCACCCTCAGGAAGCAGTTGGTGGTGTGTCCTATTCCAGACGGCAGCACCTTGTCACACAGCATGGCATTGATCACTGAGCTCTTCCCGTTACTTGTCCTACAGAAATAACCACAGGCCTGTCAGCAGTGCCTCAGCCCATCTAACCTGAAGTCTTCTAAGTTTTACTTTTGGCTGATGTTTAATCCTCTAGTTTCAGGTCAAAGTTAACATTTGCTGGTGTTTACATTTACAGAGAATTGGATTTTAGACTAATTTAAAGGAGACATATTATGCCCCTTTTCAGGTTCATAATTGCATTTAGTGGCTCTACTACAATATGTTTAGATGCATGTTGATTCTGGAAGTTCTAAGGCGAGAGAGAGAGAGAGAGTGAGAAAAGAAGATACATACCTGCCAAAGAAGACCACCTTCATATGCCTGCGGGCGAGCACTTCTCCAATCCCTGCCACCTTGGCTAGGTAACCCCGGACCTCCTGGACCTGCTCGTCTGTGGTGACCGGGTCCAGCTCATCATTTTTGTAAGTATCTAACATTTAGATGTCATCAGACAGAGGTCAGTCATTCCTGTTACCAGTCTTTCACATCCCTGCCTTTGCTAGTGCATTGATGTTTCTTGTGCATGTAACTGATCAGTGGAGTAGGTAAGTAAGTTATGAAACGTTTCAAGAGCAGAAAGTGCTTGGAAAGACATTAAAAAAGAGGTGGATGGAAATATGGTAAAATCACTATCAAGAATATATACTGCACAACAAAGAGTATTCTCATGTGCAGGCATGTTCTTGTGTGTGTTCACAAGATAAGAACAAAACAGGGACCCACTCCAGGGATAGACGCTAATTTCTGCACTGGCCCCACGGGCCACCATGCCCTTAAATTTGGCGGCCCATATGTCCAACATCTTAAGATGTGACTTATGTAAAAGTGACCAGGGTGTACATATTAGGTTGCCTTCAGAGTATCATAAAGGGGATGGGGAGCAAATGGCAAGCGGGAGGGTACCTTCCAGAAAAGTTGCGCTCTCCCTGATGTAGGCCCCCAGCTGTTCAAAGATCCCGTTGATCTTCTTCTTTGCTGTAACAAAGTGCTTGAGCGGTGATGCGTTCACTTCCGCCATCAGTCTCTTATCCTTCTTGCCGTGGACTGCGTTGGTGTTGGGTCGTGGGAAAACCAGAGACATGGCACTGGAAAGAAGAGAACACATTGAAAATGCTGTTATAAGCAAACCCTATATCTTTTAGAAATACCTTCACCATGTCTCATGTCTGGTCACAGCTTATGGGTCATTTTAAAATTAAAACCATAGTTGGCCCGCTGACTACACTAACATGCAGTTCCTATTATGCTAGGGTTACTGTTACTAGGGTCACTAGTGTAAACCTAAGTGTAAACCCAAAACAACTGAAACTGATTAAATAAAGTTATAAAATAATATTCCTGCAGATTCAAGTGTACAGTATCAAATGCTTAAAACTCATGTCCCTGCACTATACACTGTTTTGTACATGTTATCTCTTCAGGGGAAATTATGATAATAAAACATTTAAAAATACTCACCCTAGTATAAATTTGGGTTTGATAAATATGTTTTTCTAGGGCCGATACAGATACTGATTATTAGTAATCAATGAATCCGATAAAAGATATTTGGCATAGATATATATTTGCAGTAAAAATTTAAATCTGAGACTGGCAAATGTAGAACACCCAGGCTTGGAGTGTAACTAAGTACATTTAATCAAGAACTGTACGGAAGTAAAAGTATGAAGTACTTGGAAAAATTCGGAATATCTGATCCAATAATTGGTCTATCTCGAGTTTGATTCAAAAGCTTGCATTAGTTCGCAATTTAATATAAAATAGTATTTTATACGTTTTTCGTGTTAACTTTACTCGGATCACATTCCCTGGACAAACTGCTCTCCATACTGGACTGCTTGAATTTCCCTCGGCATAAATAAAGCATCTATCTATCTCTCTATCTATCTATCTATTCGTGCAACTCCTTTAGTATACCATGCATTGATACAGAGACTAAGTGGACAACACAAACAGCAGCCTCAGTACTGTTCATACAGTGTAATATACAGCTGTCTGGCACACTGTCAGCAAACCATCTCTAAAGCAGTACAGAATGAGCTGTAGAGCTGTTTTACTGCACCGCAAGAGACGTTCAAGTTACTGCCATCTGTGTTCACCGTGTGAATGGAGAGGCTGAGGCCATTACTCAGCTGTGACCTTTCACACAATTCGAAGGTAACACAGTAGGCACAGTCTAAATGTCTTATTTGACTCATTTAAAGGCTGATTTAACATGGAACCCAGACCTAGGTTGAAAAGCGACACAGACACACCCAACTGATATCTAACCTATCAAGTTAAATGACATCTGCGCCGGTTAGCCTTTGATACATGATACAAGCAGTTTAAGCTCTAACGTGTCTCGTTGAAGTTTCTTTTATCGGTGATACGTATATTATCTTGTCGTTGTGTTATTAATATTCATTTGCTTTAACTTTTCTACTCCTGACCGGCATGACAACGCCGTGAATGGGGACGAATCCATGATACATTACAAGCTAGCTGCCAGAGCTTCCAGCTGGCGTTAGCTAACGTTAGTTAGCTAACGTTACTGTAGTAACTTACACTGCCGAGTAATGGCTCAACTGTTCGGTTTCGTTACTTACCGTGGATGGGAGTCGTTCCTCACAAATAATCCTCTTTCATCCTGGCCCCTCGGCTTTTCGAATCTCTTCGAACTAACTAACTCAGCTACCGACGTTACTGTGCGGCTGGATGTGAGAAATGAGCGAGTTATGCTAAGTGAAGGGGGCGGCACTCACAGACATAACGTTATAACGTTATATGTCTATGGCGGCACTAACGTTATGTGTCAGGAGCGAGCGCAGGTTTGACAAGCAGCTGTTTTTGTCCGTGTAATTGTCAGCACTGGCGGTAATAAGGACAGTAAAGGTTGGATAAGATTCCAACAGACGTTAAGAGCTGTCTTCCGAACTTTCGTTTCAGCACAATACCAGATACTTTGTTTCCTGCGTTTACACCCATCGACCTTTCAACACGCACAAGTATCGCGGTGAGACGTTTCAGTCCCGTTGTTACGTCACACAGTTCTTCTTCGCTACAACCAAATGTGAAAGGTGCATTCTTTGGTGTATGCCGCCACCTACTGTACGCCATATTGTTTTTCCTAGGATGGTGAAGTCCTTACCCAACTAAATACGTAACAGTTTCAATGTTGTTTTTTATTTGCTTTTCTCTTCTGTCATACACGCATATATGTTTATAGATACACTAACACTGAAGGCTTGGGCATATGTATATTGTTTAACTGTTTGTAAGTTATTGTTCCCTCATTGAGTTTGTAATCTGCATCTGTTCAATTAAGACGAAAAAAAAAAAAAATGAAAAAACAAACAAAAAAGTCATGACCCACCCTACTCTGCCATTCTGATTGGCTATATTTGTTGCCGTCATTGGTTTAACTGGTTAGGTTTAGGCATGAGAGTGAGATCTAGAGCATGGATGTAGATGACGAGAAGAGATCTAGAGGGGTGGCAGCTGCTGTCCCAAATGCTGTCCAATTTCAGACATTATTTTAGATACATAAAAAAAAAAACATGTTGATTATGAAAAAGAAACCCATATAATTCCATGATCTGTTATGGCCACATTTTAGATTAAGCCAAGAATGATATTTGTTGGTTGAGTGTCATTCCCAGGTTGTCAAAAACTGACGGTGGTAATGACACTATCTTCAGGCCACTAGGAGAATTTTTTTTCCAAGGATTATCTGTCTCATGTACTACTGTCAGGATATGGTGAAAGTTTCAGCAAATATGACAAAAAGTTATTTTTATAAAAGTTACCTACTGCAGCTTTATGTGATAGGCTTAAAGCTAAAACATTTTCTCATTAAACTGTCTATAAACTCTAGACCTTTGTCCTATATGTAGTTGATTTCTGTACTTACATTATCCCAGATGTTTCCAACAATGTTCAAACTCAGAGAAATCTGTCATTTTATTCAGGTGATTTTTAAGGTGGAGGTGCTTTACTCATTGTGTTTAGTGGTTTTAATCAGCGGGTCTGTTTGTGTTGGAAAGGAGGAGACCTCTGTGGATCATTGGGCTCCCGGTAGAAACCTCCTGAACCATGAACACTGAAGGAATCCTAACTGGGAGAAGCTGACTGCAGTGACGGCAATGGTGGTGAAGGCAACAAATCCCATGATCCCACGCTACTTCACCGCATCATCAAACTTCATCTTTTGTTATCATTTTGTGGCAGAATTGTATCTTTAAATTCAATGAAAAACACATACACTATATATACAATATAGTTGAATATGGTCCAGATGGGTAACTGGAGTGGATAATTGTATATGTGCAATGTTAAAGGGTATTGTGCAAATAAAAGTAAAAAACTGTTGCGCTTGGCAGGTTAATGAGTGACAGTTCAGTGAGCAGAGTCCGCAGAGGTACGAGGATCTGGGTGCTGTGGCGTTGTGGAGTCGAATGGCTGATGGCACAAATGAGGGGCTGGATTGGTCAAAGCCAGTTTTATAGCCAGTTCGTCTGCAACCTTGTTTTCCTCCATTCCTACCTGTGCTGGTATCCAACAGAAGTATATAAATTAAATTAAATTAAATAAAATTTTATTTGTATAGCGCCTATTCATAACAGAAGAGAGAGAGACAGAGAGAGAGACAGGTGCACAACAACAGTAACAACAACTACACTAATAGTAGTGACTGATGATGACGAACATGAAAAAAATGATGACGACAACAACAACGATGGGGGACAATGAGCAGTGATAAAGTAATAGTAGTAACTGTAGTAATAATAATAATAATAATAATAATAATAATAACAATAATAATAGTAAATTAAAGCTGCAAGCAGCGTTGGGCGGGACCTCCACGCAACTCGAGGCGTGCTGCGGCCGTGTCACGTGCCATCGTTACACTTGCGGACCAAAACATGAAATTTCACGTAAATCAGCTCAAAATTGCCATGCAGCGCTTGTAGGTGTAGGTGGCGCTATCACTATGTCTTAATATTGTCATGTAGACAAGTTCAGGGCGGGACTGTTATAACACGAGAAGTTTCATTGAGATTGGACCACGTATGCTGAAGTTATGAGGACGTGTTCAGGGCGAGACTGTTACAGAATATATGAAGTTTATTGGAGATTGGACTTTGCACACTGAAGTTATGAGTGCTGTTTTATGGCGAATCTGCTGAATTCGACAAGTCGTCACTGGCACGGTCATTTCACGTAACTCAGCTCAAAATCGCCACGCAGCGCTTGCTAGTTGTCACTGGCAGGCGGTTTGATGTACAGTCACAAATAGCTCAACTTTTCAATTAGTTTGTATGACCACAGAATTCAAAGTGGCCAACTTTGACCTCACGCCACAGACACGCCGTTCAACGTACAGTCTCAAATAGCACAACTTTTAATCATCACCATTTTTTGACTGTACTGACCAATTTTGAAGTAGATCCGATAAATTCCCTAGGAGGAGTTCGCTAGTGGCGTATTTTTTTTGTCCTTTTTTAAGGGAGCCTCAGGGGGCCATGGGCAATCATTGTACCAAGTTTCATTTTAATCACACATGCCGTTGCAGAGATATAAACTTCTCCATCTTAAAGAGCGCCACCTAGTGGCGATGACCTGAAATTGTGCACGATGCTTAAGAAAGACATGAGTAACTATGGACCCAAGGTTGGTGACAATCGGACATAGCAATGTGGAGAAATGGTCCACTTCTTTTTTTGACGAAAAATCAACAGGAAGTGCTAATTTTATAACTTCCTTATTTTTTGAAATATCAAAATACTTTGAATTACTTTTTTAGCCAGGACAGTCTCCAGATGCTACGTGCAAAATTTCGTGCGAATTGGACAAAAGCGCATGGACGTATCATGGAAACGTAGTTTTTGGACATTTTGCGCTCTAGCGAAAAAAAAATCTAGGCGAAAGTGGGCGTCAGCTCCATTCATCGAACGCATGGATATAAGGTTTTTGAATGTGAGACAAACGATGCAGGAGTAAGCCTATCAAACTTTGCCTAAAAGTAGCGCCACCTAGTGGCCTTCCTAGTGGCTGACCTGAATGTGATGCATAGAATATCCAAGATCGCACCAGCCCCGACAAATTTGCCAAATAAAATAGAATTTTTTTATATGTTCAGGGGGTCAAAAACACTCTCAACGTTCTGAATAATAATAATAAGAAACGGACCAATTACAATAGGGACCTTCCAGCGGTCGCTGGCTCGGTCCCTAATTAAAGCTACATCACCCCACGCCCAAGCCTTCATCGCCGGAAGCTGAGGAAGACCACTCTACACTGTCACACGTTTCAGACACCGTGCAAAAGACTTACACTTTCATAGCGAGATTCTTCACTGCGAAATTTGGAAATTCAGCGCCACGGCACAGACACACCATTGGACGCACAGTAAATATTTAATTAAATTTTGATCACCAATGTGTCTTGATTGTAGTGATTGAATTTGAAGTAAATCGGATAAAATCTGTAGGAAGAATAGTTAAAATAGAAGCCCTAAAATGCCGGAAATGGCATCACAGTTTGACATTCGATTCAAAATAGCCAACTTTGACGACACGCCGCGGACACGCCCTTCAACGTAAAGTCGCAAATAGCACGGCATTCAGTCGGCAACATGTTTTGACTGTACTGACCACTTTTGAAGCAGATCCGATAAATTCCCTAGGAGGAGTTCATTCAAATACAACGCAAAAAAAGACCACAGAATACAAAATGGCCAACTTTGGTGGCACGCCACGGACACGCCCTTCAACGTACAGTCACAAATCGCACAACTTTTAATCAGCAACATTTTTCAAGTGTACTGTCCAGTTTTGAAGCAGATCCGATAAATTTCCTAGGAGTATGTTCAAAATACAAGACCATGGAATTCGAAATGGCCAACTTTGACAGCACACCACGGACACTCCCTTCAACATACAGGCACAAATACCACCGTGTTCAGTCAGCAACATCTTTTGACTGTACTAACCAATTTTGAAGCAGATCCGATAAATTCCCTAGGAGGAGTTTGTTCAAATACAAGGCAAAAAAGTGAAAATAAAAACAAAATAGCCGCCGAGAGTTAAAATGAAAATCAAAATAACCGACTTCCTGTGGGTTTTGGGGCATGGGTCCATTAGGCTTTTCTGTAGGTCTCGGCACGTTAGACGTGCCTACCGAATTTCATACATATTGGTGAAACGTGGTGCCGGGGCTGCTTTGTTGAAATACTGTAGGGGGCGCTACAAACATGATTTTTGGTATGTGAGCTACAGACACCAGACTACACGAGTCCTATGAATTTCGTATTCATAACTATCACGGCCTCCACAGAGTGAATTACCCTGCCACCAGAGGTGTGGTTTTTTTCTCCTTTTTAAGTGAGCCTCAGGGAGCCATGGGCAAGCATCGTACCAAGTTTCGTTTTAATCACACATGCCGATGCAGAGATATAAACTTCATGTTAAAGAGTGCCACCTTGTGGCTATGGGCTGAAATTGTGCACGATGCCTAACGAAGACATAAGGAACTATTGACCCATGGTTGGTGTCAATCGGACAACCAATGTGGAGAAATGGTCCACTTCCTTTTTTGACGAAAAATCAACAGGAAGTGCTAATTTTATAACGTGCTTATTTTTTGAAATATCAAAATACTTTAAATTACTTTTTTTGCCAGGACGGTCTCCAGATGCTACGTGGTGGTGTCCCTGTCGGCTCAAACTGTCTGGAAGCCGGGCATGGTGACGTTGGAGTCCGGTATCTGCTCGTGTAACCACGTTTGTAGGGTCTAAACCTCCTCTTCTTCATCCTCCGTTTAACCCCCGCTCTGCAGCCTCACCGTCTCCTCAGCTCCCTGGTATGGAGGGTCTCTCTCCAGTCAGGATGCTCCGGTACCTCAGGGCGATCATCTGGTCGCGGGTGTAAACAATGCAACTCGCCGTCGCCATGGAGACCAGCGTAAACAAAAAACTTGTTGCTCAAAAACGCCAAAAAAGTATTTAGGCGATGTGAACAAAGTATTAAGAAAGTAAGAAAACAGTGAAAAATAGAAAAAAAAAAACACAGGCTAAAAAACACTGAAAAAACACTAACACTACAACAATGATAGGAGCTGCCATGACAGGCTGCCGTTGTCGCCGGCGCCATTCCAAGAAGAATAATAACGGACCAAAAACAATAGGGACCTTCCAGTGGTCACTAGCTCAGTCCCTAATAACTTTAGCAAAAACAATAGAGACCTCACAGTGTTTGACACTGGATCGGTCCCTAATAATATCAGTGATATTAGCAATGGCAGTCAAGCAGGACCATGGCAGGAGGCTCCAGCAGGATCCATGAGAACCTGTGAGAGGAGAAAGCACAAGAACTCCGGGGAAGTAGTGAAGTTAGTAACATGCATTAATGGAATTAATGAATGTGTGCAAAAACAGAGAGAGAGGAGCTCAGTGCATCATGGGAAATGCCCCGATAGTGTAGGCCTATAGCAGCATAACTAAGGGATGGTTCAGGACTCACCTGATCCAGTCCTAACTATAAGCTTTATCAAAGAGGAACATCTTAAGCCTACTCTTGAATGTGGAGAGGGTGTCTGCCTCCCGAACCACAAATGGAAGCTGGTTCCACAGGAGAGGAGCTTGGTAACTGAAGGCTCTGGCTCCTGTTCTACTTTTAGAGACTATAGGAACCACAAGTAGCCCAGCATTCAGAGAACGTAGTGTTCTAGAGGGGTAATAGGGTACTATGAGCTCTTTAAGATATGAAGGGGCCTGACCATGAAGAGCTTTATAGGTGAGGAGGAGGATTTTAAATTCTATTCTACATTTTACAGGGAGCCAGTGCAGAGAGGCTAATACAGGAGAGATGTGATCTCTTTTTCTAGTTCCTGTCAGTACTCGTGCTGCAGCGTTCTGAATTAATTGGAGTGTTTTAATGGACTTATTGGGGCAACCTGATAATAAAGAGTTGCAGTAATCCAGCCTTGAAGTAACAAATGCATGGATTAGTTTTTCTGCATCTGTCTGTGATAGGATGTGTCTAATTTTTGTAATATTACGTAAATGAAAGAAGGCAGTCCAAGAGGTCTGCTTTATGTGGGAGTTAAATGACAAATCCTGATCAAAGATAACTCCAAGGTTCCTGACAGTGGTGCTAGAGGCCAAGGTAATACCATAGAGTAACTATATCTTTAGACAGTGAGTCTCTAAGGTTTTTGGGGCCAAGAACAAGAATTTCGTTTTTTTCTGAGTTTAACATCAGAAAAAAAAAGAACTGTTGTAGGCTCAAAATCATATATACTTCCAATAAGAGGTCATTGCTTACTGCTTGTCCTGACTTGTATTGCGGCTACTGAATCTTTGACTGGTGGGACCTCCTCATCCCACTGAAGACTGACGATTGTTGCTATCATTTCTGCTGACTGATTACCCATTTGAAATTCTCTAACAATTTGGGAATGTGTACAGTTGTGGTCAAACATTTTGAGAATGACACAAATCTCCCTCTTTGCCATGAAAATGAACTTAATCCAAAAAAAACATTTCCACTGCATTTCAGCCCTACCACAAAAGGACCAGCAGACATCATGTCTAGTCGTCTAGTCATCGGATAGTCGGGCGAGGTCGGTTCGGTGTGTCTATTGACGTCGTCAGTCAGAGTTGGCGTTCATTTTCATTCAGTGTCCATCGGCCTCAATGACCAATCTGATTGTTGGAGTGCTAGCCCTTGACTAGCGAATCAGTGAGTGCACAAGAAAACCGGAAGTGACAATGGTAAACATACTACACCAACGCCAGTATCTTGTTATTATTAGCCATCGTATTTTCCGTTCAGTGAGTAATGACAACTATCCTTCTTGACTACTATCAACACACACTGATCCGTCATTTCCGGTTTTCATTTTTTTTGGGCGACAACACAGATTAGCGCTGCCTGCTGTTATAGGGACGTATTATGCCTCACGCATGCGCAGAACGTCGGTCCAGTCGGTGTCGGTTTGGTGTGTTCGGAGGCACTTTTTTGACCGACTCGGGGAGACAGGAGCTGACTGATCAGTCCGACTGCTTTTCTGCCGACAGTTGGCCGTCGGGTTGGTGTGTCCCGGCCTTAAGAATCCCACCCTGAACAGGACTACATGACAATATTAAGACATAGTGATAGCGGCACCTACTGGCAACAGGAAGTAAGCGATGTGTGGCAATTTTGAGCTGATTTACGTGAAATTTTCACGTTGTGGTCCGCACGTGTTACGAAGGCACGTGACGCGAGTGCGAGGTCCTGCCCAAGGCTGCTTGCAGCTTTAATTGTGAATCATATTGCAGTCGCCATGTCAAAATAACCCAATATGAGGTTTGTTTTTTTAAAGAAATAGATACACCCTTAAATATTCTTTTATCTCTTTAAACAGCAAAACACATTTTCAATGCAAATAAAATTCAGTAATACCACAACACACACACACACACACACACACACACACACACACACACACACACCATACACACACACACACACACACACACACACACACACACACACACACACAACACTGTATCAGCCATCTGAAAGGTACAGGGTATACAATCGGTGGTAGCTCTATAAGCAGATAGGATAATAAATATCTGGATTTGCTAGTTTCTCTATCTTCTCTTCTATCAATTTTCACTATTCCCGTAGGTTAAAGTTACAAACTTGTCAACTCCATTTTAGTAAAACACATGGACACAGTTGAAATCTAAAGATTTATTTATTATACTTTATGCTCAGACAATCAGAAAATAACATCTCCTTTTCTTTTCACTGTCTTCTAATCTATTAAGTGATAATACAAACACCTAATGCAAAACCTATCTAAGTTAAAGGTGGTGAAGCCTGCATCGTGGTGGTTCTCAGAGCCGACCTCAATGCAGGCAGCACGACAGTACTGAACCATGGTTTAGTGAAATGAATCCCGGTGTCCTCTGTATCATCTGTGCCGCTTCCCTACGTTCAGCCTGGAATGTGTTTAGTGTTGGTGTACAGACAAGCCATCCCATCCCATCTTCAAACATGTCAGCAAGAGCAGACATATACCAGTCTGATGTTAAGGACTCAAGGCCCTTGTATTATTTTTTCATTGAAAGCGTAATCTGAATGATTTACTAACGGCTCCCGCTGAACCTGTGCTAGTAGCAATTTGGTGAGACAACTTTATTTTTGACCTATAAGAACTTTTAGATCTAGCACTGCAATTAGCAGGACATTAATTGTCAGAGCTTTCCACAAAACAAACAATTACTGTTGTGTGATCCTCTACTATTCTTTAAAGCTGTGTGAGTGGAACAACTGTAGTGAACAAATTTCCTCCCAGGGATCAATGAAGTATTTCTGATTCCGATTCCAACTCAAATTGCTTGGTTAAGGCTAAGGACAGAATGTGTCGAAACCCTCTCCACATCATAACAAGGGAGGGGAAGCTGTGTCCAAAGACTTTTGTACATTTTCAAAACAGAATCACAGCAACTGGCCAGGTGTGTGGAGTAAAAAAGTAAAGTATGTACTACTTTTGTAACGTTGACAGAGTGTGTGTGTGTGTGTGTGTGTGTGTGTGTGTGTGTTTTATCTCCATCTGTATGAGTATTTCAGACAACAGAACAGTTTTGGAATGAGATCAGGAAGGCAAGGAAGGAAAAACAGCCATTTTTTCATATGAATTCTGAGCAGTTGTCTGGAGTCGCCCTTTTACACATGTAGCACACCAGGAGATTGTTCTCACCTACTGGAAATACTGGACCAGGGGTGGTGCCTGGGTAAATGGTAATGATTACTGTTTCTGCGTTGATATCGATACTACAATATACAGACTAGGAGATAAAGAGTATGAAGCAGCAAGCATGCAACATCATCATGCCCACCCGCTCGTGGCAAATTCTGCGGACAATGACCTACTCTATTCACACATCGGCTCGCCTGGTACAAGTTTGTACTAGGGAGCTAGCAGGGTAAAGTCCACTCCAGCTGTTTTGTGGACATTTGAGCCCACAGCTCAGCCAAATAATGCCACAGGGTTGTAATGTAAGCCCTATGTGGGACAAAGACATTTGATTTACAAAGGGCGCACCATCACACTGCAAAAGTTGGAACCAGCAGGTGTTTGGCGTTGCTCGTGATAATTCTGCATCACTCAGAAGAGGAACATCAATTTGGAATAGTTAGTGAGGATGCTTTCAGGTATCCACAGTGCCAAAGTGTTGTCTGTACATTCCAACACGCAACTGTGGAATTCCTTTAGACTGAGGCCCAGATTAATGAACGGTGAAAACATTCCAGACTGAAGAGGCAGTGACAGCGTTAGAACACAACAAATAACAGCGTGAACTGGTACTTGTTGCTCTAGACATCGATGTGCTGTGAGCTAATCTCCTAAATTGAGCTAATCTGAGCTACAAAGTACATGTGCTTCTTCTGACAAAAATAAAACTCTACACAGACATTTTCTCTGCAGTTAGATGGACAGTCACCTGTCCCTTCTCTGAGGTAGTAAATAAGTAGAAATATCATTAAAGGCAAGTATAGAGAACAATGTTTGACCCTGGAATACACCACTAGGACTTGTGTGTATCCGGTCCTTCAAAGTTGAATTCTGACAAAATTCCCCATTCTTCAACAGTGGTGAAAAAACAAAAACAAAAAAAAACTGCCCAATTGTTACAGGTTAACACTATTTCTAATGATTTTTGCAGAAAGATACATGACAAGGTAGAGGTAGAAAGTTTGACTGAATTATAATGTCAATGTCTGCCGCTAGATAAAGAAATTAGATTCATAAAATCTACCTTTATAGTTTCAATCTAATGGCACAAGAGCCAAAATAACTAGAAAGCAAATACAAATAAAAACAGAAACCCACAGTTCTCCATGTATGAGGTACAGATCCTTTTCTAGAAATGTTGTAAGTGCTTAAACCCAGTCAAGAGATTAGACACTCTTTGAGAGGCACAACAGTAGCATTTTAAGACATTGGTGCAACACTTGGGAGGCTGGTTACAATGCTAGTTAGAGAAGTCCTTCAACATAAAGTTCATGGAATTAAGGCAGGAGAGAGCGTCAGATGATGCTCTCTCTCTAAGTATCTTCCTTCCAAAATCACATCACTCACTTGCAACATCCAGCTGGAGGGCTCCTCCATCTCCACTATACTTGACCAATTTCTTGAGTGGAGCGTCCATTACGGGAAGGCAGCTTGATTAGAATCTGGGATTCTAGAATCTTGACAGCTCCTCTCCCATCTTTCCTGAGCCCCTGCAGCCCAGAGGAGGCCAGGATGTGGGGGTGGGGGGAGTGGGGGTCGTTTTTTTTTTTTTTTTTACTTCTAATTACATCAGAAACTCTTGAAATCCAAAACCACAACCAAGGAATGGGTGTCGATACCAACAGTGACATAGTAAAAGGCAGGAAATGGGTACAAGTGCCCTGGAAGGCCTTTGTAGAATCAATGCTGCATTCCATTCAGCAATTCACAACAGGCAGGTCAGAGCTACAACGTGCTGAGATCCAGTGGTCCAGTTTGAAAAGAACAAAACAGGGAACACTTGGAGACTTCCTATTGCCTAAATTACAATGCCCCAGGTCACATCATGTAGCCAGGGTTGCCACCTGCCACTGAGGAAAATATGAATAGGGGGAGAGGGCTGATGACCAGGATGATACATTCCTTATTGTGACACATGACAAGGTGTGAGCATACAGATGAATTTGAAATGACAATTACTGAAGGTTAGGGTTTAGTTTTATGCTACACAACTGGCTGTCTTGTAACAGTTAAGGAGAATGATTTTTTTGATATGTGGACACATTGTATGTCCTGTACAGACTGTAAAAACTCCGCCACACATGCCACAGTAAAATAAATTCCTATTAATCTAACCCTTGTCCAGGACTATCAGTGCCACAGTTCTGAATGACCAGGCAGGTTCAAAGTTTCTTTGTTATTGCCATAGCACATTTTACATGTGGGTTCTGTGCGATTGTGATTGAGCTAATTCCTATAAAGCTAGGAAAAGAATATGCACTTTTATGTTTTTTAAAAAGGAACAGGCAGCAACCCTGAGATCTGTGACATGGTTAGCACAGTGTGTCTGCAACTGTACATTTCAGAGTTTTCTGTTTGATCTTTTAACACAGCCGATTCAAGAGATTTAAAAGCCATACAACAAACAGATGCTGCCGGCCCTCTGAGGCCCCGCTCAGACAGAGAGGTGCAGGACTTGCTGAAAATGCTTCTTTTTTTTTTTTTTTTTTATCCAGGATGGTGAAGACATGAAACCGCCATACTCTGCCTCTGATTGGCTTACCCTGACATTCTTACTTCCTCATAGTCAAAACCTAACCAACCAAACCAATGAAGGTAACGAGTACTAGCCAATCAGAGCCAGTGTCATGACTTCACCACTCTGGAAAAAGAAAACTGACTTCCTGTAGATATTCTACATGCTAGGCTTGTCTAGGTTTAAAAAACAACCACAGTTTGAAGAGGGTTAAAAGATAAACATGTCACATATGTAGTTCCACCTTAAGTTAACTAATGTTAGCAAAACACTAGCTAGCAAATCTACATCAGTTGTTAGCTAGTTAATTTGCTAAAGTTATTGCTAAAATTAGCCAACTTAAGATGTGACTATATGTGTATATATATTTTTTGGATTGTCTTCTCAACATATAGACTAGCCTAGCACATAACAAATCTAAACACAGGAAAGGATCATTTTGACCGAGGTTCTGACCGAGGCTTGCTCAACTGTTATTGGAGCACAGAGCAAAAATGGGCATGACTTAGGAAGGGTCCATTGAAAAGTTGGCAGGAATTTCAGCTTGATTCACCCATGGTTGCAGGTAAACCATTAAGTGTATCACAAACAGAACTATTTTAAATATTACAGTAAATGCATATGTATTGAATTATATGGAGTTCAAGACCATTTCTTCAAGCAACACTTCTTTGTCTGAACGGTACCTATTGTGGGAAATGTTCTAGAGCAATAACATTCCATGGGATCTGGCATACCTTGCCATGTTGAAAATGAAATCTAAGTGCATTTTAATCTAATGATACTACGTAATACAGCAAGTAAAGTAGCATTAGAGTTTGTGTCACCATGCTGATGTGACCTTGGATAACTATCTGAAAGTCCTCCAGCCTTCCAATGTGGAATTCTTACTTGAAGAGCTGCTCTGTCACATTTGTCCAATAAAAGGACGTCAGAATTTTAACAGTGTGTCACATTGTTATTTACTGGTTGTTCATCAACTTATAATAGATGTATGAGTTTACAGTATCCTTAAAATTAAGTGCAGCCTATCCTCACAGTAACTTAACAGTTACTGACTGCCCTTATGGACACTTAAAAAGGCCAAATTCTTAAAGGCCTAATTCTAAATTCGAGAGAAGAGGGTTCAATTTATACCACCTGAAATGGTTGATAGGTAAAAATAAGTGCTGATGCACTTACTGTAGACACACCTGTTGGCGTAATGATGGATGACAAGCTCTTTACTGCATATGTTCACGGGTTAACCACCAGATATCATATCCAGGTAGTGCTGTTGAATTTGTATTTGCAATTTTCTTTATGTGCATGTACTCAGTAACGGAGTACATCTTGAGCCAACTTTTTCCTTGCTCTTTAAGGCTGTTTATGCCAATATTCTAAAATAAGAAAATCTCAAGTTAGGTCCAGCAAGGAAGGGGATGGGTTTTTTTTTTAAAAACATGATACATTACTGGGTAAAATATTCCCTAACACTGTAGCATCTTCCATTATAAACTATATCTGGATGACTCTCTGCAATGTGCAGCACCTGTGACGAGTATTAAGTGCATCCACTGTTGGTAACAGGTCTGATAAAAAAAAAAAAGTACTACTCTATTTTGGTTGTAGTGAGACCATCTACATTTCCTCAAAGGTTCAAGCTTCCTTTTTAAATAATGAGGTAATACTGATGAGGTGATTTGTTGTGTTCAACAAATAACTAAGATTAGCATAATTAGAACTGACAGGCTAAAGTTACACATTTGTTTTACAATAAAGATGCCGTTCTCATGTTTTACCCTTTTCATGAAAAATCCATGAGCTCGTGTGAAGGCCACATTTGTGGGGACAGAGCTGTTTACTGCTGAAAGGCCTGGTAGTAGTGAGGTAGGGAGCTGGAAGTGCTCATAGCAGAACTGCTGTATGCCTGAGGTAGCTGGCTGTGGTTGTGGGCTCCGGGGCCCTGGGGTACATGAGCCTGGGGAGGCTGGAAGAAGGTAAAAGGCCCTGGAGCCTGGGAGGACAGCCCAGTGGAAGAGGATGGAGAGGAAGTGGTGGTGGTGGCAGGTGGATAGCTCATCACTAACCCTCCCATTCCCATGTGTGGGCTGTAGGGCGGCAGGCTGAAAGGCAAAAAGCCCAGCAGAGGCCCGAGGTCCATGTTAGTGGTGCAGGACAGCTCGGTTGAGGAGATAGCCGGGCTCCTGGACAGCAGGTGGGGGTCGCCGCCAGCACCCACCCCTTCACCCAGACCCTCCCTCTGAGGGGAGGCAGAGGTAGAGGTAGAGGAGTTGGCCACACTCAGGTGAGGTGGGGGGGCGCTCTGCAGGTCCAGCAAGAAACTGTCCACGTCGGCACGAGGATATGAGGTAGATCCATGCTGGTACCTGGCCATGTTGCTGTAGGACTGCTGCTGTGGAGCTGGAGGGGGCTGCAGGTGGTGGTGAGGGTGAGTAGATTGGGGGGCCATGTGGCGACCCACACCCATGCTTGAGGACAAGGAGCCTTGCATGAGGCCATGAGGGTGGCCCAACCCGGGGACAGGATTGGCCATGGGGTAGGAGTTGTACATGTCCCTGGAGTAAGTCTCCATGGGCTCCTTAGAGACAGAGCCCATATCAGAGGGCACAGGGCTGGGCTCCTCCTTCACCGGGCACTGGGGGGCAGGGGTCGGTGTAGCCACAGGAGTGCTGGGTGTACAGGGTGGCATCAACCCTGACTCCTGGGCATGGCTTTTCTTCAAGTGGCGGGTCAGGTGGTCTCTGCGGCCAAAGCGTTGTGCACAGCGTGGGCACAGGAAGTCACGGCGGCCAGTATGCACGACAGCATGACGCCGTACATCCTTACGAGTATAAAAACGGCGGTCGCATCTCTCACATGAGTACTTCCTCTCTCTGACTGGCACGGCAGCATTAGTGTTTCCCTCAGACGGCGGAGGCCTGTCGATATGGCTGCCCAGGTGCTCCAGCAAGGAGGGTGTCCCCTCTGGGCAGGGCAGGCCCACTGCAGCACTGTGGGCCGCCACTAGGTGGCGTCTATAGCCCAGTTGGGTGTTGTACTGCTTCCCACACTCCTGGCAGTGGAAGAGCTGCCTGCTGGCTGTGTGGCTCTCCTGCAGCTGGCTCTTCAGATGGTCCTGCTGGTGGAACATGGTCTAACAGAAGGAACAGTACTGGCTCTGCTGCCGCACAGGAACTCTGGCCAAGAGCCTGAGCAGACACAGACAAGACTCATGAGGATTCTCCAGAGCGCTGACCATCAGCCTACACACCTCTGGTCGTTTTGTTAACTTAGAGTGCTAGAATTATTGCTAAGTGCTGTTTGTTGACTGTCCGATGGTCTCTTATGGCAATGACTAGTGGTCTGTCCTGCCTTACTGAGGCAAGCCTGTGTCCGGCACTTGGTCTCGGTGACAGCAGCTGCCATAGCAACCCCAAAAGGGCTGCGGTGATGAGGAGCTTTGGAAGCTCTGACTGGGTCTGTGTTTCCTGAGAAGAGCTCTTGTGTTGGCCTGTAGTCTATTTTAGTATTCAGCAGCCCTGAACGCCACAGTCACAGCAGCTGAATCACAGAGACAGCTCAACATCCTTACAGACCTGCAAAACAACAAAAAAACTGCTTCACTTTGTGTGAATGACACATTGTAGCTTAAATGATATGGAGCAGTAAGAAGCATGCTTGATGAGCTGACTTTAACAACAAATAACTACATAAGAGCAAAACATAATTCACACATTTTACTTCACAAGTCCATGGAGTAGAGGTTAGTTTGGGAGACTCCTGTTGGCTCCTAAGTCCTGCCTCGTCACTGAAGGTGACCGAGCTTTTGCAACATTTCCTACTCCCTACCTAAGGATCTCAGGCTAGCAACTTTAGTTTTTCAAAACATTTTTTATTTAAAAGCCTTCTTATAGTGAACACTGTATTCATTTTGTTTTATTTTAACACTTTTTGGTTGTCCTATTGTTATGTAACCCTGCATCCTTTCACTGTTTTAACCGAATCACCTGGCTGCTATTATTGGCCAATATGACTTTTTTTTTCAGTATATGATGCAGAAAAGAGAGTTGGCTGTGATTTACAATACTGTGGCAAGTTGCACAGAGTTTGGAGACAAGAAGCAGCTCTCAGCAATATCCACTAGAACTGGTTGTCAAAGTATATGACAAATTTCTGAACATGTTCAGGACCGGACAATGAAATACTCTTTAATACAGCTATTTACTTTGCAGAGTCACATCAGTGCACAAATAGTCCAAACAGAAAACATTGTTTTTATTGCTCTATGTTCTGCAGGCCACTTATCACAGTCTTCTTTAATATCAGCACATCATTTACAATTAGCTTATTGTGTTATCACAGTCTTATTGGTTTGTGTTGATTTATTATTATTTTGTGTCTCATGCCAACGCTCAATAACTGGAAATGAAAACACTTTGAAAGAAATATAAACTGCCAACCGGCCTGATGTTGGACACCATTGTAGCTGTAAATAAAGCCAACACAAGTAACAAAAACTGCAGTTTCTGTAACAAACACATGAGGCTGGCTCCTCCATAAGGCCCCATATTAAAACTTTAAAAGCAGAAATAAACATATTTATAGCCTGCTGGGGAAAAAAAAGTTTTGGTCTCTATACCTAATTTCCCCATTCATGACAACTGTAGTGATTTTTATATAACTCACTCGTTTAAATTATTTTAAGGTTTAAAGTTATGCGTAATTAAGGGCGTGGTGGCTTTGAGTGACAGGTGGGTGCCGTCACAACAGGCAGCTGTTTTCAGTAACCAGGCTTCATTGGGCCGGCCCAGCTCCACCCATGCTCCACCTTTCTGCCCAGGTTTGGATTAGCCAGGAGCCAGCGGAGTAAGGACTGTCAAGATGGCAACAGCCAGAGCCTATGCGTGACGTCACAGAGATATTTATGCAATCAACAAATAAGGTATACAGCCTTGCTGGATTGAAATACACAAACACACGACAATTGACAAAAACATAGCCACTATCAATGGAAAAACTTGGCAAAGTTCAGAGCTCTGCAGGAAATTGACCATAACTCACTGACCACTTGTCCAATCATCAGAAATCTTAGCAGATACCTTTAATTGTTTGGAAACGCATGCTAAGCATTTTGAACCCAACCCAGGACAACAAATACATGCAACAAATGTATATCATTCTCATATCATTATCACACTGATCATTACATTATCAATCCAGATTAAAGTCCCACTCATTAATTAGTGTTACTCACTCACCGCTGCAGGACATACAAGATATTTCAGCACAACAATGCTAATTTACATAATACTGGGAGAAAAGATTTTATCATAAACGCCCTCCACTACTTTATTCATTTATATCTATCTACAAAACAAACATGCACTGGGGAATGTTGATGCTTAACACCATTTAAAAAGAATAATGATAATTAAATAAATCAATGGTGTTTTACCAAGTTAGTTCAGATCCAGACTAACCCTTAAAGCACCAAATTCACACATAACACAAAGTAACCGATTGAGGCAGTGGTAGACCAGCAACTCATGTGTTCTGCGAGGTAAAATGACTGTTTTTGTCAATGGAGTCCAGTGACTGAACAGCCTGGGAACCAACAAGAGCTGTGAGCTTGTGTTTTATTTGCTCTGGACACATTAAAATCTTTTAAAAAGGCATTTACTCCAGTCACCTCATTAAATTAGGGATAGACAGATAATTTCTATATTATATATTGTTATTTTTCAAATACGATTGCAGATAAAGTGATTGCTGATAAAATAGGTTAATTTAAAAACTTGCTACTTTGGCCACAGCACTATCTGACTGGTTTCACATCAAGAGCAATAGTAGAGGATGAATAATGTTGATTAGTTCTCTTCTACTCAAATATTTTAAAAGCAGCAAAAGCATAATGTAAAAAGACCTGTATAAAAGCTTACTTAAGTAAAACTACAAAGCATCAGCATCCAAATATACTTTTAAGACCAAAAGTACAAGTGCAGAATGGACAATTTCAGAATAATGTGGAACATATTACTCTTACACTACTATACTGCTGGGTAGCTTGAAAACAATACATCGCTGATTACTAATAAATGTTATCTGAATCAGCCCTGAAAAAAACTGAATTCGATCCCTATTAATAACGCCAAAGCTCTGCTAATGTTGCTTGTTTCTAAAGTTTTCCTGCTGGACACAAGATGTCTCCTACTTCACTGTGAAGTCCATTCTCAGTGGATGTGCACTGGTGGCTTCAAGTTTCTACATCACACTGTACGAGTTGCTTACTGCATCCTTCTAGTGTCAAACTCCGCACATACATCATTCAAACAGCACACTGTAGGAACAAGAACAAACACTTATTTGAATGGCTGAGGACTTTACAGCTGCAGTAGATACATTTAAAACAAACAAAATCAAAAAAACACTTCTTGTCATATTTGCTGAAACTTTCACTGTATCCTGACAGTAGTACATGAGACAGATCTATATATATATAAAAAAAAAAAAAAAAAAAAATCTGGTTCCTCTGGCTCCTCCTAGTGCTCCTAATGGGATTTGCAAGAATCCACCGGGCCTAAATGAAAACAACCAATCAGAGACAGGAAAGATAGTTGATCTTGTCAAATACCGATGGTGGAAATGAGACTCAACAATCAACTGTCTTTCTCGGCTCTGATTGGTTGTTTTCATTTAGGCCCGGTGGATTGTGGGAAGAATATACAGTGAAAGTTTCAAAAATATGACAAAAAGTTCCTTTCTAGAAAAGGTACCTACGGCAGCTTTAAGTAGTATCTACATAACATAATGAAACGGTCTATTTTACTTTAACTCAAGTACAGAGTTTAAACATATTTACCAGCATTGGTTGTGGTTGGAGAAGAACCAGGAGCTGTGGGAACCTCGCTAAAAGACTAAAAGATGAGTTTGCATCAGGAGCACGGTGATGGGAGCTGGTAGTGCCATCTTGTGGGTCCTCAACATGGAGCTGCATGCAGCTTTAATCCACACACTTTTTCTGCTTAAACCATTCCAGCTGTGTTAAGCTAAGAAACTGTTGGTCTCTTTGGAGCCAAATAAAGTGAGGGGGAAACTTCCAACCAGGCTCATGTGAGCTGCACTAAAGTAACGGCGTACCCTGATAGAGACTGGTGGGACGGGGTCATTGCCAGACCGGGGCTAAATTTGACTGCTAGCCAGGCTGCCTTTACAAAATTCAGCGGCGGAGGTGAAATTAGGTTCGGTGCTCGGGTGTTTGCGCTCGTATTACAGCGGTTTCCATCGAGTGAAGCCACTGGTTGGCGTTAGTGCGGCTGCGAGGGAACTTAGAGAGTTAGCTGAGCCAGCATGCTGGTTAAAAAACAAAAGATGAGCGCTTCACTAACTTGTATCGGAGTTTGTCTTGCGGGAGCTAACTCCTCTGTGTTTTACCGATAAACGGTGCTCTCCGGCTCAGGGCCACAGACACGGACACAACCGCTACTTACCGACAGCGTCTCAGTCCAGCTTTCCGTCCAGCCTCCATTCCGTCTCCACATCGACATTTTGGAACAAGTTTTAAAGATGTTTCTTAGAGTCCGGGCCTGGACCGCTGGGCGCCGCGCTGGAAGCCATGCATTCTGGGAGAGTGACGTCACACCCTGGGCTCCCATATAGCGGGTGTCTGTGCTGCTCCACTGCATGATGATAACTCCTCTTCTATATACAATAACAGCGGCATTTCGCTCTGAATTAAACTGTTAAAAGTGTTTTTAATACAGATATTGATATCACTTTTTATTATGACAATAGGAGTAACAAATCCCGACGGAAGAAGATTGGGGTCACATGTGAAAAATAATAAAGTTTACTTAGAATACAACAGTACTCCCTTAGAATTTGCTATTGTCTTTAATGCTATTCCATGAGCTGTTAAGACTCATCTGTCATCTTGAATCAGAACTACACATGGTCAAATAATAATGTGTGTATGAGGGAAATAATCCAGAGGCACATGACTACTGGGGAAATATTTGGTCTTTGTTGTGTGTTGGCACAAACGATATTTTCTGTAATGAACATTTAACAACAGACTGATCCCCAAACATTAGGAGGATATATATATATATATCCCTGAGGTGTAACACAGAAACATATCCATATATATATAAATAAATTATAACAAAGTTTATTACTATTACAAAGTGCTGCAATAAAAGGCACAAAACAATCAAAAGTAAACAGAATTAAAAAAATAAATAAAACAGGGAATTTGACATGCACATATGTGTACACCAATATACACATGCTGGGTTCATTTACAAAACACACATATGCACAGACGTTAGTAAAAACATTGGATACAATTTACAGTAGTTTTGTGGACCATACCCCTGGCAGATCATTCCACAGCAAGAAGTCTGTCTCCTTCAGTCTTCAACCTCTAGAAACACTGAGCCCATTCCTGTCTGAGGAGGTAATGAGTAGCATCTGACAGCAAGTATAAAGTGGAGTGATATGTCCTATTTTTCAATTGTTTTCTGATTATGTGTTAGAAAGTGAAAGAATCAAGGATCAGTATCTCTTAAATTTAAAACTGGATTCTGGGGATCTTCCTGTGGTGGTTGAAGCAAGACTGCAAGTTTTAAAATGCGAATATAAAATCCTAAATTGAAGTTAAAATTAAATATTAAGCCTAGCTGTCTACCGGACTACCAACGTTATTCATAAAGCACATTTAAAAACAACAACAGTTGACCAAAGTGTTGTATTATCAAAGTAGAGCAAAAACCATAAAAACAACACAGTAAAAAACACAAAGGCCAATAAGCAGACTATAAAACAAAAGAAACACACACAGAGCAGTTTTAACAAGAATATAGAAAAGCTACTCTTTTGTCTCTTTCTAACCCCCAACAGTTAGACTGCAGTGCTGTAAAGATAAACTGGCTGTGATGTTGGACTGTGATAAATATACATGCAGATCTGGTTGCATAAAAAATTACTTTTTCTGTTCTTTATACAATGAATTATATTTTTAGAAGATTTGTAATATATCACCTTGTTTACAGTAATATTCTTACTGGTTTAAATAAACAATTTGATGGTATCTTTGCTGAGCAAGAGTTTTGTGCTAAAGGAATTAAAGGCCTGTCCCATATAGAGGCCTGTTCCAAATAAAGGCAGGTTGAGTTGAGTGATTGAAGCAAATAAAAGCTATTAATTGAAATTGTACAGTATCACAATATATGGAATCCTAAGCCCTGTATCGTGATACGTATCATATCACCACATTGTTGCCAATACATAGCCCTAGTATATAACGGTCTATACTGGATAGGTAAGCAACACAGTGCATAATTTATGTTGTAAACATGACCTTTTTCTCTTTAATAGTTGTGGGCATTATCAATTAAATCTACCAAATTATTTTGTTGATTAATAGTTAAAAGTATTAATAGTATGGACTTAAAACTGCCATAAAATAATCACATCACAATATCCACAAACTCCAAGGTGATGTCTTCAAAGTGCAAAATTGTTGCATAATCATTGTCTGTCATTCACTAACCATTTAATTGACTACTGGTGTTCAGCTGTGGGAACGGATTCTGTACTGCTTGTTAATAGATTTCCTTTTGTTAAAGGCTCTGTTGTTCTAAGACTAAGATTCCCAGTCTTTTCCCTTAAAGGAGACCTTTTCTGTTATTAGAGGAGACCGGGGATGGTTGTTACACTTTTTGACTCAGTTCCTATAACTTGCAGAATGTTTGTGGTAGGGCACTCAAATTTTGACACAAAGTACCCTCATTTGTCTACTACAAATAGCAATGTTTTTAACTTCTCCAACTATATCACAGGATTCATTATTTGATGTCAAATGCAAAGAGTGCCATTGATACAACCTACCCCACTACCAGGGTATGTTGTAACACAACCTGGGGTAAATTGTAACAGTAAGATTGAAGAACTAAAAACTGAGACTACACCACAAAATATGCATCTATATAAGTTTATTGTGCATGTGCCAACACTAAAGCATCTTCCTGTGCTTCACTAAGAACAAAAAGAACTCATCACTGATGGCTAAATGAAGAACAGTGTCAGTGGTATGGATCCTAACATCAGAAGAGCTTTCTTAAAGAACATATTCTAATAATACCTATGAATGTTACACATACAAATGGAAACCTGCAACAGGAGGTCAGAAGTAGTTCATAATCCACGTAAAATTACAGGAAGACGTTTGACAATTAGTAAAACAACAAACATGCACACTGTGTCTGTCTTATATGATAAAACATGAACTTGAGTGTGTGTATCTGTGTGTGTTATCCATCTAATCAGACTGATCAGAGTCACAGTGGTGACAGATGTATGTGGGTTTTCCAGGGGTGCAGTTTTTGTGGGCCCAGAACTTCTTACACATCTGAGCCACTTTTCTTTGGGTTTGGAATTTCCAAAGGGCTCCATGCACACAATGCAAAAATCATCTTCTTCTGAGGTGTCCTCACCCTTATCCTTGGTCTTCTTGGATCTCTTTTTAGCGCTCTTTCTCTCTGCATTACATTGTTTGCATTTCCTCTTTCCAAATATGGCCATTTTCACATTCTTCTTACTACTCCTCTTCTTTTCTTCTTCCTCACAGGCCTGCTTGACTGGTGTATCTGTATAGATGTCTGACTTTCTCCTTCTCCTTGTCGTACCAGTGGTCTTCCTTGGCCCTGCTTTGGGAAATGGTCTTACAGTAGAGGGACTGAACACTTTAGTTAAGGGCTCAGCAGGAGCAGAGGAGGAAGCTGCAGAGGATGTCTGTGGCAGATTGGAGGCTGCTGTAGCTCGGGCCAAGCTAGTTGCCTGCACACTTCTCATGGACGAGTTAGGATGCCTTTTCATAAAGCCTGAGAACATATCAGGACCTGCCATGTTGTTCTCATCCCATGACTAGGGGTGTTTGATGTTGTACTCCACCGCAAGTTGATATGCAAACTTCCTGACCTAAAAGAAAGTAAAACTAGTTAGCCAGTTAGTTGTACCCCATGGTACCTAAATACATACATAAAGAACTCATGCATAGAGTAGTAACTAATTCCTACTTAGGGCACACTAATCTGCACCTGTCAAATGCTCAGTAGGCCTACCTCACATGGAGGGAGTCCATAGTACAAGTCTGCTGCCTCAATCACGTAACCAGTCAACACCTCCTCTTGCTGTGCATCGAAGACTTTTTGACTGCTGTGATAGGGCAGCTTTCTTGAAGCTAGTTCTCTGAGGCTTCCAGTATCTGCTCAGTGTCACATGGCAGATGGAGTAGTCTTTGGCGACTGACCTCACTGTTTTTCCCTGCCTCACTTCATCTGATGCAACTTTAAATACATGTGCAAACACACCCACTTTTTTTTCCTCAACCACTGTCTTGGCATACTGGAAAAAAGGAGTAGGATAGAGAAAATATGTGAATTGTGATTATGGGGATGGTTGTAACATTTTCTTATATGGTGTTACAACCATCTCCACCCCTGTCAGTCAATGTTTTGCTAGCTGTATCAGCATGGTGGTTTGAAATTAGCATAGATGAAATGACTCACATTTTACTTAAGAACCTACTGTCTTACCTGATACAAGTTACCTAATTCAAACTTCAACAGTATCGGTACTAATCAAAATATAGACTTGGTCCAAAAAATTACTTTCTTACCTGAAAATTGATGTTTTGGCTGTAAAATCTGCACACTTCTTCTCACAGCCGTGCAAATTCACATGCAAGATCAGGGAGGGAGTGGTTATACATGAAACTGATCATATGACTCTTATGTTTTCTCTTATTGGTGAAAGTGATGCTGTTACAACTATCCCTTTGTTACAACCATCCCCGGTCTCCCCTATTACACAATTAATAGGCTTCTTTTTGACAGATTTAGAGTTTTCTATTCATTGTTCTTCTAGTTCTTTGGTTGTTTGAACCTTTCAAAAGCAGGCTGTTTGTCAAAGAGTGAAGGTTGGGTCAATAAAGCTTGTGTTCATGTCTTTACTTTAGATTATTATTTCAGATATAAACAGGGAATCCTGTGACAGTTACAGATAGTTCACACAGGAAGCAGGTTTATTCCTAATAGAAAGATTATTTATTGCTGGCTGCTGTTGAATCCTGAACAGAAATGGTTAAAGAACCAGATCTAATCTGGTGGAAAAGGGGTCCTCCTGATCCACATTTCTCCTCCCAACAGTTGCTGCTGATATTGAAACTAAATGTTACAGGAAATGCATAACTTATTTTAAATTATATTTCAGTGATCTTTTAGTATTTTCATTCTAAATTTTGATAGCATTATAATTAAATATATCATTTTAAAAAATAGATTTCAAAGATTCCTCTGCATACCACAAGAGGCAGTTTGCGTACCACCAGTGTTTGTGTACTTACCATAGTTTGAGAATCACTTTAACAGCTTTAAAAAAAAAATAATTTCTTCACAGAACTGAATGAAAAGCTGAGATATAGGTCTAGATGTGTATTTGTTGTTGATGTGTGTTTGTTTCTGTGAAGCAACAAATTGTAGCACTGTGCCCAAGACAAATTTCCCCTTTGGGACAAAAAAGTTTATTCTTTTCTAATCTACTGTGTTGTATTTAACACACCCCTTAAACTCAAGAAGGCCCTGCAACCCCCCATGAAGCTTCAGCGGCCACTAGTGGAGGTCAGGATGCCCAGGCTGGGAACCAGCGACCTAAGAAAAAAAAAAGTAGCTTAATACATAACTCATTTAGCATGAAAGTTCATTCTTGGAAATGGAAAGCAGTTCACTCAGGGTTTTCTTGCTTTTTTCTCTCTTTCTCTTTTTTTTTTTTTGTCTTTTTTGACAAAAAAAACATTCACAGCCTATATCAACAGATGGAGTTTGCTCTGTACAAACACAAATTTTGTCATCAGTCATCACAATTATCATATCACAAAGCCCATTTGTATTAAATAATTAAAACACCATATTGATTCCAAAATCAGTGATTCATTAGATTAATAATTATGCACTGGAGTGTCCTGATGAAGCCTCTGTGAGGTGTTTGCAGTGCTCCATCACATCATTTGTATATTTTGTTAATGTGTAAACAAATAAGAGAGGGCCAATTCTGGCTCTAGTTTGGGACACAATGTCGAAAAATATATATTTTTTTTCTAATTGTTTCATATCCGGGAAACTAATCCTTCATATTCAGTTAGAATAATAACACTTCCATTTTAAATGTATTTAGTTTGGTGCAAAATAATGGTAAAGGTCAAAGGTACCTGCAAATGTGTGCAAAGGGTTAATAAAAAGAGAGCATTTTTTAGGTCTTTGTTTGTTGTTTGGCTGTGAACAACAAAGATAAATTATAATGATGATGAAATGTATGAAAACTGATGTTTTCTTTCATTTTTGGTTAAGTATGATCTTAGTAATATTAATAGAATAGAATATTGTGCTTTCTTGTAGTACTTGGACATTTAAGCAGCCCTCTTGAGTGGCCCCAAGCCAATTTGAGTTCGAGACCTCTTATGTTAGCCATAATATCATAATATTCTAAATGTAGTAGCTCCGAAAAATGATGGACTCAATTTTTATCGGTTAAACTGTTAATGTATAATATGTGTGTGCTGGGGGTGGAGGGCTCAATCTAAACGATGCTATTCTAATATCAAATGTGATTATTTGTATGCAGCATCTGCTCAAATGCACTATTTGCATGCGGAGGGGCTGGACGTTGTTTTGTTGCATTCCTGCGGAGGGTTTGACCTTTGACCTGGTTGTTGCATTCCATAGAGGCTTGTCCTGCAGCAGCACCACAGCCAGCCCTGCATTCACATTGCTTCTGTGCCACAGAAAGAACGATGTGTGTTGAGCTAGTTTAGATACAGTAGCGGCAATTAGCAGAGCCTAGCAGACACCAGAGCATCGTCCCGAGCTAACAGGAACGTCTTGTTTGGGTTCTATACATAGTTAACCCAGATCAGAGTTAGCCATTTTGCTAAGCAGCTAAATCGCCATCGTACGGAGGTTGCTTTGTAGACACACAGCAGGCTAGCCGCAGACACCAGCGCAGAGGAAATGAAGGACAAACAAAAGAGAAAGAAGGAGCGGACCTGGGCTGAGGCTGCTCGCATGGTAAACACTATATTTTAAGCATTTAACCAACTGCATGTAAATAATGTATGAAATGATGTGGAGTGATCCAGATGTGTTGTTGTGTTTGGACATTCTCCTCACGACCACAGCCTGGGCTCTGCTAGAAGCTGCCTGAGCTAGCTACTAACATAGCAGTGCTAACCTAGCCAGCAGGCATGTAATGTTTGGTTTACTCTAACTGGGGGGTAGGGGGTAGGGGGGGCATTTTACGAGTGCTGTGTGTCTTTCTGGCTGCTAACATAAAAAGCTACGTAACGCAACATGCTAATGCTGGCTAGCACGCTAATATCCACCTCCCTTATTTGAAGCCCTTTGTTTGCTAGGCAGTAAGCTAGCTAGCCCTACGCCAATTAACGTTACAGTGTGACCCAGTAGTTAACTCAGAAAATATGCTGGCGCTGTTGGAAGTTTCTGCGCTTCATGTGAGCGAACGAGTCTGAAAAACGCGACCTTGTTAAACCCTCGACGGTAGCTTGGTGTAATAGTAGCTAATGTTGTTGTCCACAATACACGCTAACGTTAGCTAAGCTAATAGCTAACCACTAACTCAGCTGTCTTCTGATGCCACATTGAACGGAATGCTGTAGAATGATAAATAAGTACTATTAACATCAACGACATGCAACATTTAGAATTACTATTAACAATATGTAGTGTATTCACATGGACATTGTTCAAATGAAAATGTTGAACGCTAACGTTAGTGAGCTGGGGCGGGGGGTTATTTTCATAACAAATGAACTTTGAATGAAATAAAATGCACAGTGATAACGGAGCAGTTGGCTACATGTCGGACAGGTAAGTTACATTAGTGGTGTCTGGAACTGTGGCTGATCCTCAGTGTGAGGGCAATGGGGTCACTAGCTGCTGGCCTCTGGATAGGCCCTGGCTTTCTGTTCTCACAGCGGGCTTACAACAAGAACCAGGGCACAGAACCAAAGTGAAATCTGAATGAGATTAACATAAAACCACATTCACTGTCTGTGAGCAGTTACATCAATTCTAAAACATGGCTGTGATGCATTGCATGAAAGTGATGCTATTTAGTCCTTTTGTTTACACAGAACAGGCATTGATAATTAACTGAGTAGTAGGGCATTTTTGCAGAAACAAACTCAATATGAAATGCAGAAAAGTATCTATAGTATTTCCATGTTCATATTTCTCAAAGTGGACTTACAGCTGCAGCTCCAAGTAAAATGCCACATCAAGCTAGTAAATCTAGCACCTCACTTAAGTGGTAAAATAGAATTAAACACATCATTTTTTCCGGAGCTGATGATAGAAGTAGCTAAGTAGTGAGTCATCTCGTTTTCTTCCATCTCTGTTGAGAGTTGCACATTCAATGCACCAATCCGACACTCGTGAGAAAATGGCGGTGGGTAAAGACAAAGTCTATAGGCTCAAGAGAAGTGAGCATTTCCATTCTCCTGAAAACCAGTTCAACCAGCACATTGTCTTCATAATGGTCCAATTAATGGCCGAGCTGTTGTATTGGATTGAATTCGATTTTACAGATGTACCTAATAAGTGTAGAGTTCAGAACATTAGCAAGTCTAAAACATTCATATGTCAGAGTTGTACTCAAGCTCTACTAAAAGATCAATCAGTGGTGATAGGACATTTTATATATTTATATATATATATATATATATCATTATCAGCAGATCTTGGCTCTGATAGTAGTCGATGACAGTACAGCCTCCACTAGTCACGCAGGGACATAAATCACATTTTGCATGAAGGTTCTATACACAAAGTCAAGGTAATGTAATTAGGGATGGGGGCGATCCGATCCAGTATCGGGACCGATACCAGCGTGATTCACGGATCGGAATTTCCCGATCCAACCTGCACAGATTTCCGATATCCATGAGCCATGTCTGCACTTTAACGTTGTCTGCTGAAATGACTGGAATGGATTTCCTGAACGGAGGCGTGGCTCAATGAGACACAGAGTTATGAGACACGCCCCCGCTCAGGAAATCCATTCCACAGTTTGCAGCCAGCTAGCTGGATAGCATTGAGCAGCATTGTGGCTAGCCAACATGTCTGCTGTGTGGAAATACTTTACACTGGAAACACCGCAGAGCAAGACAGCAAAATGCAATGTTTGCAAAGCCGTAATTCAGAGAGGTTGAAGCTCCCTCGTGTCGTACAACACTACGAACACAATCAAACATTTAAAAAAAACACCACACGAAACAGCACGAGGATTTTTTAGCCAGGGGGCAGAAAGACAAAAGGAGCTGTCAGGAATCACTTCTGGAGTCATTCCAAAAACAAGGTAAACTCCAGGCAGACAATGGGAAAGCTAAAGGGATTACCGAGAAGGTGTGTGTGTGTGTGTGAGAGATGTTTACATTTATTGCACTTTAATTATATTTCAATTATTTGACATTTTGGGAATTTAATAAATATTGACATGACAATCAATTTGAAACCCTTACAGTTGCATATTTGTTTTCAGGATGGGATTTTTCCTGTTAACAGGATTTCCTGTTTTTCTGACTTCCTTTTCTGACCTTATACTTACCTCAAGTTGCCTTTTGGGACATACATACATACATACGTACATATCATACTTGCCTGTTGAGAGGAGTTTATTTCAGCCTCATATAAAATCAACAATAATGATAATAATATTAAAGCAAACAGAGCTCTGGTATCGGAATTGTGTCGGTATCGGCCGATATCCAAATTCAGGCATCGGGATCAGATCGGAAGTTAAAAGTGGATCGGTGCATCCCTAAATGTAATCTAATGGCTATCTGCTTCTTCCTGCTCCAAAACTCTAGTAATTATTCATTAGGGATGCACGATAAATATTTGGACAGATCGGCCGATAATTTTAATTGATCCCCTTTCAGACTTGAAAAAGCATACAGTACGTTTTCAAGGAAATTCTTCCCATGTTCCCCTCTCGGTGTGGAGTAAAAGAAAAGGGGAAACAAATCTGACCGAGCACTTCGTGCTGCTTGCATGGACTGGATAGGGGGGCTGCACAATTAATTGAATAACCATCGTGATCACAAGTTTGGGTTCCCACATTTAAGTGAACGTGATTGCCTATCAAATCAAGCACTTCCTAAACTAACAGCCAGTCTCCACTGGTGATCCAGATGTTCTGGTTTCGCTGTCCTGTTGCTGCACGCACACCCTGCAGCTGCAGCCTGGATAGTTTTATCCCTGGAAAAAAGCTAGTCACAGGAAGTGCAAAGTGTTTGTCAGTTAGCTTGACACTGGCTGATATTGTTCAATAAAAATGTCAATCAGAAGTAGGGGGGGTCATGAAAAACAATTGGCATTAAGTGCCAGTCAAAAGTTTGGACACATTTACCCATTTACACATGAGTGTGTGTAGTATGTGTCTTTCACTAGTACTTATAGTTCTTTATATATGTCTATAAATATAGTTGTTGTAGTAGATTTAACTTTATACTTAAATATCACACTTTCCTTTTTAGTGTGAAGCTTTTGACAATTGTATTTTGGCCAATATGGGATTTTTTTTTTCTCGTTATTTGAAAAAAAGCAAAACATTACAAGTACAGTTGCAAACAATTTAGTACAACATTACGTCTTTTCCTGTTTTCCATTTTTAGGTTGATGTTGGCAATCAGCAGAACAGAGTTGATTATTTATTACAGATGCAGTTATATGAAGTCCGTTCATCCAGGTTTTACATACTGTCCATTTAGTCCAGATCTGATCAAACTTTTCTGTTTGCACTTGAAGAGAAAATTACAGTTTTTCCATAATGTATATCTCGTATACAATATCAATTAATTCCTCCAATATGGGATTTTTGACACCAATATTTACTTTAGAGGGGGGAAAATTCACATTATGATATGGTAGTTGATTTAGGGAATTGTTGAGCATGGATAAAAATAAGCCTTTTCTATGTGGATTATGTACCACAGACATTAACCCCTGGTACTGACCCTGCATCTCTGCCTCCCCTCTCTCCTTCTCTTGGACATGCCCCTCTACTGTTATTTACTGTTATTGTTTTTGGTGAACTCTGCCGTGAGGACTTTGTAGGTCTCCAGTACATTGGAACGAAGGTGCAGCTTGCTGCAGAGCTGTGCCTTTCTTTGCTTTTATTAATCATAATTAATGATGGTAAAATATGTTTACAACAATTGTAAACAATGCAAAACCGATCCAACACCACGTTATTTATTAGACAGAATCGGGACCCATTCACTATCAGTTTTGACCTGCCCTACTCTAACTCTGACAAAGGGTTTACCCTGAGGCAGGCCATACAACACTGGTATGGCATATATATATATATATATATATATATATATATATATATATATATATATATATATATATATATATATATATATATATATATATATATATATATATATATATGTATGTACGTATATATATATATATGTACGTATATCGAATTGGTAATGGGTATCTACTCGCAAAGTTCAGGTATCAGAATCTGTATTGGGAAGGAAAAAATGGTATCGGAACATCTCCAGTTGATCATGTGAAATGATGAACCTTTGCAGCTGTTGAGTCTAGACTGATCTTGATTTGCATTGTATTCGGGGATTTTTTTAAGTGTTCATTTGTGTGGTTAAAAACTATGTGGATGTTTTCTAGGTTTTGGAGAACTTCTCTGATGCACCCATGACTCCCAAACAAATCCTCCACGTCATCCAGACCAAGGGGCTGAAGGAAATGCGGTAAGACACACACTAACACACAGTTTGTTGTGTTGTGATGCAAACGGTTCTCTTGAACTTGATGGCAGTAACTGATGTTTGAAGCATTATGTGGCAGACCTGTACCTCAGTGTAGAACTACAAGCCCAAAGTTGGACAAAAGCGCAGGTACTTCAGTCATCAGTCATGTGTCCGTTGTTCAGTCCAGAGTTTATCATTGCATTTCAATCAAATATGACTTGATGGAAGTTGTGTAATATGGAGTTGAATTGACAGTTGAGGAAAACTGATGATCAGCAATTGTTTAATGGTTCCTCACCGGTCTCGTCTTGTGTCAGACGAGTGGCCCTAACTCATGTTGCCATGCCATGTTGGAATTGATTATCGGTTTATGTGTCAGGTATTTGTTGCAGTCAGAACTGATCACACAGCACACACCAACTGAACTTGTCAATCATTGTGGTTTTATATAATACTGTGGTCTTATTTCCTTCTACATGGACTGCATGGACTGCTTGGCCTGCTGCGGACCTAAACAGGAGGTAGGTTGGAGAATTCTATGTATTTTGATATTCTCTAAGGCAGTGTTTCTCAAACGTTTTACAGTGTGTGCCATCTCAGAAAATATCAGGCTCTCCAAGTACCACCATTATGACCGACATTACATTATTATTAAAGCAGTGTAGGCCAACCCTATTCAGCTACAGTTTACACAGGAGGCAGGTTTATTCCTAATAAGATTATTTATTGTAGCTGTTGTTGAAACCTGAACAGAACCGGTTCAAAATGGATCATCTTGGTTTAAGCTTCTCTTCATAATAGGTCTTGTTTGGAGCTACGATTACAAGGTTTTGAACCATTCATTTTACCTCCGCTCACTATCTTACCATCACAGTTGAGCACTCTATGTGCAAGAATGTGACTATGTAGCAGGTACAAACAAAATATCTCAGGAAAACCTATCTTTGAATTTTGTAATATTTTGATAGTAGATGTTTTTAAATGAATCTATTTCATTGAAAAAAATATACATTTCTGTTTCAAACTTTCCATTGAGAGTATTATTGGCATCCATTTCGGCGTCTCGTGCTCACCAGCCACTCAAAACGTAACGTCTACTACTCTTAAACAAGTGTGTGCGGCGTGCCTGTTGTTTTGTTTCCGGTCTAGCTAGATCCGGTGTGGTGTTGTAGTTTTTCTAACGTTACTAGTTCTTGCAACAACATGTGAAAAAAACTACAAAGTGTGCTAGGCCAAAAAGAACGTTAATCTCACGGTAAAACAATTGACGCCGTTAAAATGGCTTTGCGTTAATAAAGTGTTTAACTGACAGCTGTCAGTTAAACTTCACGGTGGAAAGCTTTATGACACATAGATGAGCACCAGGTAGCATGGACAGTTCAATCAAGAGTTGTAACTGTGTGTGTGTGTGTGTGTGTGTGTGTGTGTGTGTGTGTGTGTGTGTGTGTGTGTGTGTGTGTGTGCGCGCGTGCGCAGTGGTACAGCTCCTCTGGCCTGCCTGGTCACCATGCTGCACTCCCAGGTGAGGGGAGACAGAGTCAAGAATAGCATATTCTTCAAGCTGCCTGGACGGATGAGCCTGTTCACTCTCAAGGTACTCGAACCTGATCCTCTTCACTCCCAGCATCACTCTGCTGCTAAAAGTCATTCATGGGAGATTTCATTACCATCATACTTAATGTCAGTTAGGGATGTCACAATACCAGAAAGTAGTCGATAACAGTATAATTCCATCCACCATTCTCAATGCCCATTTTCATACCACGGTTTGCTTTCTCTCTCCACTTTATGTGTCTCTGTTGGCTTGCTTCAGCAGTTTGTTTTCTAAAGTTGCCCACAATAAAGTCCAGAAGAATTGAATCCCCAGTACCTACAGTAGAAAAACGAGTACTGTCGCGTTTTCAGAACTTTGGCATCGACTTGGTACCGAAGTATGGGTTGTTGTGACATCCCCAATCTCATATCCCGAGATATATATCTATAGATATAGATATCTATATATCTCTATATAGATATATATATATATATATAGATATATATATATCTCTATCTATCTATCTATCTATCTATCTAGATATAGATATATATCTAGATATAGATATATATAGATATTACATTGTCTGTAAATGCACTGATGAGTTTATATAAAATGACCAGATGCAAAATTAAATTATATACTATATAAAACTTTACAAAAAAAACGGTACTCATTGTTTTCCTTTTATTTAGAACATTTCAGAATAATAAAATATCATTGTCTCAGCGTCTCCCACTTAAGACTTTACTTGTGCACCCAGGTATATAATCCACGTCATACAATCCAGTGTTTGTTTGGTATTGACCAAACAGTGTCACACTGTTTTAAGTGAAAATAAAAAATGTGATGCAACAATGATCATTTGCACTAATATCTGTCAAAATAATTGCAATATGTTGTTTTTACCACACTGTGCAGCCTGAATATTGTTTAGAATACTTTATTTTACAATAAACTGATAGGAGACTCCAGATGAAGAGGTACCTGCTAACTCTGTGCTGTTGTCACATTCTGTAGAAAAACGCCCTCCAGTGGACAAAGACAACATCAGAGTCGGAGACACCAACAGAGCTGGCCGGCGGTACCGCCACCCCAGCTTCCAGCAGCAGCACCCCTGCAGCGGGTTCAGCTGTGGGCTCAGTCGGGCCCACTGAAGCCACTGAGCAGGAGAGCTGCGACTCCACCGAAACCACCGCTGCTGCCAGCGGTGACAACGACGGTAACGCCTCACCACACACTAGTGACTCTTATTGTCTGTACACCAGAGGGTTTTTTAAGGTTTTGTTGTATTGACCAGTTAGTCAAAGCTGCATTTTCTTTTTTTAAAGCTTCCAAACAACAAAAGAAGCCAAAAAAAGAACTGCTGAGCCAGATTTAGTGAAAACCAATCATGTTAAAAAATGTTTTTACACTTTTGTGATAGGCTTAAGTTCAAAGAAAAAAGACTGCACTCACTGCAAAAACAGCCCTTCTAGAAACAAGCCAAATATTGTTAAATAAAATTACATTTTCTTGTATTGAGCAATAAAATCTGTGGGGTAAACCAATTTTGTTTGCCTAGAATTCTTAAAACTAGCACAAAAAATCTATCTACTGAAACCCTCCTTTTTTTTAATTACCCAGACTTATGCTTAGACTTTCTTGAGCTGAATTTGTAGAAGTTGTGCAAGCGGTCTTAAATAAGGAAAATAATCTTCTTCCTCTGCTGGGATATTATGCAATCCATTGTTGTAACGTAGCTCAATATTAGCTGTATTATCTTATTAAAACAAAGTGAGATATATTTTCTTAAAACCAGATCACTTTCTGATGCAAATTATCTTTTGAGATTCCTTTTTTGCAGTGTTGTTTGTAGTATTAATTTGTAATGCCACCTTTTAGATATTTCTATTCAATGCTTTACTAATGTGTCACAATAATGTTTTTGAGTTCAAATATCTTCATTTGGGCTTTTCCAAGCAGATATTGATATGTGATTGCTTGTGAGTAAATCAGCATATATTTCTGCCACCCTCTGGACCCATGAATATTTCTCCAGGGCTGCCCCGTGTCATGTAAATATTTTATGTGGTTTGCTGCTAAATACTGCAAACAACATGAGGTGTTTTTGCCACCCCTCTTGTAAATGTTTAAAGAGTATAGAGTTTAGAAATGTGTGTGACGGAGTGGAGTTGTAAATGTCCTTTTTAAATGTATTCTGTGACCTGAAGCCTCGGTGGATGAGAGCTCGTCCAGTGCCTCCTGCTCCACGGAGCTACAGGCTCCCAGCACCCAGCCTCAGACCCGCCTCAGCAGGGCAGCAGGACAGCAGGGACGCACAGACACACAGCAGACCCAACATGCTCAACACGCACAGACCAGACTGAGCCGCTCAAGACAGGTCAGCACCTTGCAGGAAGCCACAGGCTGTTCCATGTTTACAGTGAAAATGATGTGTTCATTAGTCAAGGATTAGTCACTGCTTTAAGAGTTCAGACTCCTATCTTAACAAGTTGAAGTCATTAGCCACGTTTCCCTGTCATACCATGTGTTTGGACTGGAAAACAGTGCTGCTCAACGTACTAACTGTAGAACTCTGTATTGTCTCCTCCTGTCTATCCCACCATCTTTGTTTCTACAGTCAGGGAGACAGAGGAAGAAAGCCGTCATGATGCCTCGTGTTGTCCTCACCCCTCTTAAAGTGAATGGAGAGCATGTCCCTTCAGGTAATAACCACTAGAACAACGGCAATAACAACACAAAGCTGTGAAAGAATTCAGACCGCTGATTGGCCTGACAGGTCAGACATGCTCCTGAAGACGAGGAAGATGGAAGTTATACTGATAAAACAACAAAAGGGTTTAATTGGATCCATTTACAAACTATCTGAAGGAACAATGTCCTGTCACAGTCAGACACCCCCACATATACCTGGGGATGCCACAGGTGTATGATGGTGCCACAGCTTTAGCCTGCGCGACTTAGTTAAATGTGTGTATTTTGCTGTGGCAGGGCCCATGAAAAGGAGTCGAGGAGGGGTGGATGTAGACTTTGAAACACCAGGCTCCATCCTGGTCAACACCAACATCAGAGCACTCATCAATGTGCGGACCTTCTCAGCCTTCCCCACACACTCACAGCAGCAGCTGCTACAGCTGCTGCCAGAAGTGGACCGCCAGGTATGTTGATTTCTGTCCTAATTATCACACACAGAATTAGGAAGCAAAAGAATTTAGTGCAACATTACAGATCATTACTTTGAATCTTTTTTCAATTGTTAAATTCAGTCAACTTGACAGAATGCTGACCTGCAATCACTCAATTGTTGGACACCACAACAACTGTTACAAGACAAACCTGGACATTTTGCCAGATTTTATTTTTATCATTAAAAATTACAATGAGCTTATTGTGAAAGAAAACTGATAGTTTCAAAGTCGGGGTAGAGTTGGATGCAAACCAAACTGAAGTTGTGTGCAATTTAGGGCAGTTTGCAGTATGTTAGCTTAAGGGTCTTCTTGTAGTTTGTATATAATTTATAATTTTAAAAAGCTCAGCCCAGTCAACAATGTTTCATAACTTTTAGGGTAAATTTGACGCGTGTAAGGCTTTCTCAGGTGAATTCATTGTTTTACTGCTATTTGTACATTGTGGCCTCTACCCTTGCAGATTGGACCTGATGGTATGGCCAGACTGAGTAGTTCAGCTCTCAACAATGAGTTCTTCACTCACGCCTCCCAGAGCTGGAAAGAGAGGCTGGCTGAGGGTAAGAGACTGGTCAATCATCGACAAGCTGATAAGTCACATTAGATGAGACCTGATGGGAATTTATTGATTACTGTAGGTAAGGAACTAGTCATGCCATGACATGACAGAAGCAATAAGTAACCAAAAGGTTCTTATGATGGTGAGGAAAACATAAATACCAGCGGTGAAATCTGCAGTCCTGATTCAGAGAATGTAATATCTTTATACTGGTAGCACTGTCTTGGAACATGACTGCAACTGAACACTGGCTGCTAAGTGAAAGGCACACTTTAAAAAGTTCAGTTGTTGAACTACTCTTTTAAACCTTCAGATGTGTTTGGCCTGTTTAGGTGAGTTCACCCATGAGATGCAAGTGCGTTTCCGGCAGGAAATGGAGAAAGAGAAGAAGGTAGAGGCGTGGAAAGAAAAGTTTTTTGAAGAGTACCATGGGCAAAAGTAAGAGTCAACCCAATTCATCCAAGTCTGAATTCATTGTTCACACATGAGCTATATTAGGTTTTGTCATATTGGGGCTCATTCATTTGAAGTTAGAATATTGTTAACATTTATTAGTTGAATGAACATTATTGACCCCAAGTAGTATAATTTAGGAAAACCTTCATTTAACTGCATGTTTTAAGCCATTTATTTCCATCTCCTTTGCTGTCGTCCATGGAGCCCAGACAACTCGTCATGGCCACTATGATTTGCAGATGTATGTCAGTGTTTCCACTATGTGCTAAAACGTAGTTTGTGTGTCTGTAGGTCTGGCCTGACACAAGAGGAGTCCCTAAAGCTTACCATGAGTGAGGCCAGTGAAGTTGCAGCCAGTGTTCTGGAAAGTGATGTGGCTGTGGTTGCTACTGGTGCCCCCAAGAGACGAAGTGTGGGTCGGCGGAGGAGAGATGGCAGGATGAGGAGACGCACAAGGGCTGACCTGCGTCGCAGGGCCCGTCGGACCCTCTGCAAGGCCACTCCTCCGGCCTTGCAGTCTGCAGAAGCAACTGAGGCCAGCGCTGCACTGGACATCTCAGCAGTCTCTGTTGGCTCTCCTATGTCCGACAACACAGTGGTTCAAGCCGAGGTGGTTCTGCAGGCTGAGTGTGGCGTGGAGCTTCCAGCTGAGAGTGCCTCTATGGAGCCAAAGCCCTCTCCCACTCCAGAGCCAGTCACAATGCCAGCCCCCACTCCCACTCCCACTCCCACTCCGACTCCAACTCCGACTCCGACTCCACTCCACTCCGACTCCCACTCCCACTCCCACTCCCAGCCCCAGCCCCAGCCCAGCCTCCACCAGCGCAAATGAAGAGCCTGAAGTTACAGTCCGCCTGCTCCCAGAAGAGGCAGCACCTGTACTGGCTTCCACCTCCTCCCCTTCCTCCTCCTCCTCTTCTTCTTCGTCTGCCTCCTCTCCCGCCTCCTCACCCTCTTCACCTTCTGATAGACAGGGAGCTTTTGCTGCAGGCCTGGACTCCTCGTCATCCTCCTCAGCATCCTCCAGTGCCGCAGTTGCAGCTGATCCCCTGGATGACACCGCCTCTGTGGTCACCTCGATCACAGGGGGCACTGCCACCAGCAGCCGTGAGAGCAGCCCCTCAGCAAGCCCAGCCACCACTCCTGTACCCAGCTCCCAGCTCAAGGAGCAGAAGAGAAGGCCCGATGAGGCTCAGGCCTTCTCCAGTTTCCCCGAAAAGAGGCCACGGCTTGACGACCGTCAGTCCTTTCGTACCACAATTGACAGTGTCCGTTCGGAGAAGCCGCAGCCGACAACAGAAGAGCCCAAGGTGCCGCCTATCCGGGTAAGACTTTGTTGCATAAAGCTCAAGGCTCCAAGGCTCATCTGTTCACAAGATTTGTGCATAAAAATGATCTGCCTGTTCAGAAATTAGTTGTTGTCCAAGTTTACCCACTGTCCTTCTGTCTTTGTCCCAGATTCAACTGTCCAGAATCAAACCTCCCTGGGTCAAAGGGCACCCCACCTACCAAATCTGCCCCCGGATCGTGCCCCCCGGCGAGGGCTCGCGGCGGTCGGGGACGGGGGGCGCGCGCACCCTGGCGGACATCAAAGCCCGCGCCCAGCAAGCCCGCGCCCAACGCGAGGCCGCTGCTGCTGTTGCAGCCACTAGCGACCGGGCAGGGCCGGTCGGGGTCAGGCTGCGGCCTGCTGCTGGGCTACCGGATAGCAGCAATGGACGAAGAGCGCGAGAGCATCCAGGACCTATCGAGCCCGGAGGAGGAGGAGGAGGAGGAAGTGGAAGAAGGGGAGGTGGTGGGATGGAGGAGCAGGGATCGTCTTCAGGCGCTCATTCGTCTGGAACACAACTACAGCTTCTCAATGTAGAGCCCATGCCCCAGCCCTCCCCCTCACTGTCCACTACCTCAACCTCCACGTCCTTGGAGCCCCCACAGACCCCAAGCCCGCCTTTAGAGGAAGCATCTGGAGGGCCAGAGGCTGAAGAGGAAATCGAAGAAACATCAGCCAGTGTCCTGAGCTCCTCCAATGGGCTCACAGACAAGGCTGCTGACTCGCCCTCTCCAAAGCATGACAATGTATCAGAGTCTTTGGCTGCCCAGTCTACCAGGCAGAGCCAGGTGCCGGAGTCTGCTGTTGTTCCCACTGAGAGGGCAGGCCAGCGCTGTGAAAAACCCTCACTGGCCCCAACCTCCATCCCAGATTCCCTTCCCAGGTTCGGAGCTCAGGGGGTGGACGTTATTCAGACGCTGGCCAGCTCCTGTCAGCCCAGAGAGCAGGTTCAAGGGAAGGAGGCTGGACTGGGCGGTGTTATCCAGCATGGTTCCCACCACATGGACGCCCAGGAAGTATTGTCTCATTCAACTGCAGAGAGACGAAAAACAGACACACCCTCTTCCCAACACGTGGACTTCTCTGGCAGAGAGAAAGAATATGAGGCTGGAACACATAGCGACTCCACGGAAACCGCTTCGGACTGTGAGAATGAGAGCCAAGAGGACGAGCAGCAGGCTGACCGGGACTGGTGCACCCAGCTGAGCGCCCAGAGAAACGGCCAGCTGGTTATCCGCAGCCCCCATCCTCAGAACCAGCAGCCAGTAATCCAGGCACACGTGTCCAGCCGCCAAGGTCAGACTGTCATTCAGCCTTGCTTCCCCAATGGCTTGCCTCACCCTCAGCACAGCCGCCCCCATTCCCAAGAACACCCCACAGTCCACCCACGGGGGCTCAGGGACACCAATATTGTGGTCAAAATGGAGCCTGGAGATGATTGTAGAGTCTCCAGACAAAGCTCTGCTGAAGAGGAATGCCGTGGAGGTTTAAAGCCCTCTGTCACTAACCCAACTGCTGCAGCTGCCTCCAAGAGACTGGCCACCTCAGCCAGACCAGTATCCAGTGTGGAAGCCAACAACCCTTTGGTCACTCAGCTCTTACAGGGCAGCCTGCCCCTGGAGAAAGTTCTGCCCTCACACGCCAACAGACTGGAAATCAGCCGATTGCCAGGACCCCAATCCAGACCACCAGTGGCGAGGACCCCAGGTCCACGCGGCAGGCCTGAGGTCTCAACCCAGTCTCCTAGCCCAGAATTGACTGCAGCCTCTCACATCCACAACAAGTCTCCAACAGGCCGCCCAGTCTCCTGTGTGATGGATTCCTCCGCTGTGTCGCAGTATCAGTCCCAGCAGGCCCCCGGGGCTGTCCCGGTCATCACCTCTCTGCCACCCTCCTCATCCTCCTCCACTTCTTTAACCAACAGAAGTAAGTCAGACCTAAGCTCTCACACCGTTGTGGAGTCTGCAGTTATCAAAGACTCTCATGGTCCTCAGTCCTCACAGGGGGCCACTCCAGACAGGCTGCAGCCATCCCACCAGACCATGCCTAATGGCCCCTCTCCTCCCCATGCAGACCCCTGTCCCACGGAGGTGGTACCCACTATTAAGATCAACTGGAGGCCCCCCCAGTCTCAGCTCCCCCACCCTTACCAACAGCAGTCATCTCCTGCACCCACCGTGAAGAATGAAGTGGGTGCACGGCCCTCCTGCCAGGCTCTTGCCAAATCCTCCCCCACTAAACCTATGAGTGTTACCAAAAAGGAGCCTGGGAACTCTGTGGACAGCTACCTGAGCGGAGGGGCGATGGAGGGACTCCTCAACATGGAGATGACTTTAGCCAGGATGGCGAAGAAGGAGCATGGCAAAGGGCTCTACTCCTCTGGCTCTCCCTCCTCCTCCTCCCCTTCCCCCTCCTCGTCTGTCTCCTCCCTCCCCTTCCAGCTATACGGGAAGCTCCCCAAGCAAGGTGGAGGAGTAAGCTACACAGCCAATGTGTCAGTGATGGACAACGGCGGTTTCTCCCGGAGCATGGCAGACGGCGTTCTCCAGCTGCGCCCCCGCCTGGCCTCCAGCCAGGCCACCCTCAGCATCCAGGCCTTTACTGACAGTACGGCCGAGGAGGTGGCACTCAAGTGCTCATGCCGCCTCAAAGCCATGATCATGTGCCAAGGCTGCGGTGCCTTCTGCCATGACGATTGCATCGGGCCCTCCAAACTGTGCGTGTCATGTCTGGTGGTCAGATAGTATGTTGAAGTCCCTGTGCACTGTAGAACTGCTATCTGTACAGTATCAGCAGCAGGACGGGGGGGCTCCAGATAGTACTGAAGGGTAGAACACACAGGAGGAGCCTAACAGGCAAGATTTGCCATGTACAATATTATTGGTCTGTATTTTTTGTTGTTGCAGATTTTCAGATTTTTTTTTAGCTGTACTGATATATTATTATTATTGTTATTGTTGTTATTATTATTATTATTATTATTATTATTATTGTTATTATTGTGAATTTGGGGCATGATTGATTGTAAATTGTGCCTTTTTTGTTTTCTCTCCTCAAAAACATTTACCTCATCTTATCTTGCTCCACCTGTCATCATGTGGTGGCCATCATTGTTTTGGTCCCTCGTTTCCTCAGCAAACAGGGACTTATTGTTGTCTCTTTGCGCAAAGAAGTATTTTTTTAACCATTAAAATTAGTAAATTACATTGTTTCACTGGTCTGTGTTTTCATTTATGTCTTGGTTCTCTTAAACTCCTGTCTGCAATTACAGTTAACAGACAGTGTACAAGTACAGTGCTGTACCCCCTTCCTGATTTCTTATTTGTTTGTATATTTGTCTCACTTAAATGTTTCAGATCGTCAAACCTATTTTAATATTAGACAAAGATAACCTGAGTAAATACAAAATGCAGTTTTTAAATGATGATTTTATTTATTAAGAGAAAAAAGCTATCCAAACCTACCTGGCCCTATGTGAAAAAGAATTGCTCCCCCTTGTTAAATCTTGAATTAACTGTGATTAACTAATTTTCAAGTTTCAAGTTAAATTTCACTAGCCACAACTGAAATTTATAAATTTAAGAACTCATTAGAAACAAAATCATTGACGTCTATCAGTCTGGAAAGGGTTACAAAGCCATTTCTAAGGCTTTGGGACTCCAGCGAACCACAGGGAGAGCTGTTATCCACAAATGGAGAAAACTTGGAACAGTGGTGAAGCTTCCTAGGGGTGGCCGGCCTACCAAAATTACTCCCAAGAGTGCATCGACGACTGATCCAGGAGGTCACAAAAGAACCCGGAACAACATCTAAAAAACTGCAGGCCTCACCTGCCTCAGTTAAGGTCAGTGTTCATGACTCAATGAGAAAGAGACTGGGCAAAAATGGCATCCATGGGAGAATTCCAACATCGTTTACATCTGGGGTAAAACTAATGCAGCATTTCATAGAAAGAACATCATACCAACAGTCAAACGTGGTGGTAGTGTGATGGTCAGGGGCTGCTTTGCTGCTTCAGGACCTCGACCATAATTAATGGAACCATGAATTCTGCTCTCTACCAGAAAATCCTGAAGGAGAATGTCCAACCATCAGCTTGTGACCTTAAGTTAAATCACACTTGGGTTATGCAGCAGGACAAGATCCAAAACACACCAGCAGGTCCACCTCTGAATGGCTTAAAAAAAAACTAAATTAAGGTTTTGGAGTGGCCTAGTCAAAGTCCGGACTTAAATCCGATTGAGATGCTGTGGCATGACCTTAAACAGGCCGTTCGTGCTTGAAAACCCTCCAATGTGGCTGAATTAAAACGACTGCAAAGAAGAGTGGGCCAAAATTCCGCCATAGTGATGTGAAAGACTCATTGCCAGTTATTGCAAACGCTTGATTGCAGCGTTGAGGGTGGCTCAAGTTTTTAGGTTTAGGGGGCAATTACTTTTTCACATAGGGTCAGGTAGATTTGGATAGCTTTTTTCCCTTAATAAATAAAATCATCATTTAAAAACTGCATTTTGTATTTACTCAGGTTATCTTATTAAAAAGTATATATATATATATATATAAAAAAATATGGTTGATGATCTGAAACATTAAAGTGTGACAAATATGCAAAAAAAAAAATCAGAAAGAGGGCAAATACTTTTTCACAGCAATGAAATTGTCCCAGACTGCCTATTTTCCTTTTAGTACAACATCTAAAAATAATAGTATGAGAAAGTTTGAGTCAATACAAACACACAGTCAGCCCAGTCCACATTTACTGCAGGTTAACCTTTATTTCAAGAGCAACTTAAAGACTAATCCATACACAGCCATCATTAACACATAGACAATACAAAATAAATATTCACCATCACTTTGTTCTTCATCACCAAATAAATACCAAATATGTGCAGCTCAATATTCCCAGTGTATTGCAATGTACTCAAAATAGTTTGTGAAAATAAACAGGAAAATCATATAAACAGAAGCACCAAAACCAAAAACAAATCTTTAGAAAATTATTAAAAAACTTTCAGTTACAAAATATTTGCACTTAAAAAGATCCCAGTATTTTAAATAAATAATAAGATATATAAAAGAATTCATAGTTGATATCTTAAAATATTTCCTCTTTGTTCAACAATGCAGAGGAAATTATTTCCTTTCTCATGGTTACCGTTTAAAATCTTCTCAGGTAGCATTTTGGAAAACAACTGAATAAATAGATAATGAATAATAAATAGGCCAACATAAAAAATACAGCAGACATGAATAAATAAGTTGTTATTAAACTAACATTTGCAAAGGACTTAAATAGTTACACAGCAATAGTAAGAATGAATCTACAAACTAGTCCTGGAGGTGCAACATCACTATGCTCATATAGAATACTATCAACATTATTGAGTGGAGGTGGGATATGTTCACTAACTAAGAGGATCTGCTCAGGCTCTGTACTGACCTCCCGCCTTTGTTCTGCACTCTCTGCCTGTCTGTATACACCCTGCTTACAGTAACAGTTTAACTCCAGTGTGCTACCACGCACTTCACATCCACACCCTCATCTGTTCACACTCACACCGCCATAAAGCAACATGCAAACAGCAAACAAACGCAAATAACAGATGACAAAGTTCCAAATGAGAAGAATTAATTACATACAGTATCTAAAGGGTTCGGAAAGAAAGATTGGTGTTGTCACTGTGATGCCCCCCCCCATACTCCTCCTGTCCGTCACACCTCGATGCCCTTCACCGCCTGGTTGATGGACTCAAGCAAAGCCCGGTTCTCAGGGTTCTGGTAGCAGTCTTTATTGGTAAACATGTGGGTCAGGGTTTCTACGTAGCTGTCGAAGTTCTGCTCTGACAACGGCTCCTGCTGAAAAACACACACAGGTTCAGAAGTCCAAAAATTCCAAACCCTGTCAGTCAGGTAAGATCTGGATCTTTTAAGGTTCAAAGGTCCAGTGTGTAACATTATTCATAGGTATGTATGTAAAATCACCTGAATATAGAAAGTGTTGTGTTTTTACACCATCATAATACACTACATAGCTACAAGCCTATGCCTGACACAGTTGTTTGTCCCCCATGTACCCCCAACTCCTCTGTTGCATTTTTTAAATATACTGCAGGGTTAGTCCAGGGTTGTTTAGCAGGTCAAGACAGGTGAGTCTCAAGTTACCGCTCTCTCTGTTAGCCATGTATAGAAAAAGAGAGTTTAACTGTGTAGAGGGACAGCAGTAACGGAGGCTACAGTTGGCCATTCATCAATGTCAGACAGCTAATTATAGATCTGCTGATGGTTTATTGAGTCACTGATATACTAACAGTCAGTATGGTCAGTATGTACACTATTGCACTGACTGATGAATGATGGAAAGTGTGATGACCCCTCCCCCCTCTGGTTGGTCTGGGTCTTTTCCCTTGTTCACAGGAGACAGAGTGGCAGAGGGTGTGGCCATGGGATGGACTACACCTGGTTTATCCTGATTGCTGGGCTTTACAAGTGGTTGATCAGTGATCAGTCGCTCTCTCTCCTTCCAGCCAGCAGGTTCCTTGGTTTTTGATATATGCATTACCTTTTTCCACACACTTCACCCATGTCCACACACTAACTACATTACTGACCATACTGACGTACATATACATATTATAATTTGTTGTCATTAATATTGTTTAATTAAACTTCTTTTTGTTTAAAACCCTCAAATTCTCTTCCTTTGTCATGAGCCTAGAGCGGGTTCATGACAAAAGTCAGGAGACCACAAGTTATTACAATTCATCCTGAACTTCGGTACAAAATTTCATGGCAATCCATCCATTTGTTTAGAGACATTTTACTTAAAACCACAAAGGTCAACCTCATGGTGGCACTAGCAGAAAGAACAGGATCGCCAAAGTCAATTGAATTTATCCTCTGGGGACAACAAATATTTTGCAACATGTCCAGTCCATCTGGTAGATGCTGAGATGTTTCACAGAATGAGTTAAAACTTTGACCTGCCTTCCATCAGTCTACCCCAGAGAATAGATGCTGGGGTGTTGGGACAGACGGAGTGTAACCTCAAAAGGACAAATCAGTTCCATTCAGGCTAAATTGATCATCCTTGGTAGCCGGATGTTCTTGCTGCTTTTGGTTAAATTTTGCAATCAGGTGCTCATTTCTTCTAAGATTGAGAAATTATTATAGCTGTTATTTGCTTCTGTTGAAGTGAGATACTCTATAGGAGAAGGGAATTTGTCCTGGTTTAAAACACTCTGTGTACACTCACCATGGCAGGCAGGCGGATGTTGGCCAGGCTGCGGATCAGGGCCTGACTCAGGCCGGATAGCTCCAGGAACAGAGCTTCATTCCTCTCCTCGATCTGTTTATTCTCCTCCTCCATGCTCTTCAGATTCTTCTCCATCGAAGAGATCTGAAGCCGAGACAGATACAGAACACAGAAATATTCACTGTCAACAGCTTTATAGACGTCTTGTGTGGTCTATGGGCAGTGTCTCCTACAAGAAACATGTCTCATCCTCGTCCGTGTGCAGCAAGCTGAGCAGCTGAGCTCACCTGAGTATGCAGGTTCATCATATCGGCCTCCATCTCTGAGTTGGACTCGTTGAGCTCGTTGATCTCCTTGTTGAGCTGCTTGATGTCCTCATCATTGTCCAGAACTAAGCAAGAGCAACAACATACCTTAACACACCTTAACAAACCTCCTCTGGCCGTCACAGATTTCTATTACAGGTACAGGTGCTGCACGTGGCAACAAGTCTATTAAACTGTAGAAAACATCACATTGGGGCTCCTATGTCCTGGTTTCTTATATTCTGATGTCACCATGTTTTAGTAGTTTGGGAGATATATGTGAGACATGTGGGACATATCAGAAGTGGGACCAAGTCATTGTTTTGCAAGTAAAAAGTACGTCTCAAGACTTTGCACTCAAATCCCAAGTCAACTAATGGGGCTCAGTAACGTAACATTAGCTCTTTATGGTTCTTTCCTGTAGCTTTATTAGATGCATTAAGGTAAATGAATTGATTAGTGGCACATTTTTTAAAAGGTTCTATATATGAGATTTAAAACATTTAAGGACCAGTGTGTGGGATTAAGTGGCATCTAGCAGTGAAGTTTCCGATTGCAACTAACTGAACACCACTCATGTCTGTATGTCTGTATCTGATGATCTGTGAGAACAGGCTGTGAAAAAAAAAATGCAAACACAAAGACCCTATCTACAGCCACTGTTTGGTTTGTCTGTTCTGGGCTTATATAGCTGCAAACAACTATTCTCTATGTAAAGATATAGTGGAGTCATGGTGTCACACTCTCTCTGTGTTGCTATCAAAACCTCTCTGTGGTTTGAGAGTAGAGCGACTGAAACTGCTGTTTTTATCATCTACGTCTGAGACAGTGTTTCCTCTATGTTGATTTTGGAGCGGCGGCCCGCCGCTGTTAACTTTCTGCCACCACGGTATCAGAAATGGGGCAGACGCACAATGTAGTCACGGTTGCCTTTTAAATGATCCTGCCGACATAATGCACCCCCGTTGGCTGCCGCTCACATTGCAATTTAACAACAAGTAGAACTATTTAGAGGTTATTGGGGCTGTCCAGTTAAACTCCAGTTCGGATGGGCCTGCCGCCGCTGCTAAAAAAAATCCTAGAGGAAACACTGTGAGAATTAAGGATTTCTTTCAACCAAACCAGAGTTGGTGATTGTTTGAAAGCCTAACAAAGTCAGTTTTGGTGAGCTAAATTCTGTCCCATTGTTTTGGTCTGGTGTGCTGTTCCGCTAGTATGACACCTAGTTGCAAGTGAAGTTCGTATATAAAACCTATATATAAGTCCAAGTCAAGTTGCAAGTTTTCATTTTATATTGTCAAGTCGAGTCCAAAGTCATCAGACTTCATTAGAGTCTTCTCCTTCAGGACATACTATCAGGCAGGGGGGAAAGGTCAGTATGTCTCTTACCGTCACTGGCTCTGAACTTTGCAGTGATATACTCGTCTCCAGGGAACTTGGCTCTCTTCTTGTTTGCCGATGCTCTGGGACAACCTGACAGACTGAGAGGAGCAGCTGATCAGGATTAAGAGCTCTTACATTCTAACAAGGCTGAGATTTTCTATGTACATAAGGCTCATGAGCGATAAATGGGGGCCCAGCAGCTCATTTTACTTGATCACACTGCTCTCTGTGTGCCGAAGCTCAGACATTCAGGATACCTGCGGTGCGTCAGGAAGCTGCCGTTAGCGTGTCCGGAGCCGTCGCAGCCTGGCGTCGGGCAGGTCGGGCCCTCAGTCTTGAAGGCCTTCCAGGAGAAAGGAGTGCCATTAAGAAGACCTTCCTTCTGCCGGCGTGCTGCCAGTGGACAGCCGTAGGCACTGCGGTGGGTGGCGTACTTCCCACTAATGTGGCCCAGACTGTCGCAGCCAGGAACTGGACACCTGGAGACAGGCAGAAAGTAGGCAAAAAGTTAGTTTGAAAGGTAAAATGAGGTTTAAAGCAGGATTTGAGGCTTCACACAAAAACATGTTGTGAATTTTGGATGTGATTGCGTCTATTTTCTGTCAATACACTTTTTACTTGGCCTTTCAAACAAAGTTATTAGAATCATTTGGATCATGCAAGTCGGAAACAAATTCCTCTAACAGCCGTGTATGAGGGCGTATTAGGGCCATTGCTTTTGAAAGACAGAGGTGGGGGATGGAGGTTATATTTCAGGATTAAATTAATACATTTACTAGAAAAAATTCACAAAAATCTCTAAAATTAAAGTCACAACTTTACAAGACAAAAAGGGTTTTAAGGATGCTGGAAGTCACAGCAGGGGTGCTGAGAGAAAGTCAGTCTATATAAATGTGATATATTTAAGCTATAATCTGTAACATTTCCGCATTAAAGAGTGTATAAACACTAGCTCTATGTTCTATATGTTTTGTTCTTCCATTATGCCAAATGTTTCCAACAATGTTCAAACTCATTTTATTCAGGTAACGTTGTGTTTCACCGGTCACCTGTCAATGGTGTCTTAACCCCTTTGTGCATGCATCAGCGTTGTGGTTATATCATGCTACTTCACCATGTCATGTCAAATTTGTCTTTTGTTATTGTTTTGATGTGAGAGACCCCCTAGTGGCAGAAATTACATATTGTACATTTAATCTCAGAGAATTTTTTTCTAGCAAAGACTTTTTTTGATTATTTCTCCCCTGCCAGTAGGGCCATTTATTTTATACAATGGCCCTACTATGCTGTAGTATCCGTGGGACAACGCCAGTCTAATGTTATATGTGCCTAGCTCTTTAAGAGCTAATGAGCTACAGTGTCTCACCTTAACAGCTCAGAGTCTTCCTTGTCGTCCTTTGTGGGGATCGATTTGATCCCGCCTTTCTTGGCTCGAGGACACCCAGACAGACTGGCAGAGAGGAGCAGAGAGGAACAATCACATACAATCTGCATACAGTAACTGACAGTACAGCAGGATGAACAGGAGGAGAACTCCTACCTTCTATGTGAGGCGTAATTTCCAGTGATGTGGCCTGATCCGTCGCAACCTGGAGTGGGACACCTGAGACACACACAGACGCTCTTTCACTCCACAGGCTTACACTAACAGCAGACTGCAGGCAGAAACCACTTTTCCTTACTAAATAATGAGGGCTCATTGTTTTTGGTTTGGATTGTTCAATATTGGACTTAATTATGATTGATTTTGAGTATTTTATATTAGTGTTAAAAGGAGAGCAGGGACAGAGCTGTAGCTGCAGACTGAGTGCTCAGTGAACATGTTGGAGGTGAGAGACAGGAGAAAGCAGACATACTTTAGTTCAGCTGTGTGGGCAGCCATGAGGGTCCGAAGTGATTTATCAGCAAGAGGACAGCCTGACAGACTGGAAGATAGGTTAGAGAGAGAACGTCAGAAAACCAGACTGAGAAACAGGATGTCTGAGCATGAGTGAAGGAAAGAGCCAGAACCTGAACTGGACTACAGAGCCAGGACAGGACTGGGCAGCACACACACAGGGAGGACAGGAGTTCTTTTATTATCTGATCTCATCTCTTAAGTGATTGGGCACGACAAATAATAAACGATGAATGTGTGTGAGTGTGTGGAGTCATCAGGTGCAAATCAAACAATCCACTGGAAGATGTTTAACTGTCGAAAGGCCTCTTTAGTTCTAATGACAGCATGTCTCCTGGTCACATGATACAGGAAGTAACCAAAGGTGAGAATCCTTGTTCAGGGCCCAATCCCAATCTCCACAATCTTAGACTCACAGGCTTTGAGACGCATTTCTGCAGACTTTGCGTGAGGGGATTACTCACAGTTTACAGACAAGAGACGCCCTTAGGTGTTAAAAAGCCGCAAACAAACATGGGAGGAGCCACAAGAAATGTGTGATGCTAAATTGACAAATATTTGTACATTTTTATTATTTGACCTCTCATCCACTCTCCCTTAAATTAAGAAAGTAAAATAAAATAAAATAAAAAGTCCCAAACCCACTCGGCTATGTAACTAGAGCTAGAGCCAAACAAAGCTTTTTATGTAACACGTTTTGACGTCATCAAGATTACATTATTATATAATATAATATAATATAATATAATATAATAATTATACAGCACTTTTAAAAAACAAAGTTACAGAGTATTTTGCATGGTTGAACCAGGATTAAAACATTTCAGAAATGAATCAGGAAATTAAAATAATAAGTTAAACCCCAAACAATAAAGATACATTCTAATAATAAAACAGATAAGACATATTAGAATATTTAGATATTTAGAAGCATTTTAAAAGATGTCACAAAGTGCTGTCACATTCCTATTTATACAAACTCTTACCAGGTGACGTCGACTACATCTGGGAGGGTTCAGGGCTTTAAGGTGGACATTGGGATCGGGCCCAGAAGACAATGAGATGCTAATCGCCATGAAGGTGCTGATGTTACAATAGCTCTTTCATTAGAACTGAAGAGGCTGTTTGGATGAATGTGGAACATCTTCAGCTTCATTTCAGTAGTTTATTTTACTTTGACCAACGTCATCTGAACACCTGTCATGTCAAATCATCTGAAAATGTTTCTCTTTATACTGTAATGAAGATATTCCAACCATAAGAAGCAACACTTCAAAGGAGAGGGTTTGTTTGTAGCAGATCTTTATACCTAGAGAACTAAATTGAAGGACCAGTGTGTAGGATTTAGTGGTATCTAGCAGTGTAGTTACAGATTACAATGCCCCTTACAAGCATGCCAGAGAAACTACGGTGGCTTAAGCCAGTGATTGGTTTATCCATTCTGGGCTACTGTAGAAACATGGTGGTTCAACAAAGGCGGACACTAAGTAACAAAAACATATTAAGTCTTATATACAGCTGATTATACACTAATGAAAACATACCATTTCTGACAATAGATCCTCCTAAATGTTACACACTGGACCTTTAATGTTGAAGTTGCTCCTTGTGTATTCGTCTATTCTATTCTTGTTTAAGCTGCAGTAGGTAACTTTTATAAAAATAACTTTTTGCCGTATTTGCTGAAACTTTCACTATATCCTGACTGATTATCTGTCTCATGAACTACTTTCAGGAGATAGTGAAAGTTTCAGAAAGTATGACAAAAAGTTATTTTTATAAAAAATATCTACTGCAGCCTTAATGGTGTTAAACACAAGAAAGCAGCTTTTATGATAAATTGTACTCTACTCTAAAACCAGCAGCCTACAAATCATGTAAATACAGTATTTGGGGGCATGAATCAAGAATTATTAATTTGACTAATTGATAAATTTGTAATATGAGTAGTATTTCATTTGCATAACTGATCTCTGTACAGGCCATGTATGGTCAGAGGCTTTTACAGGCTCCTATATATGCTCTTATCCACCAGCTTTCCAACTTCCAACATATTGTACTTAACACAGCTGCACATCGTGCCTCCTTGTGGCTTGTTTGAGCAGAAAATTTATTTTGATCCAACACTTACAGTACATCTACATAACTACCATAAAACATTCGTTTGAAAGTGGCATTACTGATTGACAAGTAGTGGTACTAAAGTGCAGGGCTCGGTACTGGTGAGTACTGACCTAATTCAAGCTCTGTGTCATGCTTGTCTAAATTTCCACAGGCAGGAATCAGATTTGTTGAGTCTGTCCAGGCAGTAAGATTAGTAGACTTTTTCCATTGTTTGCTGGAAAAATGTGGCCAAATTTACCCACTACTCCCCCTTAATTATAAACTGATTCCAGTCAGAATCAATGTTAGGAGCAGATAGTTGACATCATTACAATCACACTAGATTTGTAACGCAAACATACTTGACTTATCACTTCCTAGTCAGAGTGCAGGTCTTACCTTCGATGGGATGCGTAATTGCCAGTGATGTGTCCACTGCCATCACAGCCTGGGGTGGGACATCTAGGGAGCAAGACATACGTGCACAGGTCATTCTATTGCCCTTTCTTTATTGTTTATTTGTATAGGGACAATTATGTAACATAAAAACATGCCACACACCCCAACTTTTATAGCATAAGCTAATTTGCAATGGCTGTCCCTAGATGGGCCTTAAAATACATAAAACTCAACAAATACCCAAGAACACAAAATAATACATTAAAGCACCCTAAAACAGGACGCACCGGATCATTCATGACTACATGGCTGATCTTTGAAATACTAGGAAAAAACACTGCATAATAAATGATGACTTGTTTTGTTCCAAAAGAGTTTAGGCTTTCAGCTTGAATTGAATTTTACATGTCCTATATACATCTTTCAATATCCCAGCAAGAAGAATAAAAGTCCTAGGCACATAAAATAGGAATTTGTCTTTTTTTTTAATGAACAACCTGCACACAATGCTGGGACAGAAAAAGTCACTTAACACATAATGAGGACCAGCTGTTTTTCTTCCCCACTGTTTTATCTGTGCAGCCATGGGATTGAAAATCTAATAAAAAAAAGAAAGAAGGCAAATAGAACTGGACAGGTCATTCTCAATGAGTCCGTCCAGCTCAATGCAGCAAACTCAGTTCAAACTGTCAAACTAGACAGTGCTGGTCAAATATGAATCAGGATTCTGTTTCTGCGTTGACTAGAAACATATTTCAGTTACAACCATCTTGGTTTTTGGAGTCTGAGAATTCACCTTCTCTGCAAACTAAATTCCTTCTTAGTTGTCCCTTGTTTTGTTTTTTTATCAATCTTGTATTGATAGTGTCCTGCCTTTTTCTTTTTTCTGCTGGTTTCACAGCCTCATAGTAAAAGACAGAAACAGTTGTGCAACCAACAAATCCTCCAGAAAGAAGCAAAGAAGTATTTTGGCTCTTTCTTGACTTGGAAAATGATCTGCTGCTCTAAATAATTCCTTCTGCAATCCCACTACTAAATGTATTGTTTTAAAGTACTTAATACAAGCTACAATTAGATGACAAGCAGAGGAGCGCCTTGGTAACCAGATGGTTACTGTAATTAACATTAATTCCAGCCAGGGACCTTTGCTGCATGCCATACTGCCCCCCTCTCTCTTCACATTTCCTGTCTGTCTCTTAGCTATTAAACTGTCCAAAAAAGCTCCAAAACAATCATCTTTAAATAATAAAAAGTGGAACAACCTTTTAAATGGAGGTGACTTACACAAGAACGTCTTTCTTGCTGTCTTTGGGCTGAAACTTGACCTTGAAGCTGCTGGTGGTGACCTCACCAGGGTACTTCCTTTCCTCCAAGTTCTCCTGGTCCTCTTCCTCACCATCAGATGAGGTGTATGAGGGAGCCGCATACTCCACCTGGAGAAAGGTAAAAATAGATAAGTGACTCTGGCACTCCCTTTACCTGTCTGTTTCTTCTTACACTGATGTGATGTCAGTGAGTGTATACAGAACCTCTTCATGGTCTTCCTCTTTGACTCCACTTGGTTTGGTGAAGTCCAGCGGCCCCTCCCACTCTGGCTGAGTGTGACCCTGAGACAAGGTGGCTCCGATGTGTTGAGAAGATGAAGACGAGGAGGACGAAGGCTCTGGAGGCTGCATGCCCTCCCTCTTGGTCTTCTTCATGCTGAGATCCAAGGTGCCGTTCTCGTCCACTTCAATGTCCGACTCCTGCGGGGTTCAGATGAAGAGAGAGTCTAAACAGAGTCTAGTCTAAATGAGAGGAATCTTTCTGAATGAAAGCCAGCTGACCTTGGTGCAGGGGTCCCTGGGCTTGGCGCTGAGGGTCTCTGGTCTCTCCCAGCAGCGGGTGGAAAGGTTGAGGATGGCTGTTGCCGCCATGTGGGCTGCCTCTGCATCTTGGCTATAGTCATAACCACTGGAGGACGAGGCGTTCTTAGAAAAGCCTCCTGACACACTGTGACTGGGAGAGGAGGCCTTAGGGAATGGTTTAGCTGTGTGGGAATGGAGCAGATGGATTTTTTGAGCATAATTTAAGTGATATGGATACAATAAACATATGATAAAGATTTTTTCATTAGTTTCGTTTTTAATAACATGTCCTTTGTAGTGGATATTGGATCAGCTGCAACCTCTCCTTCGCAGCTCTCCAAGAGGTCTGGTGGTCTCTTGTGGCAGCCAGATCAAAGAAATACAGGACTGTGTGGACAGTGCACTTCTTTGTGTAGCTTGACATTGATATATATATATCATGACCACACAGATCAAAATCTTTTCTACCTGTGTGGAAAATGGTTGAAAATGAGTCCCACTATGCCACACAAAGGACATGGGTTAAATGTTGATTTTGAAAGGCTTAAAATGAATATACATTTCTAAAACCACAATATAATATAGTTAATATTTTCATACAGAAAAAACAAGACCGGAAACAATACATCTTAATACATTTTATCAGTTATATTGCCAAAAACCCATTTGTTGCCCCACAGAGGACAAATATAATCATAAATATAATATTTGGAAGGTAACCACACAGTAATGAACAGAGCCTGGCCACTAGAGAAAAGAAAAATTAATTTGTGTGCACAAATTGAGAAATTGTGCGCTCAAATGAATAATTGATGCCCACAAATGACTAATTCCTGCTCTCCAATTAATAAATCATGCACAAAAATTACTAATCTGTGCGCTCAAATTAAAATAATTTATGCATATGAATGAATAGAACATACTGTTGACATTCTAAAACAATGGTTCCCAACTTGGGTGTCGGGACCCGCACTAGGGGTCGCCAAAGCTTTGCAGGGGGGTTGTGAGGCCTTTTTGATTTTCAGGTGTCTAAGAAAACTAAATATCTTTACACAGCAGGCCTATATCTCAGTATTTCTGTGAAGAAAAACTAAATGGAATTGTTATTTAGTTTTTATTATTAAGTTTGTATTTTTATTTAAAATCTAAGCTTTGAAGACCTGAACACACTATATTCATAGAGCCTTCCAGTTTCAAGAAAACACTGAATTTGTTGAATAAGAAGCCATTCGAGTATGTATCATTGTTAAATGTTAACCAATACATTATACATAATGGTGCACTGTAACACTCGGTAGTGTAGCATGGTGGATCTTACATTTGAAGGCTTTGGGTGATGTTTCAGTGCTGCTGGGTGTCTTTGGGATAAGCATCCGCTTTCCAAACACCTGGACGTCAAAGCTTGCATAGTCAAAAGACACCTTGGAATATTTCTCCAGCTCCTTGGCCAGGTTGGCTCGAGGCGTGGTGGTCACTGCGTTGGGCCGGTAGCTGCCATACTGAGGGATCTCCAGCTGTTTCACAAAACACATGGGCCTGGAGGAAAAATCAGTAGTTATACATTATTCCTGCAGTGGCACAGCCATATTAAAGCTAATCTTGAATAGAAAACGCTTATGTCTCACCTGAGCACTCTGTCAGAGTTGGAAGAGGGTTCGCTGGCTGAAGCTTGTAAATGAACCTGCTTGTCCTGGCTTTTGTTCAGCTTAGCTGCAGCTGCAATGGGGCAGCCAGACAGACTGACAGGAAGACATATGCAGATGTTTGATAAAAATAAAACATGAATGGGTAGAAATGTGATATGCTGACAGGAGTTTGAAATATTTATAAGCCTTCTAAAGACAGTATAAGTATGTTAGTAGTATTAGATGACATTGAAGGAAGTTAGCATTGTCCTGGTTTCTTTGACAAAAAGCCAATAGGATTTTTCGATTGGATTGTTGCAGAAGATAAGCTCTGTGGTGAACAAAGGTTTACGATAATCACATGTTTTGTTCAGCAAGAAAATCTTTACTAGTGTTCAGTGTTTGTCCGTTCTGGGCTATTGTAGAAACACGGCTGTTCAACATGGTGGACTCCATAGAAGAGGACCCGCTCCCTCTGTAAAAATGTCTCATTCAAAGGTGAGACGAAATGCTAACGAAAATACAACGATTCTTATCTTGAAAACATACCTATGAATATTATATTCCATTTCTGACAAAAGATTGTCCTAAATGGACCTTTAACCACAGGCCTTATTTTAGAAATCTTACAAAAACCCACTGACTTTGAAGAGAGGGAACCCGAGGTGCTAAAATGCTAACTCAGGTTAAAGGTTAGGGGTAGGAAAGTAGTGGTTATGGTCAGGATAAATCTCCAGGAAATCAATGTTATGTGTGTGTGTGTGTGTGTGTGTGTGTGTGTGTGTGTGTGTGTTTTTGCACGCTCTTGGGTGGTTTATTAACCTTCGGTGTGTGTTGCGGTTACTGTTGACATGGCCTTGGCCTGTGCAGCCAGGAGTCGGACACTTCAAGACGTTCTCATGCATGGCCAGGACTACAGACACACAGCAGACACAAACTCAGGTTATTCTGTTTAGTTTGTTGTCACTAGCAGTAGTAACACAGACAGTAGTGGAAAAAGCAGTAGTGACAATACAAGTAGTAGTATTAGTAGCTGCAGAAAGTTCTAGAGAAAGAAGTAGATTTGGTAGTACTAGTAATAATAGTTAATAGAAATAATAATAATAACAATAATAACTCTCAAAGCTCAGAAGCTGTTGAATATCTAATAAACATGGTTTGTATGTTAAAACAGACAACTCTAAGGGTTGGGTTGTAACATCAGTAACATCTGGAAGTTGCCTCAGGAATGTCAGGTTTGTCCATTGGTAGTCTATTGTGTTATGAAAGGTAATGTACTCACTCTCTGGAGGGATTCTGTCTTTGTGAGGACATCCAGACAGACTTCGATGGTGAGGGTACAGCCCCGTCACATGACCTGTCCCATCGCACCCTGGGGTTGGACACTTTACTTCCTTCTTCTCTGAATAGGGGAGGGTGAGATGGCAGCAGTAATGAATTAAAGTGTGCTTCTGACCTAATACCAAGTAATACCAGATCAAAATTGGTATTGATAGTGACATTAATAGACTTCTGAATACATTCAACCACAGAGATCTGTAACAGCATTCTTACAATAATAGGACCATACTATTCCACTATGATAAACAGGAGCACTTTTTGAACCGTTTGGTAGTAGTAACAGTAAGAGTACCTTTGCTGTAGTGAGAAGTGCGGCGGGCTGCAGCAGCAGGCTCGGAGCTCTTGCTGGAGGTGCTGTATGGATGGTACTCTGGGGAGCTCTGGGCCTCCTGACCTCCCTTCACCTCCTCTGCCTTCAGGGCAATGGCCTGCTCCAGCAGTCCCAGGTTCCCCCGAGTCATATCCCAGTTCTCTGAGTCGTCTGTGATTCCTGAGCCCTCTGAGACACGATCCTGCTCCTCTCCGTCCTCCTCCTCCTCCTCTTCCTCCTCCTCTTCCTCCTCCTCGTCATCATCCTCATCATCATCCTCCTCAGAGCGGAGCTCTATGACCACTGTACTTGGAGAGGCTTTGCTGGAGTCTCTGTCCTCCTCTTCCTCCTCCACCACCTCGCCGGCTTCCGTCCCATGCCTCTCGTCCTCCTCTTCCTCTCTCTCCTCCTGCTGCTCTTCGTCCTCCTCCTCTTCCTCCGTCATGGGGGTGCTGACCTTTTCTTCCCTGAGCGACACCTCGGCTTCAGATCCCTGAGTGCGTGAACTCAAAGCGTAAGGAGTATCAACCTCTTGGTGGACCTCCCTTTCTTCTCCCACCTCCTCGTCCTCCTCCTCCTCATCTTCTTCTTCCTCTTCCTCTTCCTCCTCGTCCTCCTCTTCACCCTGTTCCTCCCTCTTACTCTGCTCCATTGTTGATTCTTTGGCCTGATGTTTGTAATCTCCACTGGAGTACTGGTGATCAGAGTTTTCCTGGCTTATCATCTGTCTTTCTACCGCCCTCTCTTCTACAGTGTTCTCTGGACTTTCTTGCTGCTCCTCTTCTTTCTTTTCTTCTTCTTCTTCTTCTTCTGCATCCTCTTCCTCCTCTTTTTTTGTCTCTTTCAGCTCAGTAACCCCTGTTTCTTCTTCAGCTTGCTCTGACGGCTGGTCATTTGTCACCAGCTGACTTTCCTCCTCCTCATTTGTCTCTGTTTCCTCCTGCTGTAGATCATCGGTGAGTATTACCGGTTTATCTTCCTCACTTTTCTCACTTTCAGTTTTGTTTGCAGTATGAGAGGTGGTGCTTTCGTTATTGCCGTCTTCAGCCACAGGACAAACTGCTGTTTCTGTGTCCTCTGTTGTCATCAGTGAGCAGTCGGCTGTGGATTCAAAGTATTGATGAATGTCATTGTCTTTGTCATTTCTTTACAATACCTTACCTGTGATGTGACTCATCATCATCAGTCACTACTATTAGTGTAGTTGTTGCTACTGTTGTTGCTGTGTACCATTGTCTCTGTCTCTGTCCTTACCTCTGTTCTCTCTTTCTTTCTCTCTCTCTCTGTCTCTCTCACTCTCTCTCTCACCCCAACTGGTCGAGGCACGACCATCCACCTAGAGCCGGGGTCACTCCAAGGTTTCTGCCTCTTTAAAGGAAGTTTTTCCTTGCTGCCGTTGCCAAGTGCTTGCTTATGGTGGGAACTGTTGGGTCTCTGTAAATAATGTTATAAGGAGTTCGGTCTAGACCTGCTCTATTTGAAAAGTGTCCTGAGATAACTTCTGTTATGAATTGCCGCTATACAAATAAAATTGAATTGAATTGACCTGACATTGTAGTTGACCTTATCTGACTTGTCTAGCATTAAGCGAAGCGTGTGATCTAGCTAAGGCAGTCAACTTGAGACTGCTGCTACACTCACATTACACACTACCTCCCTGCAACATGTATCCAAGCCATCCTTTTCATCATTGTGGTATGATGCCACACTCATCACCTGAAAAACTATGATGCTGCTGTTAGCATTTCGGAAAGCTACAGTCTACAGTAAGTCTCAAGTCTTTGCACTTGCGCAGGTCAAATCCCAAGTCAAGTCCCAATTCCAACTTTGAGTTTCAAATCCTAAACAAATAATCATAATGCACTTGTGACCAAATGTGATGCCTCTTTAAAAACAGAATGAAGGACCCCATATGATCCTTTGTATATTTTTTTCCACCAACAGGGAACTGGCTCCATTCTGGCTCAGGCTCAGCTAGAGCCAAAAGTAGGCGTGTCATATTCTACAGGTCATTGTGCATTGTGCAACACCCTCTGTTGATGACGCATCTTTGATTACAGTGATTCCACTCAAAACTTGTGGAAACAAGGGCTAGATCACTAGATAGCACCATGGTTCCAAGAATCTTGAATGGAACTGTTACAAGAATCAGAGCAAATTTGGTGGAAAAAGACTATCAGTAATTTTAGGTTGGTTCTTCATTAATTTCTCGTGCTACTTTATTTGATGCTGTCGGACTGGTTCAACATACCTTTTAATATTTGGACATTGGGGAAGGTATCAAGTATTTCAGGTATCAAGTATTTAGTTATTGTCCAAGTGATGCCATGAGTCAGTGACAAAGTCCTACTTGAGTTCCAAGTCTTTTTTGATTTTGTCAAGTTGAGTCTTAAGTCATCAAATCTGTGACTCAAGTCTGACTGGAGTGTTTCCTTAAGAGGAGTGATGAAGTCAGAACCAAGGTCAAACATCAATGCTGTACCTATTTTACATTCATATAATAATCCAGTCCACATGAGTTTGTTGGCTGTACACAAGATCACACAACTGTGATTTATATAAAAAAGACATCAAGAATGCATGCAAGTGTCATAGATATTTAGCATTCTTAGTTGAGTACAAATTTTATGCTACCATGCACTTTTTATTGAAATGAAAATCACCCATTCCTCTAAGAGTCTGGGTACTGTATGACTGCAACTATGAAATTATGTAGTTTTTAGCCATGCTAGCAGCATCCACAACCAACTAGGTGGTTCCCACCAGTATGACTTCTAATAATTGGTGATCCATATTGAGACCAATTATCTCAAAAAGTAACAACATTCCCATTAGCTGCAGCTGTGCTGTTTAACACAGATTATTGTTGCAGATTGTTTCCTGATGACACGCTTAACTATAAAAACTATTATGGTGACCAAAGTTAACATTATTTGCTAAACATTGCATGTTAACATTGTCATTGTTAGCCTGTTTGCATGCTGATGTTAGCATTTAGCTCAAAGCACCATTCTGGCTAAGTACAGCGCCACAGAGCTGCTAGCATGGCTGCTTTTTAGTCTTGTTGCCATGGAAATGGATTTTGTCATTATTTAAGCTAGTCTAAGAATAATACAGGGATAAAACTGGAACAAAAAACACATCAGACACACATTATTGTTCCAGACTATATATGTCTTAATACATGGGGTCTTTAAGGCATCCAACAGTCATTCAAATGAAACAATGTGAGAAGTGTAGATGGGAAAATTACACTTTGGTGAACTGGTTTAATTAGAAGCACCTGAAAGTGAGGTCCAAATCTCCCTTGCTCTGACCCTACCTGCTGACTCCACACTGTTACTGTGCTGTAATGGCAGTTTTTCAAGGTAACTTTTATGGTTTGCTTTTACTCACGTTTTATTGCCTCTGGCCTGCTTTTTGCTTTGTTTTTCTTCTTCTCTTTGAGATCTTCTTCCTCCTCCTCTTCCTCCTCTTCCTCCTCCTCTGCTGCATCGCTGTCTGCGGTGTAGCCCTCATCTGCTGCCTGTTTGCCAGGCTGGTTCCTCCTCTTGGGAGCAGACTGGTTCTCTTCAACCTCAGCCTCCTCCAGCTTCCTTTTCTTCACAATTGGGCATCCTAGTACACTAAGGAGAGCAGGATGGGTATGCAGTGATATATATATAGTGAATGCTAACATCTAACATGCTAACATAAAACAGCAAAGTTGACTTGTTGTTTTGTCCATTACTTAAATGACCAGAGTGTAGGGTTTAGGGAGATCTAGCGGTGAATGAAGATTGCAATTGATACTGCTCGCCTTCCAAGTGTGTAGAAGAAACCACAGCCTATCTAGAGCCAGTGTTTGGTTTGTCTGTTCTGGGCTACTGTAGAAACTGGCAGACTCCATAGAGGAGGTCCCTCTGTTGATAAAAATGGCTCATTCTAAAGTAACAAAAACACAATGATTCTTATATTCAGGTGATTATATACTAATGAAAACATACCTATGAATATTATATTACATTTCTGACAATAGATCCTCCTAAATGTTACACACTGGACCTTTAAGTATTCATTACATCTCACAGTATAAACGTTACTGTTACAGTTACATTGTGAGATTTGTCTTTAAGTTGACTTCATATCATTGCAAAAATGTAAGCCTTACTGTGCTATAATGCTTAGGATTTTTCTCTTTTTGTTCTATTTCAGTTTAGAAATCATATGCCCAATTCTTAATGATCCCGTGAAGTGTAAACAGTTGATCATAGTCAAAAGACTAGTCATAAAAAAGAAGTGGGCTATTGATAACTTAATTACAGCGGTAACAATTAAACTGGTTGATCCACATAAAATGTATTGGCTACCACTCTGATGATCGATTGATTGTAAATAGTTTTTATAGTATATCAGTTGTTTTGAAAGGTAATGTGAATGTAGAAAACTGAGTAAATTCAACTTCAGTGGTAACATTAGTATAAAGAAGATACGGTTAAGTCAGTCTTCTGACATGTTCTGTTAACACATTTTAAATAAGTTTGGAGAAATGCTGCATATGAGTGTATATGAATATATTTACTAGTTTTAAGTTTAACTGAATAGAATTGGTACAATTAACATAATTTACCCAAGTTACCTTAACATATAATTTGTACATATTTTTGGGGCTTTTTGCCTTGTTATGCAGGCCTCAGGAAAGGGGGGAGAGAGAGGGGATGACATTCAGCAAAGGCCCACAAGATGGATTTGAAAATTCTGATCATTGACTCACATTGCAAACTGCATCACAGAGTGGTATTTATCCTCTCTCCACACTCTTGGCAAGAATGTGAACATCAAATAATTCACTTACATATTACATCACATATACTCACATTGTAAATGTGGCCTATGAAGAATTATTATACATAACCTAAAGTATGTTTACGTTATATGTGCATCTACATATTTTTTCTGTACATGTATATACTGGGTAGATATTTTCATGTCATGGTATATCATCACATCTGTCTATTTTTGGTCTAAGGCTGTTTTTCAAGATTTGGGCAAGGAACCTTTCAATTAAAGCATTTTATTTATATAGACCAAAATCACAAATGACTTAATGCCTTACAACACCCTCTATGCTTTAGGAAAACTCCACCACACAAAGATATTTTACGCAGTACAGTGCCTCTGACTTTGTGGTGGCAGTTTGGGAAAGACCCTTTCCTATGTCAACAAGATGTAACATAATAGAGTGCTGCAGGAGTCCTAAAACCTGGAACTGAGTTAGCAGTTGAGCACTTCCGCTTCCCTGCCCTCAAAGTCAGTGTTTTTTTTTGACTGGGTTTTTGGTCAGATGTCTGAAATAAGGTCTGTGCTTAAGATATTTTCACATTCTGTTCTATGACATAAAATAAGTCAGTAAATACCCCACCTCTGAATTCTGAAGATTTTCCGTGTCTTAACAAAGGCGTTTGCTTCCAAGTGGCTAAAAGAGACTATTGAGGTTGACTGTGGGTTAGACTTATCTACTCAATAGTCCACCTTTACAGCCTCATTGTGTTTATACCTGTGCTCTTGCAAACTATTCTAACTCAAACTTTACAACTTGTAGATTTTAATTACAAGGTTTAATACAAGTTGGAAGTTTGGTGGTGGTGACGTTGAGGTGAAGATTATCTTGCTGAACAAAACATGCATCAAGTATCATGAGCCTTTGTTCACAATGGACCTTATTTTCGGTAATAATCCAAAATAGAAATGGATAAATCCCATAGGATTTTTGTGGCAATGCTAACCTAATGCTAATATCACATATGGTTTTACATAAAATTATAACATAGGAAATTTAAAAAACTAAATAACTAAATAAAACTGTTATGCAGAAGGTTTGCTGAAATACAGTGTGAATCCTACCTTCTATGTCGAGAGTATCTTCCACTGACGTGGCCTTTGCCATCACATCCAGGGGTGGGACAGCTGCTACTGACACGCAACAAGACAAATACACACTTCATACTCATAAGACACACTCATTAGATGATACATGATAGTGTTCTGTTAAAGCATAGAACCTTACCTTAACTCCTGCTTCATCTCTTGTCCCACGAGTTCTGATGGCACTGAGCATAAAACAGCACGGGAATCATTAAAATCAGAAATAAAAGTCATGTAAGGGCTGTAAGTATGAAAAGCCAATGATGCTTTTATTTTGCAGAGAAAATTATTTGTACATTACATACTGTTAAATGAACCCCTCTACATACATGTCCTTTTCTGTCTTCCTAGGGTGTGTCAGAGCGGGTCCATGGTTCATTTTTGCCCCACAACTCTCTATCGCTGTTAATCCAGCCATTTATAACTCCCGCCCCTTTTTGCTCTGTGCTCACCTTTCTCCTTTTCTGTACTTAGATATGCTATGTGCTAGGCTTGTCTATGTTGAAAAGACACATTTTGAAGATGGTTAAAAGATAAAAGTGACATCTCCACATGTATGGCAGCCATTCCATTCCAGTGTCTGTTGAATTTCAACACAAGCACACCTCATTCTACTTAATGAGGTACTGATTAGGTGATCACCTGAACCAAATCTTATTTAACGAGAAAAAGTATAAATAACACTGCTGTGGTCATCGCTATCTTCTTGCAATAGGACCAGCTGGATGGCAAAAACAGTGCTAGTGGTATCTCAAAAGTAACAGGAATCAAAAAATAACTATTGATCATGCCAAAAGAGTTGAAAAGAAAAGTTTTGAGTGAGGAAAAGAAGGGTTCAATGGCTTTACTGGCAGAGGGATACAGTGAGCATCAGGTTGGCTCCATCCTTATTTCAAAGATGGCGGTTCATACGAACAAGTTCAAGCAGCAGACATTGGGGACAACAAAGCTGAATTCAAAGTCCCCCAACAGCAATGTGAAAGACTGGTGGAGAGAAAGCCAAGACGCATGAAAGCTGTGATTGAAAATTAAGGTTATTCCACCAAATATTGATTTCTGAACTGTTCCTAAGTTAAAACATTAGTATTGTTTTGTTCAAAACTTATTATGAACTTGTTTTCTTTGTATTATTTGAGGTCTGAAAACACTGCATCTTTAATGTTATTTTCAACAGTTGTGATTTCCTGCAAATAAATGCTCTAAATGACAATAATTAGGGCCTGAGCACTGACAGTGTTGTAATGCAAGGAATTGTTATTATTTTCTGCCTCTTCAATCACATATTTGGAGGCTTTCCCATGCTCCAAAACTCATGAAACGTGGTGCACATGTCAGTTCTGGCGAAAAATTCCGTATTTTATGGGGGTCCACTATGAGCATGGCAAAATGGCCCCTCAGGGGCCCATAAACTGGCCCCCCCGGTGCCTGTTTCACAGATATGCATCAAAATCGCTACAAGCGTAGATCTAATCCTGACATAGACAAAATCTCCCTGGAGCCAGATCCTAAAACCAACAGGATGTCGGCCATTTTGGATTTACAGCCATTTCTGGAAATTTGCACACGTTGTATTTGAACAAACTCCTCCTAGGGAATTTATCAGCTCGACTTCACATTTGGACACACCCATCTAAAGACATTCACGATCAAAGGTTGTGCAATTTGTCACTGTGTGGCCTGAAACAGAAAATTGTCATAACTTCAGTGCACATGATCCAATCTCAAAAAAACTTCACATGTTTGATAAGAGTCCCGCCCTGAACACGTCTATGTGATAATATTCAGTAATAGTGATAGTGCCACCTAGTGGTGAAAGGAAATGTCACGTTTTGTACTTTCACGTTCTACTCCTAGCAGGTTGATCAGATCCAGCTGAAATTTAGTTAAAAAATTGCAAACATATTGTTGATGATATTTCAAAATGGCTTAGCCACGCCCCCCAGAATCAGCCCCCAAGACACGTACGACTGACATGAAAATTGGTTTGCATGTCTATCATGTTTGGACAAGCAAAAAAGCCTGTTGGACCCATAACCCGAACCCAACAGGAAGTCGGCCAATCTCAATGAAACTTCATATGTTTAATAAGAGTACCGCCCTGAACATTTTTACATGACAATATTCAGATATAGTGATAGTGCCCCCTACTGGCAACAGGCAGTAAGCACTGCATGGCAACTTTGATCTGATTTACGTGAAATTTTCATGTTGTGGTCTGCATGTGTTACGTCGGCACGTGACGCGGCTGCAGCACACCGCAACGCGCACCGAGTGTGAGGGCCCGCCTATCACTGCTTGCACTTTTAATTAGGGCCCGAGCACTGACCGTGCAACCTAATTGTAAGGATTCTTATTATTATTTTAGTAACAAATGAATTGCATTTTTGGAGGCTTTCCCATGCTTGAAAAGTCATGAAACACAGTGCACATGTCAGTCGTGGCAAAAAAAATTATATTCTATGCGTTGCTTTCGGTTTGGCCACTAGGTGGCGCTACTATCATTTTAGGATCGTTTAGGATAATAACGTCTGCATCGTTTGTCGCACATTCAAAAACCTTATATCCACGCGTTCGGTGAATGGAGCTGCATCTCCCCATAAAGGCCCTGCCCACTTCCACAAATTTTTTTTTTGTTGGAGCGCGAAATATCCATGAACTACTTTTCGGTCTTCCTCCTATGTGCTTTGTCCGATTCCCACAAAACCTTTCACGTAGCATCTGGAGACCGTCCTGGCAAAAAAAAGTAATTTGAAGATTTTTGAATTTTCAAAAAATAAGCACGTTATAGAATTAAGACTTCCTTAAGATTTTTTGTTAAAAAAGAAGTAGACCATTTCTCCACATTGGTATGTCCGATTGACACCAAGCTTGGGTCCATAGTTCCCCATATCTTCCTTAGGCATCGTGCACAAGTTCAGGCCATCGCCACAAGGTGGCGCTCTTTAAAATGAAGAAGTTATATCTCAGCATTGGCACGTGTGATTAAAACGAAACTTGGTACAATGATTCCCCATGGCTCCCTGAGGCTCGCTAAAAAAATGCGTCAACAATCCGCCACTAGGTGGTGCTCTGATGGCAGGGTAAATCACTGTGCGGAGACCGTAATAGTTATGAATATGAAATTCACAGGGTACGTGTAGACTGGTGCCTGCAGCTCACATACCAAAAAACGTGTTTGTCGTGTTTGTAGCGCCCCCTACAGTATTTCAACAAAGCACCCCCGGCGCCACGTTTCACTGATATGTGTGATATGTATGGCCTCTTGGACCCATACCCCAAACCCCATAGGAAGTCGGCCATTTTGATTTTGATTTTCACTTTCGGCGAACTTTTCGCCTTGTATTTGAACAAACTCCTCCTAGGGAATTTATCGGATCTACTTCAAAATTGGTCAGTACAGTCAAAAAACATTGCTGATTAAAAGTTGTGCTATTTGTGACTGAACGTTTAACAGCGTGTCCGTGGCGTGCCATCAAATTCGACCACGGTGAATTTTGCAGTGATTTTCAGTGTTTTTTTGCGTTGTATTTGAACGAACTCCTCCTAGAGAATTTATCGGATCTGCTTCAAAATCGGTCAGCACAGTCAAAATATGTTGCTGATTAAAACAGCAGGAAGTAAGTGCTGGGATGCGATTATGATCTGATTTCCACAAAATTTTCATGTTATCGTCCGCACGTGTTACCCCAAGTTGCGTGGAGTGCGAGGGCCCGCTCATCGCTGCTTGCAGCTTTAATTTTATTTGGAATTTGGGAGAAATGTTAGTTTAGTAGTTTATAGAATAAAACAAAAAGTGTAATTTTAATTAAACACATACCTATAAATAGTAAAACCAGAGAAACTCTTGTATATATATATATCTTAAGTTAGCTTGCTCATGTTAGCAAAACATGAGATGGCTAGTTTAACTTAGCTAGCTAACTTAAGATGTGACTATATATATGTTGTTTTTATCTTTCAACGAAGATGAGCACAGAGTAAAAAGGGGAGGGAAGGGTCAATTAAATGAATATGCAACATTAAATGGCACATCAATATCAGTTTACATCCTCTCTCTCTCTGTGTGTGTGTGTGTGTGTGTGTGTGTGTGTGTGTGTGTGTGTTTGTTTCCACTGACCCCGGATGCCTTTGGAGCGGGTTCGTGTTCGTGTCTCTGTAGTGTCTTGGCTCATCTGAATAACAGTAGGATATAAGTAAGATGAAGAGAAATGATTCAGTCCAGCACTGATATAAATAGATAGACAGATAGACAGATAGATAGATAATAGATAGATAGATACTTTGATGCTGAGGCTCGTCCCCTCTGGTTGATTGGCTCTCCCCTGGTCCACCGTTGGCTCAGTGTCTGACCTTTGAACTCATTTTCTGTTGGATGAAACAACCCATTTACTGTGAGTGGGTGATTTTCTACCCACAGGCCATTACTCTGACCAACAGTTAACTGCCCTGTACAATAACCCTAGGACTCTTAATGAAACCATTCATTACTTATTTTCCATTGCTGAAAATTCTGTTTCTTTGCATTTGTATATTCTGTCATATCCACCTACCCCATATACATAAAGATACCTGCATGTAAAATACTTATTTCAGCATCCTTTGCACTCTGCACCATTGCACTATTGTCTACTGTCTACAAATGATGGTTTATAGATACAGTATGTATAACTCTACATATAAGTCTAAGTCTTTTTTGTTGAACTTGTTCTGTTTATTTATATTGTTAATCTGGGCTTATACATTGAGAGCAACATAAAACCTGAGTCAAATTCCTTGTATGTGCATAAAAGTGATTCTGATTCTGAAAGATAACTATTTTACATTTATAAAATTGTTATAAAAGTTCTTACTACTCAGATTGTGAAGCCAGTTGTATAATCATGTCCTCTGTGGCTCTGGAGGAGCTTTGTCAAGTCTGAGGAAAATAACCCTGATGATGTCATAGTGATGTCACCAGGGTTACGTACTCATGGCATCATAACAGAAAGCCTGCATAACAAACTGGAGGTGTGGGGTTTCAAATATGTAGACATATGCAAGGCAGGGATGGTCTAATGTATTTACTGAAAATATGACTGTCATTGTCCTATGAAAAACATGTAGCTTTGTTCATCATTTGTTTCTGATTTTCATTGATTTTCAGAAGTTAAGAATTACCCTTTAAGTCCCGCCCCTTTTTGGTGTCTGCTCTAATAACAGTTGAGCAAGCCTCGATCAGAACTTCAACCTTTCAACCTGCACTTATATATGCTATATTCTAGGCTTGTGAATGTTTTATGGATGCATGGTTCAAAGATAAAAATGACATATATAGTCACATTTTAGCTTAAATGCTAGCTAACTGGACAGCTAATCTTTATAAATCGTTAGCTAGCTAGCTCACTAACATTTTGCTACAGAGCAAAAACACTAGCTAACTAGCTCTACACCAATAGTTCTGCAAACATTAGCTAACTTAAGATGTGACTGTATGTTGTTTTAATCTTTCAACCATTTTCAAAATGTGGTTGTCTTTTCTATAGATTAGCCTTAGCATATCTAAGTACAGGAAAGGAGAAAGTTGACTGAGACTTTTGGAAGGGTCTTTTGTTTCAATTTCTTGGTCTAGAAGAACCCTCTTAAAAACTGTGTGTCTCCTTTTTTTTTTATCTTAATAAGCATAGCATAGCCTATATGAAAAAATAACAATAAAACCTTTTTTTTTTAATTAAACAAAAAATAAGACAGTAAACACAAATAACTCAATATATTCCACTTAGAGAGTCCTCTTATATACGAAGGTATGTCAGACATGACAGCCTGACAGCAGCTTGCTTTTGACATTTTGGGGACCTTCGAACAGGGTCACGAGCCAGAAAAGGTTTAAAGTGACTTTATTCCTGCTAACACTGAGCATGCCATCACTTTAATGTGGACTGACTACCACTACATTTCTTCAGGCAGAACATTTAACACAAAAAACACAAAAAGTGAATATCGAGCAGCCTACAGAGAGCAGGCTTGTTGTGCGGTGACAGCAGAGATGTAGGCCGGGGTGCTAACCGGGACGAGGCCTCTCTCTTCTCCTCAACTGGCACACTGACTAAACGCAGAACATACAAAGGCCACCGGCGTTCAGCGGTTTACACAGACCTGACTGTATCGACGCCGAGCCGCCATTGTAGGGGCCGGAAATAACGATCGACAATAATAATCGGTTTTAAAAGCTCACCGTCCGCACAATTCAAACCTGGCTTCAATTATTCTCCACGAAGCGAACAGATGAAAGAAGCACACTGTCAACCACGGCGGACTGGCCTACATATCGCTACATCACGTCCTTCCTGCTCGGTGTGGATTCCACCGTAAGGCCCGCAGCCAAGGCCCCAGAAAATACCGACAAATGAGTGCGCTTCATGCTCTTTGTCAGGGAGACATAAAGCCTTACCTTCCCCTCCCCCTCCGCTCCTCCGACATCTCCGGGCTGGCAGACAGACGTGTACGGTAACACACAAGCACAATAAAGCACCAGAACACGGTGTGAATCGTAATGACAGCAGCCTCAGACTGAGCCCAGCACCCCGGAGCTGTTCAGCACCCCGGACAGAGCCAGCCCGAATCTTCAGCACCATGGACAGAAGCCCCGCTGCACTGCCTCCTGCAGGAGCACAGGAGAGCTGCAGCCGGCCACGGCTCACGGAGGGGCCGCCCTGCCCCCTCGGCTCGGTCTCTGGGCTGCTGGAGGCGGACTCGGTGACAATATTTAAAGAGCCGTGAAGCAGCTGGAGGACAGGGTATGGAGGAAGACCTCACCGAACACAGTCCTCAAGTCAATAAAACATCCAGTAACCTAAAACCAGCTACGTAGTGCAAGTACTAGGCATGATAGAGCAATATAGGCTACTACTACTAAAATAACTAAATTAACCTACAGTACAGCAGGGGCGGGTCTGGGGGCGGAGCGACGGGTGTCAAACGCTGTGAAATTGAACACATTAATTTAGATTAATTTAAAAAAATAACATTAAAAAAACTGAAATGTACACATATAATTAAATGACTTGTTATGGCCACATCTTAGACTAATCGACAGGCTTCAGTTCAATGAAAAAAGACAGTATTTGGGAAAATGTCTGAAGACTGCAACTCCCTTCTCTTCGGTCTACCTCACAAATACCTCCATAAACTTCAACTGGTTCAGAACTCTGCAGCTCGAATTATCACCAGAACCCCCTCCATCCACCACATCACCCCTGTTCTACAGCAACTCCACTGGCTCCCGGTAAAACTCCGCATTGACTTCAAAATCCTCCTATTCACGTTCAAGGCCATCCACAACCTCTCCCCTCCTTATCTGTCCGAACTCCTCCACATCGCCAACCCTTCCCGTTCCCTCAGATCTGCCTCCTCTGTCCACCTCTCTGTCCCTCCCGCCCGCCTCGTCACCATGGGGAGCAGGGCTTTCAGCCGCTCTGCCCCCCAACTCTGGAACTCACTCCCACCGGACCTCAGGAACCTGGACTATCTCATACTCTTCAAATCAAGATTAAAAACTCACCTATTCAGAACTGCCTACCCCACTTAACTCTCTACATTGTCTTTTCTTATCTGTTTCTTATTTCTTGCTGTTTTTTTGTTTGTTTTTTTTGTGTTGTACGGTGTCCTCGAGTGCCCAGAGAGGCGCCTCTAATAATTTAATGTATTATTATTATTTATTTAAGATTTGGAAATAAAACAGTGTATTGATTTGTAATACCACCTTTAGATAGTTCTATTCAATGCTTTACTAATGTGCCATATTAATGTTTTTGGGTTCAATATCTTCTTTTGGGGGCTCTTCCAAGCAAATATTGATACAGCATAACATTGCTTAGTCTCCATGCCACCCCTCTGGCCAACCCATGAATATTTCACACTGTACAGCTGATTGCTGCCCTCAAGATCGGCCAGTCAGAGAGCACAGCTGTGTTCCTGCGTCCCAGATCAGCCAGTAAGAACAGGAAACAGTGAAAAAGAAACACGTTTCAAATACAAAGAGGTACATTTATGAATAAATACATTCATTTTATCATTATTCATATTATTGTGTATATCCACATGATAATAACTGTTTCAAAACATTTAAAATACACAAACTTAACATTAATAAATATGTGTGGATTTGTTCTTCCCCACATCTCATCGCTGTCTAATACTTAAACATTTGTAACACTGTTGCAACATCTGTAGAGTTTTTATAGTAATATTGTCATATGGTAACACCTCTCCTTACAGTTTTCTTCATTGCTTATAACCACACTATCAATGCTTATAACACAGTAACAGTATGCTTTTCACTCAAATGGATGCTGTGATGTATACACACACACACACACAGGCACATATATGTTTGTATGTATGTATAGAACAAAGCTTTGTATATACACTGATCAGCCATAACATTATGACCACTGACAGGTGAAGTGAATAACACTGATTATCTGGTTATCATGGCCCCTGAGTGAACATTTTGTCCTCAAAGTTGATGTGTTAGAAGCAGGAAAAATGGTCAGCGTGAGCGACTTTGACAAAGACCAAATTGTGATGGCTAGACGACTGGGTCAGAGCATCTCCAAAACTGCAGCTCTTGTGGGGTGTTCCCGGTCTGCAGTGGTCAGTACCTATCAAAAGTGCTCCAAGGGAGGACAACCAGTGAACTGGGGACAGGGTCATGGGCGGCCGGAGGCTCTTGGATGTATGTGGGGAGCGAAGGCTGGCCCGTGTGGTCTGGATCCAACAGACTGAAACAGTTAATGCTGGTTCTGATAGAATGGTGTCAGAATACACATCACAGTTTGTTGGTATGGGGCTGCAGAACATTATGACCACCAGGTTGCCCAGGTGGTAGGAATGTTATGGCTGATCAGTATATATATACATACATACATACATTAATATGTGTGAATATGTATAATACATAATAATACATAGATTTGTAATACTGATGCAACATCTGTACAGTTTTTATAGTAAATTTTGTCATATGGTAACACACCTTTCTGTACAGTTTTCTTCATTGCTTATCATTCTATATTTTTTATTTTCATAAATTATAACAGTAACTGGTTTTTAACTTCATTCATTCTTTTCACTCAATTGAATGCTTTGTTCTACAAGTTTTGGCACAAACATTTTGTTAAGGGTGATTAAAGTTAATTCTTATCATATCTTATCTTAACCTTGAGGATCATGGGGACTTAATACAGCATTGCCAGTTTTAAAGATGAAAACTTTTGTTCCCAGTAACTGATGGACAGCATACTTTATGTTCTCAGCTCCTGAAACCACAGAACAGATGGTAGACCTGATAATGATGATCCTCAGGTCCACAGCAATATATGGTGACAAGCGTCAGTACTCTAGGTTAAGCCATTAGATTGAGTTGGTTCCTGTGGACAAATACTGTGTAGTACCTGTATTTGACTGATCTTCACATTTAGGGAGAGTTTGCAGCACCATGCCCACTTCTGAGGCCAGTGCCTTGGTCCAATACTCGTCCTGTAATGGCAGTAGGGGGCCAAGGTGATTACACTGAAGCTCACTAATCAGTGACAGAATGTGTAGCAATGGGGTAGTAATACATGTTGTATTGCAGTGTTCTCAAATATATAAATACAGAGTGACAAAAAACATACAATAATACAGTTTTCCTTGATTGCTAAAATATACTTAATGAAACTGGGATCCACTTGATCTCTGTCAGCACCTTCTGAGAACAGCAGAAATCTTCTCTTGCAAATGTGTCAAAACATTTTTCACACCATTTTTCAAAACAACTGACCCAAAACTCTGTTGGACTAACTGTGTTAAACAAAAGAAAAACATCTACAGCTGATATAATTAGGCTACTTGTTTAATTATGAATCCCAATGCACCTCCCATGTGAAACTCATTTGTTTAATCAGCAATTAGTCATTATCTATCTATAAATGATGCCACCATTGTGTTTTTCTCTGATGCAGACCAATAAAAATGTTTCTAGTAAAAGAATAGAATTCATACTATGGTATGCTAACTTGCAGTTTAGTGTTGCCTGGAGAAGTGGATGTCCTCTTAATGTATGCCCATCCAGCAAAGGATAAACAGCACTTGAACATTAGCCACATATGAGGAGCAGATTTTGCATTAATACTGGCCCACAGATTGGTGAGACAACTACAAAAAAATGATGCATTTTGAATGAATAGTCATTATTCCTTATTCCATCCACTCATGGAAAACAGCTATGTCATGCCTTCGCCATCCTAGGGAAAAAATCAGCCGGCAGAACACTACCGGAATGATGCAGTGAGGAACTGCTACACACTCCAGTGCAGTCGGTGACAATGAATTAATTATCTATTATTTAACTACTATTATTACGTTAGGTAATACATTTTTTTCCTGCAATCTTCTATACTCCAGTCTAGTAGGTGGCGGTAATGCCATTTTGAGCTGGTGTGCTAACCGCCATTAAACCCCAAAGAAGAAGTAGAGGAAAAAAAAAAAAAAAAAAAAAGAAGAATTGGACAAAGAAGAAGAAAATGAAGAGGGGCCAGGGAACACACTGAAGGCTTCTCAGTTATCCAGCCACTATCAGGTCCGGGTCTGCCACTGTTCCGCTCTTCCACAGCTCAGGTTAGCTTCCTAGCTAACTAACGTTAACGTCCCACTGTAGCTGTAGCCTCGGCTCAGTGCACTGGTGTTCAACCAACAGTAGAACTAACGTTAGTGACCACAGGTTCTATTGCACTGGGTTGTTTTACAGAACTAACGTTAACACTCTATTGCACTGGGTTGTTTTACAGAACTAACGTTAACACTCTATCCAAAGTCCGCTAAATGTTAGCTGAATATACGTTTTCGATAACGTTAACAAGCTAACTTACATGTTTTGAAAGCGTCTCAGGTTAGCGTTATGTAACGTCTGTGTCAGCAGTTACAAAGTTACTGTTAGTTAAAGTTTGTTCCTGAACTAACGCTGACTCTATGATGTATCGCTGGGTAAAGTGTATTTATTGTGAGTGTGTAGCGTTGACAGTGTAGAAGGGGCTGTGTGCTGGGTGTGACACTTTAACTGGTGGCTGAATGAACTCCAGCACTACCCAGCTGCAGCCCCGGAGCGGAAGCCCCTGCCGTGACACGAGCCTCTGGCTTGACGGAAGTGCCCCTGGCATGACGGAAGTGACGTAGCATTACGTAGCATACCGGAAGTTACTTTTTTCCGGAAGTGGCCTCTTTTTTCAAATTAAAATTAAAAACACCACTTCCCATTATGATAAATCGTATAGTAATACTGACAAGAGTAATTTCAACGTGGTCTTTAGGCTACCATTACTTCAAACATCTTAATCTTTCCTGTGTTCCTGTAGTCTGTGTACACAGATGGATATTATAGCCTACACGTTTTCCTTTTATTACATAGATAACAAAAAAGTGTGTTCATTAGATCAGGTTTAGCCTACTTTTTAAAGATCTAGAGGATCATCAAGGGAACTGCACATCAAAAAAAAAGAGAATCAAATGAAGGAATTTTGTGTTAAATAAATTTGACCCACCAGACATTGACCAAACAGAAAATGTAAGTCTAATGTCTCATGAAAACCAGATTTACAGGGAAAAAAGTCACAAAAGGACCTCGGTGCCCATGTTTATCATTTCTATAAAAAAAAAGAAATGATAATATAAATAATGAAAGAACCAATTGTTTGGTCTGTACTATAAAACCCTCACTCACTCAGTCGAATGTGTCATTTCTCACAAAAACCACATACTGTGTAAGAACTGATCCCTCAGCAGAAGAAAAATAAAAGTATTTGAGACCAGAACTGCTCATCTTTATTAAATATCTATCCTTAAAGGTACAGTAAGAACCTGCATTTGATTTGAAAGAGGTCCAACTCACTGTCAAAAGGAAGAAAATAGAGTCAATAAACAAATAATAAAAAAAATATAAAAATACATTAACAGATACTATTTCTATGGCAGTCTTTGTGTATTATTTTGATTATTATTAGATAGTGGGTTAAAGTGAAATCTGGCTTGTCTTTCCTCTTGGTGGTGCTCGGGGTTTTCATTAGCGCTGGCAATTCCAATAAGCCTTTAGCGACCGACAAAAAAATCTCAATGCAGGAAAAACCCTTCCACATCTCACAGGTTGCAAAAAACCTTTATCAAATGTTATCAAACTAGCAGAATGCTAGTTAGCTCGTAGTTAGCTAGGCAACATTATCGACGTAGCAAAGCGTACCTTGTTTTTAAATGTCTCCATTATTTGGCTCCGAGTATTGGAGTGACAGCGAGTATCCTCAAATTCCCACGTATCCTACGTCACTTCCGTCAAGCCAGAGGCTTGTGTCACGTCAGGGGCTTCCGCTCCGGGGCTGCAGCTGGATGCTAATTAACTGGTGATACTGAGGCAGATGTGCGTAGGTGTGGCTTTTGAGGACCCTTTATTGCTTAACTGGGAAATTAAGATTCTGACTACTTCAACACTCTTTCCAACTTACTTAAAAACCCCAAAAGTTTTGACATGTGAATGAAACTCATACAGACTACCACCCCAACCCCCATGCACGCACCTGTGCGTAGTTAACCGAGCTTGTACCACTCTCTTCTGAATTTAGGTTGTAGGCTACAGCTAGGCATCCAACTTCTGCCCCTATTTGCAAAATTAGGTACAATATCTAATTTGGTTGAAAGACTTTGCTGACATGTATAGAATATAAATAAAAGATGATAAAAGTCTGTATCAATGGTAGACAGATGTTGCATCACAAGTCAATCTGGTCATATAATGCTTTGCCATCACTCTTCATCAAGATGGTATAAACATATACTGACTGTTTCAATATATAATACCACAATTCTATCACATCTTATAATCTCTGTCCAGTTTTTTCAAAATCCCACAAAATTGTGACCTGAATAGGATTTGTATATAGTGTAGTCCATTTTCTGTTCCTATTGCAAAATGAGATTTGACAGTTGTCTAATTTGGATGAAAGAGTGTGCTGTCATGTATATAATATAATTGTGATGAATTATTTGTTGACAATTGGAACAGGCATCGACACAGTACTTTGCCATTCTCTTCAAGCATCCGGAGAGTGCCGTCGCAAATAAAATTAATTCAAACTCCAGGTAACTCTGTTAATCTTATTTGACATCAGAACTGGGGTGTTTACAGTGTTATGAAGTAAATTCAGTCAGTATTTCTAGTGTACAAATCTGCAGCAATGCTCGGGAATATCACCAGTTAATTCAACCACCAGTTAAACTGTCACACTTGTGTCCAGTTTATTGGGTCCAGCTGGCTGACACTAATACAGTCTAACAGAACAGGTCCTGTAATATAGCCTCCCTTTATGAAGGTTATCATTCAGTTTTTGTTGAGGTTCAGAGAAATTTTAATTTAATTTCATGGAGGCTGTAGTTTGTGCTGCTGTTCAGATGTGTTTAACAGTCAAACACCTCGTAAAGGGGGTGTCATGAAATTGTTTATAATTGATATGCAGTATTTTTCATAATGGATTAACCGGTAAGTTGTTGATCAAGGACAAATACCAAACAGTACTTTGGTGCAAATATTCTGTAAGTCCAGTACAGCTTGTGTTCACTGATTTGCAGAATTGTCAAGAGTGGCATGTAGCTTTGGGTCCAAAAATAAATGTGTCTTTATTTCATTTAGACCTTTTCATAGGTTGCTGAACGTAATACATGTCATTATAGTTTCTTTTTGTGTGTGTGTGCATGGAGCTGCAGGATGGACATATCCAGCCGGCTGGAGATGTGGCAGGAGCTGGCCGAGATGTGTGGTCTCATTACAGTCCAGCAGAGCCTACAGCAGGTCTGGAGGCTGCTGCTGCTCTGCCTGATCTGCAGACTCTGCTTCAGACTGGGTGAGCTGCACTGACTGCATATCAGCAAGTAGAAGAAGGCTCATCTTACCTGTTGTTGATCTTTTGTCAGCACTCACATACTAAATAGATTGAGATTGATTTCAACACTAGTCCTAGCTAAGATCATATCGTTGCATAAAGTGACTGTGAAATGGACTTTTCAGACTTTCTTTTGCTTTGTTTTGCACATCATACACATTTATAACACTCGTTTGGAATCAACTCAAATTCAACCAATTTTGATGTGATGAAACCTAAAGCGTGCTACAGGAATGAGTCCTAAAAGCTGGAGTCAGCATTTTAGCACCTCTTGTTCCCCTCCTTAAGTCAGTGGGTTTTTTGACTGGGTTTTTGGTTAGATGCCTGAAATAAAGCCTGTGCTTGACACAAGAGACTTTCACATTTGTTCTATGACATAAAATACATCAGTAAATATGGAAGCCCATTCCCGCCAGGAAGATAAAAATATGAGATTAAAATGTCGAAATGATTAACATTTTGATAAAAAGTCATAATTATGAGATAAAATAATCATCATAATTATAAAATAAGATTCAAACTTTGCTTTAATAATGAAAATATATTCATTTATATTCATTCACTTATCTACTCAATAGTCCACCTTTACAGCCTCATTGTGTTTATACCTGTGCTCTTGCAAACTATTCTAACTCAAACTTTACAACTTGTAGATTTGAATTACAAGGTTTAATTACAAGTTGGAAGTTTGGTGGTGGTGACATTGAGGTCATGTGACCATGGTGTAGTTGGTTTATAGCTAACATTAGCTTTTTACTTCTGGCGATCACATTTATGCTTCAAAAACCATAAAAGACAGGTTCGTTTGTGAAGATTATCTTGCTGAACAAAACGTCTAAGTATCATTTGTTCACCTTGAGCTCATTTCTGCAATAATCCAAAATCAAATGGAAAAATCCCATTGGCCAGGACGATGCTAACTTCCTGATTGCGCTACAAAAATGACATCCCTGCAGCGCTCTATTTCGGTCAGATTAAAGCCTCATAAGGCCTTTTTTGGACTTTAGATTATAATTGAAGTGTTTCCGTACTTGTGTCCCTAAGGGGGCGTGTCCACTGTGAAGCATGTGACATCAGTGTTGGCTGGGATGTACGGCCTCTTCCTGTTCTTTGAGCTGCACATGCTGTGGGTCCTGTTGCTCAGTGCGCTCTGTTACCTCGTTCTGCTCCTCAGCCGACACTCGAGCAGCAGAGGCCTCTTCCTCTCAGTCGTCATCCTCATCTACCTCCTCATTGGGTGAGAACACACTGTGTCCTGGAAACTGAAATTGATTATTGCAGCTTAAAAGAAAACAGACACAATAAATTGTCATGAGGCTGTATGCCACTTGTATCTCCAACTAGTGGTCTATCTGTGGAATCGTACCATGGCATTGCCAGTGTTGGGTGTGACGCATTACTGTAGTCACATTACATTTATCTGTAGTGCAGTAATGCAACGCAATAACTCCAGTAATCACATTACAGTTGCTACAGTTTTGTCACTACTTGCATTAGATAAGCTCTTCAATTATCTGCATAACATGTGTTTTCATCCATGTTTGCACAACAATGCCTAAAGGAGCATACAGCTTCCTTCAACTCTGACACTGAAGTCTATTGTGTCTGTGGAGAGGCTCTTCGGTACGGTATGAGTGTGTTAGTTTGTTCGCCATCAATGTGTGAAAGGGTGAATGTGTGTATAAAAGTGCTTCGAGTGGTCGGAAGACTAGAAAGGCGCCATACAAGTACAGTCCATTTACCATTTGGAGGCCAAGAAAGATGATTGTTCCCAGGGCATCAAATCCAGATGCTTTGGGACCCTGGGAATGAGACTCAACAATCAACTATCTATCTCTGCTGCATTACTTTTTAAAAAGTAATATGTAATACATTACTTTCTTTGAGTAACGACCCCAACACTCGGCATTGCTTATTGAATGATTTTGTCAATGTCACTTCCTTGTGTAGTTATATCCTTACTGTGTCTGTAGAAAATCTCCATTAATTAATTTCATAATAAGTCTGCAAAGATTCTACTTTCTGTGTAGAATTCATACGTCTACCTCTTCATTTCAGAGAGTTGCATTTAATTGACATGGTGACCTGGCATAAAATAAGAGGTAAATATTCCATCATTTGGTCTGAGAATACCGTCATGGAAGTTTTGTTTGTTTGTGTTTCATGTTATTGGTTTTAAACTTGTTTTCTTCAATACTGCACTGTCAATAAACGCGTAATCTTTCCCCCGTGTGTCTCAGGCTCTCAGATGGTGGTGGCCATGAAGGCCATCTCTCTGGCCTTTGACCTGGACAGAGGAGCAGTGGGCACCCTGCCCTCCCCAGCTGAGTTCCTGGGCTATGTTCTTTTTGTGGGCACTGTTGTGTTCGGCCCTTGGATCAGCTTCTCTAGTTATAAGAATGCCATTGAAGGCAGAAAACTGGTGGGTAGTCAGTGTTTCCTGCTTGCTTCCTCTGTGTGCACGCCGGTCTTAATGTGTAGAACTGTGGTTTTAATGAGGTGGTTCGTTCCTCAGAGCTGGTTGTGGCTGCAGAGTTTCTCCCTCAGCCTCCTGAAGAGTCAGATCTGTCTGCTGGTCTCCACCTGCATCGCCCCTTACCTCTTCACTTTGTTCATCCCCGTCCAAGGAAACACAGTCACACAGAAGTAAGGCAAATTTTCAATTTCATAGTTTTGGCAATAAAGCTTTTACAATACTGTACTGTCTGTCTTTCTTTCCTTGCTCCTGAGATACATTTGAGAAAGGTAAGGCTTCTTTTCAGGGTTAGAATGAACTTCTTTCCCCCCACAGGCTGCCATAAGTCTACTGTACTGTGTTTAAAATCATTTATTTTATGTAATTATTCATTTATTATTGGATCATGTGTAAGAAAATGCCATTCTGTTCCCATCATTACTGTGTTCCTGCTATTAGAAAGCACGTGCCCATCTCTCCAAAGGCCAGATTAATGCTACTGTGCTTGATTATCAGTATTCTTTAATATTGCTGAGATCTTTTTTTTTTTTATGTGGCCCATATCAGATTCCAGTGTGAACAGGTCAAAGTCCTGAAGTTACACACATGATGAATGTAGAACATAGACCACATATGAATGTGTTTTGTTCTGTTCACACTGTCATTAACAAATCTGATTTGGGTCACCTGTGCCTACAGTGGGAACATAGCCTAAGGTTGTTTGACAAAACATTCTGGTCCACTTACTAGCTTTTTCTGGAGCATGTCATGGTCATTCTTACCACAATAACTACTTTGGATGATTGGATGGACAATACATTTTCCTAGAAATAATTGCATTTTATATCAGTGAAATAACGATTAGCTTAATAATGCCAGTACACCCTTTCAATGAATATTAATTCTTAAGAATATTCAGAGATTGGAATTGAAAAAATCCTGTTGATTCAGTTTTGGCACTTTCCCCATCAAATCAAATATGATTAACAGAAAGAATGTATTCAAGCAGACGATGAGCTCTAGATGAATAAAATCTGGCTTTATTTCAAAGAGGTTGATAACTGAGTTTACTTGGATTTACCCCCCCACTACACCCATGCTCCATAGCTCTATCACAGTCCAACTGGCTAGCTAATCTATTTACCAGCATCGTAAACCGTAGCAAAACAGGAAGAAAGTAGTAAAGTAGTAAAGTAGTAAAGCCTGCTTCTTGCTTGAGTTGTTGGATGTTTGGGTCAAGGGTGACATTAATGAGCAGCTCCAAAAATGTGCAAGACAAATTTTTGTGTCTGCATTTAGTACAACGTGCAACATTTTTAATGTTTAACTTTGAAGTAATCTATTAGATTAAATTTTTTTGTAATCCAATGAATTATGTTAGTAATTAAAAAAATTGCCATGTAATTAGTATTCAGTAACTTACTACATTTTAAAGTTATCTAACCCAACCCTGACTGTAAGTAATCCATGCCATAGGAGCACCTAACTTCAACTCAGAGGAGATTAAGAGGTCCTTTTAGGAGAAGAGTAAATGATCGAAGTGATGGAATTGAGAAAAAAAAACAAAAGCTAACTCTGTTATGTGTTGCGCAGGTGGCTGCATGCGTATGAGACTGCAGTGTCCTTCCACTTCAGTAACTACTTTGTGGGTCACCTCAGCGAAGGCACCAGCATGCTGGCTGGAGCAGGCTTCACTGAAGAAAAAGACAACATCAGATGGTAAGTTTAACTTGGGTTGAGCGGCTGTAAATAATGTTTTAAAGAGTTCGGTCTAGACCTGCTCTATTTGAAAAGTGTCCTGAGATAACTTCTGTTATGAATTGGCGCTATACAAATAAAATTGAATTGAATTGATATGCCTGCCTCATGCTGCATTACTCCACTTCTATCAGGCTTGTCCGCTTCCATCACAGTTAGTTTTGTGGTTTGGGGTCATTTTGAGACTGTTTGTAAAGTTTACAGCCTGCCATGCTGTCGCTCTGTGTACAATGACGCAGCTAAAAAGTGCAGAGATTCCACTGACAAAATGCAAACTGGGTCTTCTTTTGACTGATTACTTGAATCATGAGGTTTTTAGACCAGCCCTAGTATTTAAGTACATTTAAACAATGGAAGAGTGTCAGGCAGTATCTTTATGTCTCTTCTAGTGAATCCTGAAGGAATTCAGCTCCATGCTAGTAATCCAGTAGCTTGTCTCAGGTGTTTTGTACACCAGAACTAAACAGCAGTTGTGTGAACAGGCTTACATAAAGTGCTTGAGATTCATAAAAGTGTAAAGTAGACAAAAGAGCAGAAAGTTGCCTACCTCTCGGCACCCAGGAAGGAAAAATCCTCACATTTCTCAAAAGGAGCCTGTCCTTCCTATTATGTTATGTGTGTTTACTGTGCAGGGATATGAGTGTGGTGAAGCCGCTCAGTGTGGAAATGCCTCGTTCCATGGTGATGGTGGTGACGTCCTGGAACATCCCCATGTCCCGATGGCTGAAAACCTGTAAGTCCCAGCATCCCGCTCTGTCTGTTAAACACACCAAAATTACTGAACAACAAGTTTTGCCCTGCTGGAGCTAAAGCTGGACGTAAGAAATGTGAAGTTGTCTGTCACTGGTCCATCCAACACTTTGGTCATTGGGCGAGATAGCTCTAAATCTAGCTATCCAGACATCCAAGGTCCCCCCTAACCTTTCCCACCATTGCCATTATCAGACCATTTATTTCACTTATACACAAAATATATCAACATCTAACTTTCAGCTTCATGACTTCATGTCCCACAGAATCATGACTGTTTGGTCTCTATGTAACGTATTTCTTGATATATGTTGAGCTGCAACATGTAATGGATTAGTCAATGGACAGCCTTTTTTTAAGGAAGGATGCCAAATATTATCTGGTTCTTGCCTCTGAACTGTGACAATTTGCTGTTTTTCTTTGTCATATATGACCGTAAATTGAATATCTTAAGGTTTAAGACTGTTGAACAAAACAAGCACATTAAAGATATTACTGTGGTCTTCTGTGGAAATTCATTTGATATTTTATTTTTTGCAGAAAATAAATGGGTAATAGAGAAAATAATCATCAGATTGATCAATAATAATAAAATAAAAAATGAGTTGCAGGAGCTAATATACATTTGGAGCAAAAATGAAAATTTGCATAACCAGTGATGGAGTGGAAGTGCGTACATTTACTCAAGTACTGTATGCATGTGCAAACTTCAGGTACTTCTACTTTATACTTCCACTCCACTATATTTTGGAGGCATATATAATATTTTGCTTTTTACTGCACTACATTTATTTGATAAATTCACATTATAAATACACAATTTAAATCAACTATCATGATAATCAACTAATGATTTATTATTATTGATTAAGCTACCTAGCAGTATGAAGTAATTCAAGTGATGAACACATTAATGCATCAATAATTATAATCCAGACAAATATTCAATATTATTTTGAAATTGACCATTCTGCATGGTTACTTTTGGTACTTTAAAGCTGCAGTAGGTAGTTTTTATAAAAAAAAAACCTTTTTGTCATATTTGTTGAAACCGATGTTTCCATCAGTTGTGCTCTGCCTGGAGCAGACAACCATATAAAGAAATCTGTGACGAGCCAACGCTGGCTAGTCAAATTAAGTAGAAAGAAAAAGAGGTTGGAAGTTGCATTCAGAGCAGTCTTTTCGGTCACAGCGATTAGTTTTACATTCGTTTACCAAATTGTTGTTTTTTGGCCTCATTTAAAGCTGCAGTAGGTAATTTTTATAAGAAATGTCAACAAATAGGGCAAAAATACCCTATTTGTTGAAACTTTCACTATATGCTGACAGTAGAACATGAGACAGATAATCTGTGAAACAATCAGGTTCCTCTGGTTTCTTCTAGTGCTCCTAATGGTGTTTGCAAGAATCCACTGGGCCTGCACAAAAACAACCAATCAGAGCTGAGAAAGATAGCTTTGGGTTGGTGGTTTGAAGATAGTTAATTGTTGAGTTTCATTCCCAACATTAGTATTTGACAACCTGAGTCAACAGTCAACTGTCTTTCTTTGCTTTGATTGGTTGTTTTCTTTGAGGCATTTTCATTCTGAAAACACACTTTGTACACAGTTTGTATTTACAAGTCTGAATGGAAATTAACTAATTATATGCTGTCATTATGTTGTGTGGTAACTGTGTTCTGTCCTCTGTTCCTCAGATGTCTTTAAAAACACTGTGAAGCTGGGGACATTTCCAGCCATCCTGGTGACATATACAGCCAGCGCCTTATTGCATGTTAGTAAAATGACTTTAATCCACAGCCCATAACAGTATTGGTGGCCATTTTAATACACTAAAATCATGTGTTATAGTTATTCTTTTGTTGGAAGGCCATCTACTTTCATTCAAAATATGGGACCACATGATAAACTACAATCTTCTGCCATCCATTTGTACCATAACTGTTCACTTATTGAAAAATTGTGATACTGTTTTCTGTAGTTCTGCTGTTCTTTGTGTTAAAAACGAATTCATGTGTGCAGTATGCAGCTTTTTAAGATGCTGATGTCACTACTTGAACTTAATGTGCTGTTGGTTTCTTCAGGGTCTGAGTTTTCACCTTGGAGCTGTTCTACTCTCTTTGGGCTTCATCACATATGTTGAACATGGTATGAATAACATTTCTGCTGGTACTGTCTGTAAAAGTATAATACAAATGTCTGCAGCTAGGGGGTCTCTCACATCAAAACAATAACGAAAGACCAAGTTCAGTTATGTGGTGAAGTAGTGTGGGATGATGGGAGTTATTGTATTCACCAATACAATTGGTTGTTATTGCAGTCAGCTTCTGCCGGTTAGGATTCCTTCAGTGTTCATGGTTCAGGAGGTTTCTACCAGGAGTCCAATGATCCACAGAGGTCTCCTCCTCTCCAACACAAACAGACCTGCTGATTAAAACCACTAAACACACTGAATAAAGCAGTTCCACCTTAAAAAGTCACTGCTTCTCCCACACTGTTGGACAGACAAAGGACGTCCTGGAGGGGCTGCGAGCCAAGCTGATGCTAGCGTTAGCTCAGCTTGTTTCTCTGATAACTTAAGATCCAGACGTCCAATGACTAAAATCCTTCAAATCTAGAGTTAAAAAGCACCAAGATTTAAACAGTGGATGGTAAAAATATGGCTTCAAACTGGATAAAAAGTAAATGTATGACAGCTTCTGGCAGACAACCACAACGCTGATGCATGCACAAAGGGGATATGATGATGATGTGTACACATGAACAAATGATAATAATAATAATAAACTTTATTTATTTTTTAATCTTTCAAAAACACTAAGAACCATAGCAGCATCAGTAACAATATATAGATAATAAAAACAATAAAACCACATTGAGTAAAGGTTAGAAAAAAGGGTCACAGTAAGGCAAGACTATAAAAGTGCATTTTAAGAATTTTAAGACTTAAATAAAGTGATTAGAATTATCCATCCTGATTTCCTCTGAAAGGGTGTTTCACAGTTTGTGGGCTCTGATGGCAAATGCCATGTCACCTTTGTTTTTAAATCTTGTTTTATACTTTTATCTTGTAAATACTGTCAGACTAGCTGTGATAGTGTTAATATACATTTGCCTGTTTGTTTCCCACACCGTAATGGTCAAAGTTGTTGATATTTTTGTTCTTATCCTCAGTCCTGAGAAAGAGGCTTGCGTCCATTTTTAGTGCCTGTATCCTGTCCAGGCCATGCACCTCTGACTGCAGCCATCAGCACAAGAAGGTATGGCTTCAGCTCTACTCCGCTGTCTCACGTAATCAAAACATGCAGACATACATTAAGCTATCAACAGCAACTGTGGTACATTCTCTGCCCCTGCTAGTTATATAGTTATGCAGGGGAAGAAAAAAAATGCAATGTGATAGGAATCATGGGCTAGTTATAGTTAAATGTGGGGGTGCAAGATTATGTTAGAAAAAAGTAACACATGAAAGTATAGAACCTTCAGTTATGACCAATAAAGCTGCTCTTTTAGTATAAAGCTGAGTTTATTGTTTTATTATATATAAAAATATCATTTTTTCATTGTGTTGTGTACTTTCAGTAGTGAGTGACAGACAAACACTTTAAAGGGCAACCACTTACTGCACACTGCGATTTAGAAACTGAGTACAATTAGCTGCCAATTAGCCTGATCAGCCACCATGAGTAATCAATACACACATTAAACCATTAATCAAATTGATAACTAACAGCAGTCAGACAACCTTATCATGAGGTGGACCTATTATTACACCAAACTCCCAATATGATATTTTAACAATTCCTTACGTGTCCATAAAAACACTCTAGAAACACAAGATTGTCAATTCTCCATCAATATAATACATAAAGATAAACTATATTCTGTACAAACATTACATTTTATCTTCTTAACTCACTCAGCCTCTTTTGGTCTAATTAATGGCCTTCCTGGAAGAAGATAATATCCTAGAGGTTTTCCAATCCGGTTTTAAAACCCTGCACAGCACAGAATCAGCTCTCTTTAGAGTTTTTAATGATAACTTTTTAGCTACTGACTCTGGTGACTGTGTTATCCTTGTGCTTTTAGATTTAACTGCTGCATTTGACACAGTGGATCATGAAATATTGATCTCACGTTTGAAGCAGTGGGTGGGCATCAGGAGCATAGCACTGGAGTGGTTCAGGTCGTACTTGGCTGATCGAACTTTCTGTGTCAGCCTAGGTGACTCTGTATTCCTCCTCTGCTCCTCTCTCATGTGGGGTCCCACGGGGCTCAGTTCTTGGCCCTCTCCCTTTCTCTCTTTATTTGCTCCCACTTGGTTCCATACTTAGGAAGCACGGCTTTTCATTCCACTGGTATGCAGATGACTGTCAGATTTATGTGCCTCTTAAAAAGGAAAATGAATACTCTGCTACTGAAGTGTCTCAACGACATAAAGGCCTGGATGGCTCTGAACTTTTTAAATTTCAATGATAAAAAGACGGAAGTGATGGTTTTTGGTGGCACCACAGGGATCCCCCCTGTAGATCTGGGTTCCTTGGCCCAGTATATTAAACCTAGCATCACAAACCTAGGGGTTAAGGTGGACCCTGAGCTTAAGTTTGACAGTCAGATCAAGGCTGTTGTCAAATCAAGCTTTTTCCATTTGAGGCAGCTGGCCAAAATAAAGCCAATTCTATCAAGGCAGCACTTTGAGACGGTAATCCACGCCTTTGTTACCACTCGGCTGGATTACTGTAATGCACTATATGTGGGGGTTAGTAGGTCCTCCATCGCCCGTCTCCAGATGGTACAGAATGCTGCTGCACGTCTTTTAACTGGCACACGTAAACATGAGCACATTTCCCCCATTTTAGCCTCACTCCACTGGCTGCCTATTCAATTTAGGATCCATTTTAAAATTGTTTTATTTGCTTTTAAATCCCTGAATGGTCTTGCCCCGCCCTACCTCTCTGAGCTTCTACACCCCTATATACCCGTCCGCCCCCTCAGGTCAGATGATCAGCTGCTCCTGAGTGTGCCTAAAACTAAGTGGAAGCTCAGAGGGGACCGTGCCTTTGCTGTGTCTGCTCCTAAATTATGGAGTGATCTGCCTCTGCACATTAAACAGGCCTCTTCTCTGTCTGTTTTTAAAACCAGTCTTAAAACCCATCTCTTCTCTGTGGCCTGTGACACCTAGTAGGATGTCGACTTTATTTACTTAATTTAATTTCTTATTTTGATTGCTTTTTATTGCATGGCTATTATTTTTACTCATGTTTTATGTCTTTTCATTTTGTTGTTGTATTTTATATGTAATTTTGCGCCACATGTGAGCTGTTATGTCTTTTATTTATGATGTCTTATTTATTCTCCTGTACAGCACTTTGGTCAACTTTGGTTGTTTTAAAGTGCTTAACAAATAAAGTTGGATTGGATTGGATTGGTTAGCTACACTTAGTGGCAGAAGACTGATTGCTCACTGAAATAAGTGTTGGTTGGTGGATTACATGTATGCCAAATTTAACACAGACTTGTGATGACTGTTATTTCACTGTCTGTCATGTGTCTTTTAGTCCATGGCTCTTCCTGACTTCACTCTAATCTGTGCTAGCATTATATAAGTAAGTTAAAAAATGGGCTTTTTAAAACCTGTGTATGTTTTGTATCTTATATGAATCCAATGTAAGCACACAGTCAGAAATGATCTGAGACTTCAGAGTTCAGGTATAAATCTAGGGACATTTTTATAAATGAGTCCCCTGGTGTCTGGTGGACTTATTTAGACTAGTCTGAATGATGTTTTTAACTGTTGGATGATTTGTTACGATTTAGATGCTTTTCAAAAACCTGATTGTAGATGAACTGTCCTGTGATGAGTTAACACAAAGTATCAGACCTGTTTCTGTTGTAAGAAATGTACTTTGTAACCACACCCAACAGTGATGTCATAGGGTCCAAGAGTACAGCGCTACATCACTGCAGCAAAGTCAGAAGTCAGCACGATTTTTAAGTTCCACTTTAAGGGTTAAAAAGATTGAGAGACACTATGAAGATGTTTCACAGTCTTTTTCCTTTGGCCTGCAGGAGTATTGGGTGATGTTGCTGAATGTGGTTTTCAGCTTCCTGGCCATCTTCCACCTCACCTACCTGGGCTCCATGTTTGACCCTGGAGATGATGAACAGGAAGTAGAAGAGGTAAGAAGACCCTGACGGTCAAGTCCAGGGAGAAAGGAACATAAATGTCAGCAAGACAAAGTGCAGGACGCTGTTTTTACTGAACAAAAACCACCAATCAGAGCCTAGAAAAAGAAAGACACTTGGGTTGGTGGCTTGAAGATGGTTGATTGTTGAATCTCATTCACATTGTTGGTATTTGACGACCTGGGAATGAGACTCAACAACCAACTATTTTTCTTGGCTCTGATTGGTTGTTTTCATTCAGGCCCGGTGGATTCTTAAAAATACCATCAGGAGCACTAGGAGGAACCAGAGGAACCTGATTTTTTCACAGATTATCTGTCTCATGTACTACTGTCAGGATATAGTGAAAGTTTCAGCAAATATGACAAAAGGTTATTTTTGTCTACTGCAGCTTTAAATGAGACCAAAAAGAAAATAGGTAAACTTATGTAAAACTAATCCCTGTGACCAAAAAGCTCAGAATTCAGACTGCTCTGAATGCAACTTCCAACCACTTTTTCTTTTTACTTAATGCGACTAGCCAGCGTTGGCTCGTCACAGATTTCATTATATGGTCGTCTGCTCCAGGCAGAGCACAACTGATGGAAACATCTGTGCATAAAGTGGTTAGTCTAATTGACCGAATCTTAGTAGAGTTTCAAAAAACAGACTACAAAAACATAGTGAATGAAACAGGGTTTCAATTTCTAACCACATGCTTGTTTATTGCTCCTGTTTGCAGGGTTATGCTGCCATCCACACCATCCAGAGGTGGTCTGAACTGAACTGGGCGAGCCACTGGGTTGTGTTTGCCTGCTGGGTCTTCTACCGTTTAATTCAGTGACCTCATTGGAGCAGAGGGGAAGGCCGGCAGACACCAAATAGTTCATAATACAATGAATATCAGCATGTTGTTACCTGATGGGAACTAAGGATCTGCAGTGCAAGGACTGTGGAAAAGACTGTGTCTGTGCTTAGGTGGTTTTTACAGATGAAAGCAGAGGCTTTGGATGTAAAGATGGAGTTAATAAACAAACCTTCAGACCTGTTTGGAATAGAGATGTATGGATGCAGAGTGAGCACACAGCACATAGCCCTGTACCTGTTGGCTTTATTTCAGGATGTTTTGAATTGAACTGCAGAATCAGTGTGATTGGACTGAAGACCTTAAATGATCAGAACGACCCTGTAGAGAGAGTTCTGCTGTAATGTTGGTGTTAGACAATGTCCACGCCTAAAACCATTTCAGCAGTTTAACATGTTTAAGTATAGAAACATACATACAAACAAAATTTTTTTTACTGCTGCTATTGTGTCTTTTGTATTTTTCTATTAAAATATTTCTGCAAATGTTCCTGGTTTGTGATTATCTGAATTCAACATAGTGACAGACTGACATCGCCAGGCTGAACCTTTAACCCTGCTGTATGGAGCCTGGAGTTGTCACACTGAAAACTGTATTTTTTTCTGTTAATTGTGATAACCTACCTCAATTTAAAAATATTTAAGAGGATCTATTGTCAGCAAAGGAATACAATATTCATAGGTATGTTTTTTTAAACCAAAAAGCAGACACTGGCTCTAGATAGGACCTTACTGTTTTTTTTGTGGCCACCATAGTTTCTCCTACACTCTTGAAAGGGCGGGGCAGAGGTGGGACCAAGTCATTGTTTTGCAAGTCACAAGTACGTCCTAGCACTGATCTCCCAAGTCCAGTCCCAGGTCCCTGAGTTTTGCCAGCTGGCGCCCAATAATGTCACATTAGTTCTTCATGGTTCTCTCCTGCAACTTGATTGGATTTCTATTGGATTGATTAAAACTAAGTAGTTTGGAAGATGGAAAGCTTACATTCAGCAGCTGGATGTTTTCCATTACTTTGACTTTATCAAACAAAACTGGATTTTAATCCTAAATCTGAATTTTAGCGAGATGGGGAAAAATGACCAAATTTGTTGGGAATAGCAGAAAAGTTATCTAACTCATAGTGTAACTAATTATTGTTGGCAGGGAGTAATAAGTAAGGTAATAATACTTTTGTGGCCCACTTTTTTTTTTTTTCCTTTACTGGATAGAGACAGCTGAAGATTGACAGGAAAGGTGGGTAGAGAGAGGGGATGACACACAGCAAAGGGCCACAGGTCAGATTCAAACCCGGGCCGCCGCAGCAACTCCGTATATGGATCACCAGTTCCAACGACTGAGATAACCAGGCACCCATGTGGCATGCTTTTTAGTATCTTAAGTACCTTTTAATCTTTGGGCTTTGGGAATGGTATCAAGTATTTCCATGTCCAGTTGAAGTCACAAATTAGTGGCCTTTAAGTCCAAGTTGAGTTTTTTATTTTTATTTTGACATTTCGGGTCTAAAGTCATCAAATTTGATACTTGAGCTTGAGTCCACACCTCTGGGTGACGGTTGCAATCTGTGACTACACTACTAGATCCCATTAAAACCTACACACTGGTGTTTAAAGACTGTAGAGCAGTGGAGACACTGCTAGTATTCTGTATATAAGGGAGGGGGATGGAGGTCCGGAAACGGACCTGCAGGCCGGCAGTTTGAGACCCCTGCTGTAGAACGAGCTGTAAACAAAATACTGACACATTGCTACTTAATATTGCAACCAGCTGTCTCATGTGGCGGCTGTGGCTCAGAGGCAGAGCAGGTTGTTCCTTGATCGGAAGGCTGTGGGTTTGATCCCCGGTGGTGCCACATGTTGAAGTATCCTTGAGCCAGATACTGAACCCCAAATTGCTCCTGATGCTATGCATCGGTGTGTGAGTGTGTATGAATGAGTTAGTTTCTGTTTGATGGACTTTGCCATCACTGAGTGAATGTGAATGTTTTTTTCATGACACATCCATCAGACACAGAGCAGCATTAGCATTCATTTAGAGTTTGGAGTCTTTGTGTCCACCTGACGACCAATGTAGTCCAATATTGTTTTTTGGCTTTATTGCTGAAAACATAATTGATTGATGTCTGATGGGGTTTGTTCAAATCAACTGGATGAGGAGATTTTGACTATTGTAAGGCTGCACGTTCACCTGCTGTGGCTGGTAGGCTAGGCTTATACAATGACGATAGTATCATGATACAGTGGTTACGATTCGATATAATGCGATATATTGTGGTACTCTAAGCAAGGCAATAAATTGCTTTTTTAAATTAATTTAAACCTAATTTTAGGAAAACACTATCTAGCAGAGGTTGAAATAGGTTGATTATCTGGTTATCATGGCACCTGTCAGTGGGGGGAATACATTAGGCAGCAAGTGGCCCTCAGATCCTCACGCTGCCCATTTTTCCTGCTTCTAACACATCAACTTTTACAACATTTTTTACTTGCTGCCTGATATATCCCACCCACTGACAGGAGCCATGATAACCAGTGTCATTCACTTCACCTGTCAGTGCTCACAACGTAATGGCTGATCGGTGGATATTGATAACTTGTCACTGATTCCTTGACCCACTGTTTAGAATACTGATTAGTAGAGCTTTAACTAACCTACACAGCTGTATTTTTTATCTTTATTTTTATTTATCTTTAACGAAATGTTCTTCTTACAGTAGGTGAACTTCTAGCCCTGTGCAGGATGGACTTGGATCCCTCACCTGTCCTCTTACCTGTACTTAGTCAATCATTAATGTCCCCAACCAGACAGGGTTTGTTCAGGTCAACACGGAAGTGACAGGACAAAAGCGTGAAAAACCTCCACACACCATAGCCTCTCATCTCTGACCCAGGGAAGCTACAAGGTTAGTTTGGTGCTGTCAGTCAGTCAGCCCTTAATCTCAAGCAGGTTGCTCCTGATGTTTGTGTGTTTGTTGCGATACAGGTGTACAAGTGTACAGGTGTGTCATTATATGTAGAATGGGAAGAGGGGCCAACTGTAGCTGGATTGGGCCTGAGATCCCTCTGTCATCACAAATCTTTAGTGGTAAGTACAGTACTCTACTCACTTAATAGCTGGATGTTAATGGAATTAATAAAGAATATAAAAAAATTGCATACAATCAACTTCAGCTTTACTTGGCTTTAGTCTTAGTATTTTTGTTGAGCCAATGTCTGAAGGATAAAACAGTTGAGGAAATGTTAGATAACAGTAATTTTCTATAATTGAAACACAGTTTTAGCCTTAATTTTACATTAAAATAATAAAAAAAAATGTTGGCCCTTTTAATGTTTAATTAGATATTTGCACATGTAGAAATAACAGGGAAAACACTTCTATAATACAAATAATCAGGCTTAAATTTACAGAAGAGTGCTGTAATTATTTGATTGTTCTTATTCAGAATTTTTAGAAAGTTACAGAACTGTAATAAAAGTCATTATCTGTGAAATTACAGTAATTGTTGTTTGCTGCTCATTTTTGTTGTGAAAACCTCCATAATTATACAACATATCTGTCAATTTACAAACAAATCAATGTAAAATTACAGAACTACTCTACTGTTTGTCACTAATTTTACATTTTACAAATGTATTAACAATATTAAACTTGAATTTAACAGTTTCATCTATTAAACAAATAAGCAGTCATTTCATGATTATTTACAGTTCCACAATTCTCATGTTATTTTAGATTAGACAAATTCAGGGGCTATGTTAATTGTATTAACAGAAAAACTTGTAAACTTACAGATTCTTTTTACAGTAGGATGTTCTATATGTTGTTGAGTTGTATACTTACATTATTCCAAATGTATAAACCCAGAGAAATCTGTCATTTTAGAGTTGGAGGGAATATGGAGAAAACTACACCTATATATCATATTGGAACTGTGTTCAAAGTTAAATAAGATACATTAGGAGTTATTTTATTTCTTTTGTCAGCCATTAAAGATGAGCTGTGGCTCTTTCTCATCCCGGCCGGCCTGGCTGTCATTCTACTGGGGGTGTTTCTGGAGGAGGTGGGCTTCTTCCTGCGTCACATTCCCTCTTCCAGACGAAAACGGCTCTACTTGTGGATATTAGGAATGTACCCGGTAACATCAACCTCCTCACTGGCATAAACATCTCCTCCTCTCATAGCTAGACTTCTCTCAGTGCAAAATGAAAGCAATAACCACCTAAAATCTCAATCTCTAAATGTTCATTTTATAGGTATTTGCCTTGACCTCCCTCATAGCGCTGTATGTGCCACGCTCTTCCTCGCTGTGTAACTTCATCGCTTCACTGTGAGTTAACAAGTCTTGACATGAATGACTGTAATGTCATCTGTTGGTCTAGCCCCAACTTGTCAAGGCAAATGGCAGCCCACCCAACCTTGCCCCCGTCGCCAAGTGCTTGCTCATGGTGGTACTGTTGGGTCTCTGTAAATAATGTTACAAAGAGTTCGGTCTAGACCTGCTCTATTTGAAAAGTGTCCAGTGATAACTTTTGTTACCATTTGGCATTATACAAATAAAACTGAATTGAATGGGATTCCACAGTGTCAGCGTGTGTGTCTGTTAAGGTATCACTCCATCACCTTGCTGAAATTCATGGGACTGATCACAGACTTCTTTGGAGGAAAAGCTCGTATGCTGGCTGCTCTGTCCGGACAGCGGGTATCTCCAGATCCCTTCCCCTGTTGCTGCTGCTGCTGTCTCCCAATGGTGGCCATCAACAGGTACCCACCATACAAATCGTTATAACACCTACAGTGAATGTGGGATTGTTTGGATAGATTTAAGTTAAAGAGTTAAATATTTTTGGGATGTTATTTAGTGGCCAGGTACTGCTGGTGGCAGTTTGGGTCACCTGTCAGTGTTAGTGGCTGTTAGTACTACTGTGTACCATCTATTACCTGCACCTAGGGCAGTTTATTAATGTAGACAATGTCACAGAGAAATGCACATACTGTATATACGTGTATGTTCAACAGTTTAATCTGATTGTATTTTTATAAAGCAGTGGTTCTTAACTGGACCACCCAGAGATCCACATTTTCCCAAGGTCATTCAAGCTGCAGTTGGTACCTTTTATAAAAATATTTTTTGTCATTATTGCTGAAATTCACTGTGTTCTGATTATTGAAGACAATAATAATAATAATAATAATAATCTGTAAAAAAAAAATCAGGTTCCTCTGACTCCTCCTAGTGCTCCTAATGGTATTTACAAGAATCCACCGGCCTGAATGGAAACAACCAGACTATATATATATATCTATATATATATAGACATATTTTCATCTCAGCAATCAGAGCACATGACTGTCATAATACATGAATATGAGCATCACAACTGTGTGTTGCTGATTCTTATTAATAAAATTAACATCATAACTGCAAAACTATGTTCACACACAAAGTAAGTGAGGACTATGAAACGGGTTGTCACACAACTCAAAATAAAAGTCAGATATCAGATAGCTAAGCATTTAAAATATATTTGTTTTTGGCCACACAATCGAAAAAGACCCATTCTTGTCAAGCGGGGCTGCCCAAAGTGAGGCCCATGGGCCAAAGTTGGCTATAAAGTTAAACTTGGGTGGCCAGATGTTTATAACAGAAACATTTGAAATTATATAAAAAATAAAATCGCTGTTTTATTTGTTGTTAGGTGAAAATACTCTTTAAATAATATTTAAATAATTTTTAGAATTTGAGCATGACAGGCACCCACCATTCCGTTTTGGACCTCCAAGGGAAAAAGTTTGGGCATCAATTAAAGCATAATTGACCCCTCCTAAGTCCCGCCCCTTTTTGTTTTGCACTCCAATAAGAGTTGAGCAAGCCTTGATCAGAACCTCTGTCAGCTTTCTCCTTTCCTTTACTAAGATATGCTATGTGCTAAGATAATCTATGTTGAAAGGACAACCACATTTTGAAGATCGTTTAAAGATAAAAGCGACACATAAAGTCATATCTTAAAGGGGACATATTATACAAAATGCACTTACTGTACACTGCACACACACATTTGGGTATTTCAGCTTATTAACCCAGAAACGGTGAAAAAAATCAACTCAGTCCTTTTTTTGTGGTCTGGCTATGTCAGAAGACCTGAGCTCCAACAAGCTGTTCAGATTTTGCTCCCCTTCCTACTTAAGAAGATTAATTCATTTGCATAGCACCATCTCCCCTCGGACTAACCACTTCCCAAGGACAAGAGCTACCTTTGCTGCTGTCCACCATGTTTACCCTGCAGTGGCTGTTCCTGAATGCCACAGCTGCCCTGATGTTCACTGCAGGGACCAGAGGAAGATACATACTTTATTCTGGATTATTTATTTACTTTTGAAAAACTTTTGACTGAAATGTTCCCACAAGGACTGCTTTCTCAAAGGAGTACCACCTCAGGGGCCGAAATGGACCGTCTGTCACCAACTTCACACCTGGAAGCTGTAAGTTTTTCTCTTAATGTTGTTTTACTGTTCATTGTGTAGGTTTGCCTGCTGGACTTGGTATTAAGATGCTGTGCAGGTAATGTGGCTAACACTAGTCACACAGGCAGGGCCGATGTTAGACTTTCTGTTGTAATATGAGGGTAAGGTCGTTCTTCTCCGCTCAGGTGTGTGTGTGTGTGTGTGTGTGTGTGTGTGTGTGTGTGTGTGTGTGTGTGCTGCTGAATGTAACTTAACTTGATTGACGAGCACCACAGGTAACATTAGAGCTACTGTGAGAGAGAAACGGTCAAACTGCAGGGAATCATATATTGTGTAACTTCGATTATCACAGAGTAGCTGTGGTTGCTCGCTAGGCTGTGTGTGGAGTCAAACTGCGACTAATAAAAGTTTTCTGATCCATATATTTAGTGTTACTGCAGTACTGCTATTACTGACGATATAAGTGCAGGTCCAGTGTAACATCTCATACTCATATCATCTCCTATTGTATTATCAACGCTGAGGCTCACTGCTAAATGTCTGTTCTTACACTGTATTTATGAACCTTTGTTTTGTCACAGCATAGGTTACAATCACAGTAAATGTCCCATGTAATTAGTTTCTTTATCAATAATTGATTAAATAATGACCCGTTATCATTCTAGCACTATGAGCTAGACATTTGAGATAAAGTTGGTAGCCTCAAACTGTTTCCTTCATAAAGAACAACACATCACTAAAGCTACAACAAGGGACCCACCAGAGACACTGCTTTATTAATTTATTTTATAACATAGGACTACTTTGAGCCACAATGAGCTGTTGTACTTGTATTATATTACACTGTATATTATATGCTGCCTTATAAGTAACACTCAATCTGCCATGTCTTACAGGTGACCTGATGAAGCTCAGGTGTTCCTGGACCCATCAGAGGACAGAGACAGCTGCAGCATCAGGACAGTCTGGGTATCCAAAGGAAGACGCATCAGGATGAACACTGACTGCAGAGCTCCATTACCAGCTCACACTTTAGTATACTAGAAACCACCTTGATGGAGAACGTGATCTGCACAGTTTACATAAACGTTATAGCTTTGTTTCTTACAACATGTGTAACTGGAATATGAATGAAACATGAATAAAAGTTTTTACTTTTAAAAAGAGTTTTGGTCATTTTTAAATTCAGTAATAAGTGGTTTTATATAAATAACATGTTATTTCACAGAGGTTTTATGAAGATTTCCTGGATGTACAAGAGTTGAAAACCTGGTTCATGTAACATCTATCAATATGAAAATGTGAAATTTTGCTAGAAATCCTGTAGTTAATGAATGTAAGCAACACAATACATTACTATTTCAAAGTGAAACTTTAATATGATATTGACATATATAATAATATAAATGATACAATATTCAGGATATATACAGTATTTTGAAACAGGTTAAAACATAATAGCAGCTTTTACAAATATCTTAAGTTTAACTTTGGTAATAATTGTCTGACAAATGTTTCAAGTTAAAACTTAACTTACTCTGAAATACTGTCCACAGTTGGTTACTGAGTTTTTAAACCACATAAACAAGTTACTTTATTAGATTAATAATTCCTTCAGTTATATCGACATGTTGTACAGGATTAAGTATTCCAGGCAGGTTTCTGCCTCATTATGGTAAGTTTCCATGGTCTCAGTAAACTAATGTGTATAAAGAATATAACAGATGGGAGGTTACAGTAATCATTATACTATTACTCTGATTACTTTGGTACATTTACTGGGTGTTTCTTCACTAGAAACAACTGCTTGACTAATGTTGTTAATATTATGTAATATATAATATGTTTAACTTCACTGGGCTGTGTAGACTGTAGGTCACTGCTCACTGCTGTACCTGTGAAGACAAGCATAAAACACAGTGTTGGTTCTCATAATTAAGGTATAAACACTAACATTATGTTATAGATAGAGGTTAATATATATATATATATATATAATTAATATAGCAGTATTTACCTGAGGAAAACGTCACAGAAAGCTGTAATCCTGATTGTTGATGTTGTTCCTTTCTCTGTGATTTCAGGTCAGACTCCCGCTCTAACATGTCCGCTGGTGAAGTTTTTGGTTTAGAAGCAGTTATTGAATTAATATTGACGGTAGAAATGAAGATAAACTCAGTAACAGTGAGGAGCTACCTGCTGGCAAATGAGGCAGAAGTGGGAGGGGCCGGAGTGTCAGCCGCATCATAATGCTGACCAATCAGAGCAGACTGGGCTTTTTGGGAGGGGGGCCTTAAAGAGACAGGAGCTAAACCAGAGCGTTTCAGCAATTGCACCTGGCTGCAGTACGCAGATCGGGGGTTGGGCTAAATGTGGGCGGAGCTAAACGTTTGACTCCGCGTAAAATGAGTAAAACCCACGTTTAAATGTGGGCGGAGCTAAACGTTTGACTCCGCGTAATTATATATTATTATAATAATATATAATATAACTATATAGTATATATAGATGTTAATACAATTTCAATTTAATTACACCTCTGGGTTCAGGTCAGGATCAGGTCTGATGCCAAAATGTAGTTCTTTCTTTTTTTGTATCTTAAATGTAAAAACCAGCCTACATAATAATAGTAATAATAACACATACTATTCGATATACATTTTTGTCTCATCTTGTGAATAAAATAATGGTAATGCATTTACATTTTCATGAGCCCTCACAACTTCACATACAACTTCTTACATATATATTTACACTTGCGCAAGTGTGCGGAGTCAAACGTTTAGCTCCGCCCACACGTTGAGCCACTCCTCGATCTGCGTACTGCAGTCAGGGCTCACTCCGTTTCAGAGGCTGAAAAGAGCTGCTTTAATGTGTTTGTTGAACATTAAAACATCTAATCCTATTCAAGTAGACCCACAAAAAAAGATTTATGAACCTGAAAAGGGGCATAATAAGTTTCCTTTAAGTTTGCTATTGTTAGCAAACCGCTAGTTAACTATCTAGTTAACGTTAGTTTACATCAGTTGCTAGCAAGCTAGTCAGCGTGTTGCAAGGGGCTAACTAGGTAATCAATTTACATCAATCATTAGTTAGCTAGCTTTTTGCTAACTTTAGCTAGCCAACTTAAGACGTGACTATAGCGTATGCATGTCGCTTTTAACCTTATACTAAATTTGGTTGTCTTTTCAACACCTGCCTATCACATAGCACATCTAATCTTGCTCAACTGTTATTGGAGAAAAGCAAAAAGGGGTGGGACTTAAGAAGGGTCAATTATATAAAATGTAGTGAGTAAACAATGTGACTTGACATGCTGCTAACATGTGCTCTTGCAGCAACAGCCGTGGCTGGATGATGGCTGCTGTGCTGCAACTCTCCATCGTCCGCAGCATCTTGTTCTTTGTCACTCTGATCCTGTGGACAGATGAACAGTACGACTATGGTGATGTAAGTAATTTATTCAGACCTCCATCTGTTCTCATATGAATTTTATATATGTATTTTAGAGTTAGGAGGATCTGTGCCTTGGCCCTGTCCTTTCTTGGGTGGAGCTTTTTCAAATTCAGTTTTCACTGTTTTTATCACAGTAATCAATAGTAGATCATTTTTCAGTGCAATCACGTTAAGGCAATTGATATTTTTCCCCTTAAAGGTCCAGTGTGTAACATTTAGGAGGATCTATTGTCAGAAATGGATTATAATATTCATAGGTATGTTTTCATTAGTGTATAATCACCTGACATTAACGATCACAAAAACTGGGCCTACAATAATGTGTAGTGCAGCCCTTAGCGGCATGTATAATATATACTGTATGTTATGGTGTATACAATAATAATTATTGACAGATTCATATATATATTTTTTTTTTTTTATTTTAAACATACAACATGTAGAATTTATATTTGCTAATACGTTGGATTCATGTTAATGTGTATTTTCAAACATATTTCAATATCAAACAGCCCAGGATAGGTTGAAGGATAAAATCAGTGACAACCACCTTCTCGTTCTCCAGGTGGATTCAGTGGACCCCAACCTGTATGTGAACGGTATCATCTGCGTGTCGACCTTCGTGTCCTCCTACGGCTACCTTCTGTTCTACAAAGCGACTAAGGGTGCTTTACATGGCTTTGGACTGAGAGCCAAGTTCATCTGCATTATTGTGGTGTTGGTGCTGTGTGGCCTGCAGAGTGGCATCTTGGAGACCATGGGTGCCCTAGAGGTCATTCCCTGCACACCACCCTTCTCTGTCCTGACCAGGTCCCAGTGTAAGTTACAGCACATCTTCCAATCTCAGTCTCAAATCATGTTTGCCATTACCTCTGTAGTTTAGGGGAGCAAGAAGAGGGTCTAGTGTAACCGGTTTAGTTTGTTTAGTTGCCTTTCCATGCTGGTGATGCACCTTGCATGTTTGGGTTATTATTCTGTGTTAGTTATGTGTTCCTTATTCCTGTAAATTATTTGATATGCATAGACATTTAAAATCCAAGAACTTCTAGTTCATTAGAGTATGGACGTTAATTATTGCTCTTGGGATCAGTAATAGACCTTTTTCCATGCACTTACTGACTTTGCTTGACTCAGTTTGACTCGCATTAAAATGCAGAATGAAAACTGAATTGCCACTTTGCCAGATTTGTTGAAAAGAAGGCAAACATACATGTGGCTGCTGTCTTGATTGGCTTCCTCGTCCTCTGTGGCTGTTGATGTCCTTCAACCCTGTGTCTGTGCTCTCTCTCCGCCCTCAGTGATCTACCACTACTGTGTGATTGTGGAGATGTTCTGCATTGGACTGTATGCCCGCCACACTTTCCGTAAGGTGGAGCCGAGTGTGGTAGAGGACGTGGAGTGTCCCGCCAGAGTCTGGCAGATTGAAAAGGCCGTTCAAACAGACGATGATCAGGTGACAAATCACAAGCCCGGTCTGCCATCAGAGAAGGCCTGGCCTGGCCGCTGCCTCGTCAGCGCCTCCAATCCCAGTTACACCAATAACAGCGAGGACAGCCTGTGTAGGATAGAACACGCCCCTCTGGATGGCTTCCCCTTCCCTCAGGCCAGATGTCAGCAGTCAGGCAGGCAAGAACCAGTGAGGCCCAATTCTGCAGAGGAACCTGGTGTAGCTCTAACCCACATTACAGTCAGGGCTGATATTAACTATCAAGACCCTAAAGATGTCACTGTGGTTTGACCAACTATGGAAGACAAAAGACTAAATTCAGTCTTAGCTTAACCACTGTCAATTCTGGTATTGGCCTGTCTGGGGAACTGCACACCCTGTTCTGTGATAAACAGATTCACCAAACATTTGTATGTCACATAGGAGGATGTATTGGCAGAAATGTTATGTAACCCTTTCACACACAGTGCTCACTACAGTGGACAGCTATTCAAAAGTTCTCTTCTTGAAGATGAATGGGTTTTGATGGTATATTTGCACATCAGCTACCACAGTGGATGCTAGTGCACCATCCCACACACAGCCAACCAAGATAGCTGACTGAAAGTCAGGTAAATAAATCGGTAACAAGGTATCAAGTAACAACTGAGAAGTAATGCAATTTTCAAAATTCCAAGTATTGATTATATGTTGGGAGGAAATTAGGATTAATCATCCACTAAACTGGACATCATTCATCGTTGCTATATTTTAACTACAATTCATACTATTACTGCAAATTACTACTGCTTCATCTGCAGCAACTTTTCTGGCTGTAAATCAATTAATTTATGCTATTGGAATGTAATATACAATTTTTGTAACAAAGATGTTGTACAGTACAGAGTGTGTGAGTAACAGCATATTTATATTCATATATAAAAGACGTTTATATCTATATATTCAAGAATATGAACACATTCAACACGTTTAACAATATAAAAATATACATTATTTTATATATAGTTACAAAATAGATAACTTTATGAATTGTTTGTTAATATACAATCCATAGCGATAACTTACATTTAGCAAAAAAAATACACATAATTCCTTTTCATATAATTCCTTCAAAGTCTTTGCTTCATATATCAAATATTTATTACATATTAGAGTTTGGACAGATATCGATGTAAGCTGCTACTTGACTGGTTGGTAGAGGTGTACAACCATCTGTGTTTTGTTTGTTACCAAATTGGTTTTGGAGCAGAGACAGCAGAGAGCACAGCTTATTAATTAAAATTGTTTGTCTGCCTACCTGTTTGGCTTTATTGATCACTGAGACAGAACTGATTTGGAGTGTGTGTAGTTGCAGATTACAACCCCTTTGCCTCACCCTCCCGTTTGAAGTGTTGGGGGGAAAGTACAGTGCCTGTGAAATGCAAAAAGACCCTATCTAGAGCCAGCTCCCTCTGTAGATAAAAACCTCTCATTCTAAGGTAAAACAACACAACAATTCTTATTTTCAGGTGATTATACACTAATGAAAACATAGCTATGAATATTATATTCCATTTCTGACAGTAGATCCTCCTAAATGTTACACACTGGAGATTTTGACATGTTGAGCTCAGGTTATTACATTTCTCTTGGGGCCATCTTCAGTGTAGTGAAGCTTCATTTAATATATAGTAACTGGTAGCTTAGCTCACTACACTTTCCAAGTAGCTTGCCCAACACTGCTTATTTTAAATGGCAATACAGCTGATCACACAGTACAGCTGTTGTCACTGGTATTAATATTCGATTTGTATAACCAAATCATAACAGAAGTTATCTCAGGACACTTTTCAAATAGAGTAGGTCTAGACCTTACTTCTTATAAATGGTACTGTATATGATGTCTCAGTGCTGCAGCACAGGAATTACACTTCATCTGGTTAACAGAATATGTTTATGATCAGATCATTATGTTATAACAGAAACAGAAACATATTTAAATCGGAACAACATTGTGAATTTGAATATACTGAAACTGATAGTTGTAATGCACAATTTTGCTGATGTAGAAATTATTTAGGAATTTCAGTGTGAACTGAGATTTTGCAGAAATTAGTGCCAGTGTGGACACTGAAAAATAAAGTTTCAGCGTGGTCTGCAACCTGAGTTTTTTTTTTAATAAAGGCTGCAGTTTATGGTGGTGTTGTATTGTACTTAATAATGTGTTTCTAATGTTTCTGCACCTCCACAAACAGTAAGCACAACAAAAACTAAATATGAAATATTTTCTACTTTTCTGGGTGCATTGTGTTTCTCTGTTAACATTATTATCATTGGGCTTTAGTTGTGATTATTAAAGTAAATACATATCCACCTTTATGTGTAATATTACTACAAAAATTGTCAATTTCTTATCATTCCATCATCAGCATTAATTATATAATATGCATCGTATCAGTGTTAATTTTGTTGACGAAGACTATGACGAAAAACATTCGTCAACGAACCTTTTTCACGTACGAAAACTAAATAAAAACTAAATAAAAAGTCAGATATGATGACGAAGACTGTGACGAAATATAACTGACACTCTAGTCAGCGAATAAAAATTAGACGAAAATGTTAGGGAGGGACGAAGGGAGAAGAGATCCAATCAGAACTACTCTTTTTGTGGGACAAGTTGGGAAGAAATCCAATCAGAGTGAATCTTTGAGGTTAGGTTGATCTATGCAGAAGCAGCAGAGGCATTTTAAAAAGCCGCGGCAAATGCAGGTGCAACAGCTAAACAAACGCAGCAGCAGTTACACAGGAGGAGAACAAAGACGAGTTTGCAGAACTTCGCACAGTTTCGAGGACGTTTTTACAACAGTTAGGTTGTTTACATTATATTTAGTTGTGATTAGTTGCACAGTCTTAGTTACACAGTTTTGGCTGATTTCAGTTGACTTCGTTCGTTAGCAACACGCTAACGTTTTGCAGTGCACCCGGTCCGAGGGCAATGGCATGTCTCATGAACAACAGAAATGTCAGAGCTAGGTCTAGGACTGTGCTTTTTAGTTTAATGTGATATTTACCTGTATTTTCAATGCTGAGAGAGCAGGGTTTTTTTTATTTACTTGAACATTAAGGAGTATTTCTTTGGTAGTGTGTGCAGTGGCATTACAGCCAATACATCTTTTATTCTACATTTGAGAATTGCACTAATCTGTTCTGTTCAAATCTTGTTGATTTTGTACAGAGTAGCAAGGCATTGTAAGGCATTGTAGCCTAGCAGTTATTTAACTTCTTTTGAGGTACGTGAACATTAACAGTAGTGAATTTTCAGTGGCATTACAACCAATAGTTTTATTATTATTTTTGAGAATTGCTCTTTATTAGGGACCGAGCCAGCGACCGCTGGAGGTCCCTATTGTATTTGCTATGTTTCTTATTATTAGGGACCTTGCAAGCGACCGCTGGAGGTCCCTATTGTTTTTGCTTTGTTTCTTCTTCCCTATTTTTAGCCCTTTTGACTGCATCTTTGCCCCCCTGAACATATACGAAAGGTCGGTTTTATTTGGCAAAGTGGTCAGGCCTGGTGAAAAATTTGATATTCTATGCGTCGCTGTCGGGTCCGCCACTAGGTGGCGCTACTATCATGAAAAGTGCGTTTAGGCGTTTAGGCTAATAACTCCTGCAAAAACTTATATCCATGCGTTCGCTGAATAGAGCTGAATCTCCCCATATAGGCCCCGCCCACTTCCGCCTATAATTTTTTTTTCGTTAGAGCGCGAAATATCCTTAAACTACTTTTTCGTGTTCCTCCTACACACTTTGTCCGATTCGCATGAAAATTTTCACCTAGCACCTGGGGACCGCCCTGGCAAAAAGTAATTTTTGAGCCACAGCCGCCCACGCTCTGGTGGCATGGAAAATCACTGTGCGGAGACCGTAATAGTTATGAATATGAAGTTCACAGGGCACTGCTGCCTGAAGTTCACATACCAAAAATCGTGTTTGTCGTGTTTGTAGCGCCCCCTGCAGGATGAAAAAACTGCAGCCCCGGCGCCACGTTTCACCGATATGTACGAAGCTCGGTAGACACGTGTAACATGCCGGGACGTACAAAAAAGCCTCTTGGACCCATACCCAAAACCCGACAGGAAGTCGGCCATTTTGATTTTGATTTTCACTTTCGGCGAACTTTTCGCGTTGTATTTGAACGAACTCCTCCTAGGGAATTTATCGAATCTCCTTCAAAATTTGTGAGTACAGTCAAAAAATGGTTCTGATTAAAAGTTGTGCTATTTGTGCATGTATGTTGAAGGGCATGTCCGTGGCGTGCCCGTGGCGTGCCCTCAAAGTTGGCCATAGTGAATTCCGTGCTCATTTTCAGACATTAAGAATAAAATAAAATACATGTTTTGTAATACAACCGTTAAACCTGTGTCTGTATGGTATATTCAAACCTTAATACCATTCCATAACAGACTGATACTGATACTTCAAATGACCGGAAATTTAAATTTAAACATTTAGTCGACTAAGTCCACTTTAGATTTAGTCGACTAAAATCTGCTAATATTTGGTCTACTAAGACTAGACTAAGACTAAAACTCTTATGATATTTAGTCAACTAAAACTAGACTAAGACTAAAAGATTTCAGATGACTCAAATATGACTAAAACTAAATGGTGTGTTATTCAAAAGACTAAGACTAAATCAGAATTTCCTGTCAAAATTAACACTGCATCATATAATAGGAACAGAAAAAATAATATGAAGTGACTTTTATGTACAGAGGATTTACCCTACAAGCTGTATATATTATTATGTTAATAATGCAGAATTATATATAAATACATATATAGAATACAACCCTCAAAAAAGTCAGTTGTTTTAGACAATTCTAGGGACTTGAGGTGACTGTTTTTTTTTATATTTTTTTATTTCTGTAATTTTTTCCTGATTTACTGAATACATTTTTTTTTCTGTTTTTCTGAGTATAGAGAGCATTTGAAACAATAGACGCATTCATTCCTTTATTGAGAGCTCGATTTAACGGAAACAAACATGACCGGCTTGTTTAGTTCCATCAAGTTTTACTTTGATCTGGGTTTAAGACACTGGGAGATAGTCCTGTCTTCAATTCAATTCAATTTTCAATTCAATTTTATTTAGCACCAATTCATAACAGAAGTTAACTCACTTTTCAAATAGAGCAGGTCTAGACCGAACTCCTTATAACATTTACAGAGACCCAACAGTACCACCATGAGCAAGCACTTGGCGATGGGGGCAAGGAAAAACTGCCTGTTAAGAGGCAGAAACC